AACCTGCTGCCCCACCCGTTCCAGGCACCTCACCCGGGATCAGCCGCCCCACCCAGTCCTCTCCACCGCATTGAACTGCACATAACTGCACAGAACCGCACAGAACCGCCGCCTTAACAGCTTCCCCACCTGAAAACCACCGCCCCAGACCTGACAACCGCCGCCCCACCTGGAAACCTGCTGCCCCACCCGTTCCAGGCACCTCACCCGGAATCAGCTGCCCCACCCAGTCCTCTCCACCGCATTGAACCTCACAGAACCGCACAGTACTGCACATAACCGCACAGAACTGCACAGAACCGCCGCCTCACCCGTAGCCCGCTGCCTTAACAGCTTCCCCACCTGAAACCTGCCTCCCCACGATCTACCACACCCGCCGTCAGTAGCCCCAGCCGATTACACTGCCGCCAGCTACACCAGCAGCAGCATAGGCTGCCCCCAGCGCACCAGCAGCAACGTAGGCTGCCCCCAGCAGAACCAGCAGAACCAACAGAACCAGCAGAACCAGCAGAACCAGCAGAACCAGCAGAACCAGCAGAACCAGCAGAACCAGCAGAACCAGCAGCAGCATAGGCTGCCGCCAGCACACTAGCAGCAGCATAGGCTGCCCCCAGCGCACCAGCAGCAGCGTAGGCTGCCCCCAGCAGAACCAGAAGCGGCATAGGCTGCCACCAGCGCACCAGCAGCAGCATTGGCTGCCCCCAGCAAAACCAGTAGCAGCTAAGGCTGCCCCCAGCAGAGCCAGAAGCAGCATAGGCTGCCCCCAGCGAACCAGCAGCAGCATAGGCTGCCGCCAGAGCACCAGCAGCAGCAGCATAGGCTGCCCCCAGCGAACCAGCAGCAGCATAGGCTGCCCCCAGCGCACCAGCAGCAGCTTAGGCTACCGCCAGCGCACCAGCAGCAGCTTAGGCAACTGCCTGCGCACTAGCAGCAGCATTGGCTGCCCCCTGGAGAACCAGTAGCAGCCTAGGCTGCCTCTCAGCAGAACCAGAAGCAGCACAGCTTGCCCCCAGCGCACCAGCAGCAGCTTAGGCTGCCCCCAGCAGAACCAGCAGCAGCATAGGCTCACATGGCATGTACTAGGGTTCTACAGCAGCAGGGCCAGCCGCAGCACTCCCGTCAGTGGGGGCCTGCGGGTCCAAAGTGTGGCGCCCCCAGCAGTGGCTCAGCTAGCAGTGGGCGAGACGTCGGCCCCTGCGGGTACCGGGCCCTGACAGGCCCTGGTGCTGGCACTACCTGCTGGAGTCCTGACCACACTGCGTCCAGCTGCTACCGTCGACTCGACGACCTCCACCGTGAGCGTTTTGGTCCTCACGCTATTACACCGCACTGGCCTTCGCGCCTTTGCCAGCGCACTACTGCACCAGTTGAGTCTCACCTGCCTGGTCTAGGACCCTTTCCGGCTGCACGAGTAGAGACCTGTGTTTCCAGTCTTGGTGCGTGTGTTGTTTCCAGTCCCGGCGCCTCTGAGGGTCTTTGTGTAGAAGCTGCAGCTACCACTAGTCTAGCACTAGCCTTTGTAGCTGGTTCGGGTGCGACCCCACAGACTGCACAGCTTTCCTTCACCCTAGATTCTGGAGCGTCCAGCTGTTTCTTTCGCGACTGTACCGACCTCACACCACTGCGCACTCCAGTCACTGTCGCCTTGGCTGACCCCTCTGTGGGACGTGTAGTTGCTAGCAGCACCACCACTCTTCCGTGTCCGGCGGCTCCCTCAGGTTTTCTTACAGGTTACTACACCCCCTCGTTCTCTAGGAACCTGGTGGGTGTCAGTCACCTTCACGACCTAGGCGTAGTCACTACTTTCCCACTGGACGAGCCTGTTGCCTCCTGCACTGTCGGTGCCACTGGGGCGCCCCTGGCCACATTCCACAGAGAGCCGGGATCTGGTCTGTACTCACTACACACTGGGTCCCACCACACTGAGTCGGGTCAGGTCAGGTCAGGTCAGGTAGCTGCTGTGTCGTGTGACTGTCGGTCCCTCACCCACCCGTCGGTCCTCTGGCACCACCGTCTAGGTCACCCGTCGTTCCCGCGTCTCAGTAGGATGGCACGTTACCGTCTGGTCTCAGGTCTCCCAGGGTCGCTTGCACCGCTTCCCCGCTCGCCTGCGCCGCTGTGCACTCCTTGCGTCGAGGGTCGGCAGCGCGCTGCCCCTCACTCCTCCTCGTTCCCCCCCACCACGGCTCCCTTCGAGACCCTGCACTTGGACGTCTGGGGCCCCTCTCCGGTCCTTGGCCCACGTCAGGAGCGCTACTTCCTGATTGTGGTGGACGACTACTCCCGCTACACCACGGTTTTCCCCTTGCGACGGAAGGCCGACGTGCCTACCGTCCTCGAGCCGTGGCTACTAGCGTGGGGTGGCGCCCAGGGCCTGTGTGGGCTTCGCCTACACTCGGACCGTGGTGGTGAGTTTTCTTCCACTCGCCTGGAGACGTTCTGTCAGGGTCGGGGGATCATCCAGTCTTACACGCTACCAGCATCACCGCAGCAGAACGGGGTAGCCGAGCGACGCATCGGCCTGGTCATGGAGGTTGCCCGGACCTCCATGTGCCATGCCGGTGCCCCCCAGTTCTTGTGGCCCCAGGCAGTCCGCTACGCCGCGCACCAGCTGAACCTGTGGCCCAGTGACGCACGGCCAAGGGTGACGCCGGTCTCCCTTTGGACAGGTTCTCCGGGCGTAGCAGCTGACTTCCGCGTCTGGGGTTGTCTGGCTCACGTTCGCGCCCCTGGCGCGAACAAGTTGTCTCCGCGCACTCGTGTCTGCGTCTTTCTTGGCTTCCCTTTGGACGCCTCCGGCTGGGTGTTCTACGACCCGGTCACCTACCAGTTCTTTGCTTCGCAGGACGTCACGTTCGACGAGTCTGTCTGTTACTACAGGAGTCGCCCCCACCGAGGTACTGAGGCCTTTTCCCCCCCGCTGTTCCTCACCCTTGAGCCCCCACCAGTCGCCCCGGTAGCCCCCCCCCCTTCGCGTCCTGCCCCGTCAGGTGTGTCGCACGTCACTCCGCAGTCTTCCCCCCCGCAGCGTCCAGTCCCTGTCGTGTCTGGGGGTGCGGGAGGTGCAGTTGCGGAGGGTGAGGGTACTGGGGCTGCAGGAGCTGGTGGTGTCGGCTCTGGGGGTGCAGGGGTTGTGGGCGTGGAGGTCACTCCTGTGGAGGACACGGCAGCCTCGACTCGGCGGCCTCGCCCTGCCTCACCCCCTGGCTTCCCGTCCGTCCCGCAGTTTCCTCCTCCTTCTTCTCTGCGGTCGGTTGCTGCGGAGCCTGGGGGTGTTCCTGCGGGAGGTACTGGAGGCCCCGGGGGTGTCGGTGGTGGAGGTGCTGGTTCTGGGGGTGCTGGAGCTGGAGGCACTGGCACTGTGGCGCCTACACCGCGCACTGTACGTTTCCTGACCCGTGAGCAGCGTCTCCTCCGGTTGGAGAGGGAGGAGCGTGAGCGATTTGAGAGGGCACAGCAGCAGCAGCAGCAGCAGCAGCAGCAGCAGCAGCAGCAGCAGCAGCAGCAGCAGCAGCGGCAGCAGCAGCAGCAGCAGGAGAGAGTAGAGGAGGAGTCACAGCAGCAGCACGAGAGGGTAGCGCAGGAGTCCCGGTCGCAGCAGCGGGTGCAGCTGCAGCCGCAGCAGGAGAGGGTAGAGGAGGAGTCACGGCCGCACCAGGAGAGGGTAGAGCAGGAGTCCCGCCCGCAGCAGCAGGTGCAGTTACAGACACAGCAGGAGAGAGTAGAGGAGCAGTCACGGCCGCACCAGGAGAGGGTAGAGCAGGAGTCCCACCCGCAGCAGCAGGTGCAGTTACAGACGCAGCAGGAGAGAGTAGAGGAGGAGTCACGGCAGCAGCAGGAGAGGGTAGCGCAGGAGTCCCAGTCGCAGCAGCGGGTACAGCTGCAGCCGCAGCAGGAGAGGGCAGAGGCGGAGCCACAGGAGCAGCAGCAGGGGCCGGTACCGTCGCAGCAGACGCCAGAGGAGGCGGAGCAGCAGCGACTGCGACTACGCGACCTCCCCGACCCAGCACCTGCACGCTTTGTTCGTGGTCCCCTACCGTCCCCTCCTGTTCCACCAGTTGAGTCCCTTTCCTCCTCCCAGTGGACTCGTCGTCCTCCCCTCAGTCGTGCTGTGTCTCCACAGCCCCGTCGGTCCCGTTACCGTGCAGACGGTCCGTTTCACCTTGTTCTCCGCTCTCGTGTTCCACCTCCTCCTGTCCTTCCACAGCCCCCTGAGTCGTCCCTCACTGTGCTTCACGACCCGTTGTCCGACTACCTCCGTGCCTCCCGTCCTGTCGTCTCCCGTGTTTTGTCCGCGTTGGTCACTCACCCGACTGCACCTCTGTCGTCTGTCTCAGCACTTGTTACCACTGTCTCTGGCTTTGCCTCTTCCCACCGCCTTGACTACGCCGCTCACTTGGTGAGTGGCCCTGCACGTTCTCCGTCCTCTGGGGGTGCTCCTGTCTTTCCCCTGGAGGTCGTAGAGGACAGGCAGTTCGAGCTTGGTTTCCTTGCGGCCGCTGTTCCTCATCTCTGCGCCATGCTGCTTGCCCCTGAGGGGGATCCAGACGCCCTTGACATCCCGATCCCTCGCACTCACGCCGAGGCGGTCTCGGGACCCTGGGCTTCGTACTGGATAGCAGCTGAGGAGGCAGAGATGGCATCTTATAGGTCCACAGGCACTTACGTCGACGCAGTCCCACCACCTGGGACGAATGTCGTCAGTGGCCGATGGCTCTACAAGGTGAAGCGGCCGCCTGGATCACCACTTGTGTTCAAGGCGCGCTATGTTGCGAGAGGCTTCAGTCAGCGAGAGGGGGTGGACTTCTTCCAGACCTTCGCTCCCACCCCGAAGATGAGTACTCTTCGGGTGTTGCTGCATATTGCAGCCCAGCGCGACTACGAGTTGCACTCCTTGGACTTTTCCACCGCGTTCCTTCAGGGGAGCCTGCACGAGCAGATCTGGCTGCGTCGCCCGCCTGGCTTCACTGGCTCTTTCCCACCTGGGACCCAGTGGCAGCTGCGTCGACCAGTCTACGGCCTGCGTCAGGCCCCACGTGAGTGGCACGACACACTTCGCTCGACCCTTGCAGCTCTTGACTTCTTTCCGTCGTCTGCTGACCCGTCACTGTTCGTTCGCCGTGGCTCGACCCCGTTCTTTGTCCTGGTCTACGTCGACGACCTAGTGTTCGCCACTCCCGACCGACGCGCGCTGGCCTCCGTGAAGGAGGAACTGCAGAGGAGACACACTTGCACTGACCTTGGTGAGCTGCAGCACTACCTTGGCCTGCAGATCACCAGGGACAGGGCAGCTCGCACCATTACGCTGACTCAGTCGCATATGGTCGAGCAGATCCTCACGCGGTTTCGCTTCCCGTTCTCCAAGGTACAGCTCACCCCTCTTGGTGTGGATCATGGGCTCACGGCTCCACCTTCGGACCAGTCATTTGAGTCCAATGGTCCATATCCTGAGCTGGTGGGTTGTCTCATGTACCTGATGACTTGTACTCGCCCAGACCTAGCTTACCCTCTTAGCGTCCTTGCGCGCTTTGTTGCGCCTGGGAGACACCGACCTTCCCACTGGTACGCTGCTAAGAGGGTGGCGAAGTATGTGGCGAGTACATCAGGCATGGGACTTGTCCTTGGAGGGAAGCAGCCAGTTACACTCACAGGTTACTCGGACTCGTCGTGGGCCGACGACGCGGAGACGCGTCGGTCTACACAGGGGTACTCCTTTAGCCTCGGGGCAGGTGCTGTTTCGTGGCGGTCGACTCGGGCGTCGTCCGTCGCCGGTTCCAGCTGTGAGGCAGAGGTGTACGCTGCGGCCATGGCCGCTCAGGAGCTTCGCTGGCTGTCTTTCCTTCTCACCGACCTTGGTGAGCGGCCTCGCTCTCCCCCAGTCTTGTTCGCCGACAACAGGTCTGCTGTCCTGTTGTGTGAGGAGCCCCGACTGGTTGGGAAGGCGAAGCACATCCAGCTTCGTTACTTCCTTCTGCGTGAGTTGCAGCAGCGTGGACAGGCACTCGTTCGACGTGTGGTCTCTGAGGCCAACACGGCAGATATCTTCACCAAGGCGTTGCCGCCTTGTGACCACCAGCGTTTCTGCACCCAGCTTGGCCTTGTGCCTGCCCGTCCTCACTTGCTTGCTTAGAGATGCCTTGTCCTGTATGTCTTGTACTCTTGCATCTCTTTATATTTGCTATATACCTGCATGTGGACTGGCCTTGTGGCCCCTTGCTTGCTCTCGGAGTGTGTGGTGACTTTGAGCTCCACCCTGAGATTTGTCTTGTTCTTGTAGACTGGTCTTGTGACTGTTGCTTGCTCTTGTTGTTTCTACAGGACTTCCGTCACCTAGACTATGGGGGTGTGTCAACATATATTTTATATATGTTGTTTAGGTTAGTCTAGGTGTTACATTTCTACTTACTTGCATGATTAGGGTTTGCTATATCTAGGGTTGTACTTCACATTTTCTATCAATTCATTCTTATCGTAACAGCTGCAGCTGCTGCTGCTGCTGCTGCTGCTGCTGCTGCTGCTGCTGCTGCTGCTGCTGCTGCTGCTGCTGCTGCTGCTGCTGCTGCTGCTGCTGCTGCTGCTGCTGCTGCTGCTGCTGCTGCTGCTGCTGCTGCTGCTGCTGCTGCTGCTGCTGCTGCTGCTGCTGCTGCTGCTGCTGCTGCTGCTGCTGCTGCTGCTGCTGCTGCTGCTGCTGCTGCTGCTTGCTGCTGCTGCTGCTGCTGCTGCTGCTGCTGCTGCTGCTGCTGCTGCTGCTGCTGCTGCTGCTGCTGCTGCTGCTGCTGCTGCTGCTGCTGCTGCTGCTGCTGCTGCTGCTGCTGCTGCTGCTGCTGCTGCTGCTGCTGCTGCTGCTGCTGCTGCTGCTGCTGCTGCTGCTGCTGCTGCTGCTGCTGCTGCTGCTGCTGCTGCTGCTGCTGCTGCTGCTGCTGCTGCTGCTGCTGCTGCTGCTGCTGCTGCTGCTGCTGCTGCTGCTGCTGCTGCTGCTGCTGCTGCTGCTGCTGCTGCTGCTGCTGCTGCTGCTGCTGCTGCTGCTGCTGCTGCTGCTGCTGCTGCTGCTGCTGCTGCTGCTGCTGCTGCTGCTGCTGCTGCTGCTGCTGCTGCTGCTGCTGCTGCTGCTGCTGCTGCTGCTGCTGCTGCTGCTGCTGCTGCTGCTGCTGCTGCTGCTGCTGCTGCTGCTGCTGCTGCTGCTGCTGCTGCTGCTGCTGCTGCTGCTGCTGCTGCTGCTGCTGCTGCTGCTGCTGCTGCTGCTGCTGCTGCTGCTGCTGCTGCTGCTGCTGCTGCTGCTGTGCTGTGCCCCCCTTCTCTGCAGCTTCCCGTTCTAACCCTGCGAACAGCACTGCATGAGCAGCAGCAGTCACAGCAGCAGCCGACTCCAAACGGCCACACCCGCTGCATATGCCTGCACCCACCTCCCCCCTGCCACTGCCACTGCCACTGCCACTGCCACTGCCACTGCCAGTGCCACTGCCACTGCCAGTGCCAGTGCCAGTGCCACTGCCACTGCCACTGCCACTGCTGCTGCTGCTGCTCCTTTCCATTCCCCCACACATGATACAGCTGCCACTAATGCTGGTGCTGCTGCTGCTGCCAGGCTCACCCGCTGCAATGCTGGATTCAGGGCTAGCAGCAATTGTGGTGGCTGCGGCAGCAGCAGACGCGGCAACAGTAAAGGACGGAGGGGAATCAGCAGCTGCTGCAGAAGCAATACCACCAGCAGCCGCAGCAGCCGCAGCACCAGCAGAAGCAGCACCAGCAGGAGCTGCAGAAGCGGCAGCAGCAGCAGCGGCAGCAGCAGCAGGGAAGCCACAGGCAGCAACGATGCGGCATAGAAGAGGCACCCATTGAGGCGCACCGATAATGCCAAACATCACCAGGTGAATGCGACGTGGGGGTGGGGCGGGGGACGAGGAGGGAGGCATGGAGGAAGAGGGCGGAGGCACGGGGAAAGAAGAGGGAAATGCAGCTGGTGCTGTTGCTGCTGCTGTTGCTGTTGCTGCTGCTGTTGCTGCTGCTGCTGCTGCTGTTGCTGCTGCTGCTGCTGCTGTTGCTGCTGCTGCTGCTGCTGTTGCTGCTGCTGCTGCTGCTGTTGCTGCTGCTGCTGCTGTTGTTGCTCTTGAAGCTGGTCGGACTGCGGGTGCTGGTGCGGTTGCTGCTGCTGCTGCTTCTGGTGCTGGTGGTGATGATATTACGGCTGCTGCTGGTGGTGCTAGTGGCGGCGTGTGTGTGGCAGTGGTGAACAGAGCACGAGGCACCTCGTGGAGGAGAGCAGCAAAGACGAAGTTGATTGTCAGGATGTTGGACTCATGGGAGTGCCCCACCGCTGCCATCACGTCTGCTGCAGACTGCAGGTGGAAGTAAGGGAAAAGAGGGGAGAGACAGAAAAGAAGGTGCCTCGAGAGCAGCAGAGACGAAGTTGATCGTCAGGATGTTGGACTCGTGAGAATGGCCCACCGCTGCCATCACGTCTGCTGCAGACTGTGTGGTAAAGAGTGGTAAGGAGAGATAGGGAGGAGTTATGTGAGGATTTAGAAGTTGATTGTCAGGATGCTGAACTCGTGGGAGTGCCCCACCGCCACCATCACGCCTGCTGTGCGTGGAAGTAAGGGAACAGAGGGGAGAGACAGACAAGAAGGTGCCTCGAGAGCAGCAAAGGCAAAGTTGATGGTCAGAATGTTGGACTCGTGAGAGTGCCCCACCGCTGCCATCACATCTGCTGCAGACTGTGTGGTGAAGAGTGGTAAAGAGTGGTAACGAGAGATAAAGAGATAACGAGGTGCTATGAGGGAACAGTTGATTGTCAGGATTTTGGACTCGTGAGAATGCCCCACCACTGCCATCGCGTCTGCTGTGCTCAAATGAGGGAAAAGAGGGAAGGGACAGACCGAAAGGTTTTCCAAGAGGACTCAACTGTTGATTCACAGAGCAAAGGACGCAGCACAGAACACAGCAGAGAACTGAGCACAGCATACAGCACAGGAGAGAGCACAGGACACAACACAGGACACAGCAAAACACACAGCATAGCAGCACACGTCACAGCAACCTCGCATCCCAACCGTATGTCGCCACTTGACAGCAGCAGTGCCATCCGCCCTCGCCTCCAGAGCCTGCAGCATGTACCATGCCACGCGCTGCACCACATCCCCCCCGCATCCCTCACACTCACCTCTCGCCTCACACATAGACCACCACACCAGCAACGACCCACCTTGACTTTATACTCGACCGGCGCTCGCCATTTCACAGCAGCAGTGCCATCCGCCCTTGCTTCCAGAGCCTGCAGCATGTACCATGCCACTCGCTGCACCACATCCCCCTCTGCACTCGCCTCCCCCCGCACCTTCTTCCCCCACCTCCGCGCCAGCGCCCAGTCCCCCACTGCGTGCGCCTCTGCTAGCGCCAGCACGTGTTGTCTTAGCCGCCGCTCCCTCTCCTCCTCCCTGCTGGGTAGCGATGGGATGCCCACGCGACGGAGGGACGATTCTGTGAAGAGTGAGAAGTCGAATTGAAGGTTTGGGCGCAGGTGGAGAGCGGTGGTGAGGGGCGGGTCTTGAGGGGAGGAGGGGTGAGGAGAAGGTGGAGAAGTGGGGGTAGTTATGGAGGGACGTGAGGGGAGGGCGACGCTGAGTGGATGCTGGAAGATTCGGGAGGATGAGGTGCCTTGAGTTGCGAGTTGAACGCGTTGGGACTGAAGCTGGTGGAGTGGGACAGAACCTCGTTGCTGCTGCTGCTGCTGCTGCTGCTGCTGCAGCCGCAATCGCCCCTGCACTGGTGGTGCTGATTGCAGCAGCTGCAATTCCCTGGACTCTTGCTCTTGCTGCTGGTCCTGCTGCTCTTGGTCCTGCTCTTGCCACATCGTCTGCTGCTGCCACTGCATCTGCTGCTGCTGCTGCGCCGGCTGTTGCTGTTGCCTCTGCGTGTGCTGCTGCTGCTGCAACAGCAGCTGCTGCTGTCTCTGTTGCGCCTCCATCGCCCCTTGCAGCTCCTTCAACCGCTCAAGCCCACTCGACAGGCTCTGCAGCACACCCACCATCTCAATCGCCATTCCTGTTCCAACCCCACCCTGCACAGCCATTCCTGTTCCAACCCCACCCTGCACAGCCATTCCTGTTCCAACCCCACCCTGCACAGCCATTCCTGTTCCAACCCCACCCTGCACAGCCATTCCTGTTCCAACCCCACCCTGCACAGCCATTCCTGTTCCAACCCCACCCTGCACAGTCATTCCTGTTCCAAACCCCCGTTGCGCAGCACTCCTAGCCGCTGCTGGTGACCCTCCCCCTCCTACTACCGTCCCCTCTGCTTCCCTGCTCGTTTCCCCTTGACCTGCTCCCACACCCGAACCTATGGGTGTTCTTTCAAGCAAAGTGATTTGGCCAGGTGCAAGGCCGATACCCTTAATGCCCTTTGCCCGAACCTCGCTGTGTTCCGTACCTGAGTTACCACTTGCTGGTTCTAATTCTGAGCCTTTATTCGAGCCTGACTGCGTGGCTCGGCTGCCAGGCATGGGCCGAGCCGCCGGTCGAGGCTTGGAAGAGATTCCACGGATTAGTGACGCTAGGCGAGTGGTCAGATCGCCCCTGCGAATCTTGCCAGGGGGTGACGTGTCCCCGGGAAGGTTCGTAGTTCTGGAAGGAAGCTTCTCAACTCTGAACGGAAGCTTCGCTGGTACTACTGTAGCAGGAGGATTAGTTTTGTACAGTGGGTCTTGCGTCGTCCCCTCCATCTCCGTTGGGATTGATGTCTGAAGCGGTGGGTTAGGGGAAGAGGGTTTGCTTTGAGCTGCTGGGGATGGTGACGTGTCAACCAGGGTATCCATGTCACATGGTGACGTGTCAAGAATGGCTTCCAAGTCGCAGGCATTACCAAGGGGGGAGTCAGCTGACGAACCAGGGGGAATCACCAACGGGATTTCCACGTCACCTATCACCATTACACATGGGTCTGCCACGTCAGATAGTACGCTTCTGACGTCACCGCGTGGCTGACCTTCGTCGTCATTTTTAGCTTCAAAAAGAAGATTTGGTTCGTAGTAAACTGTATCGGTGTTGAGGAAATCGAAGCCTTCGATCCCTTCACACCTATTAAAATCTATCGCAGAAGCCGCTAAACCGCGGCCTAAGCTTTCAGCCGGATGTTGGCTCGAATCTCCGTCGAAATGACACTGATCAAACAGCGAAGCTTCCTCCGTAGTATTTCCCGCACAAGAATCCATTCTTCAACCAATTTTCTCAACCAAGAATCGAATCCAGCCGACCACAAGGGAAGTACTACTTCCCAAGAAAGTACTTCACGTGATTACACCAGATTGATCATACGCCGAGGTAATAAGATGAGAGACGGCGAACACAAGGACTCCAGAGCGCCTATCTGCTGCCTCTTGCACTGATGCATGAAACATTGCAGCCTGTGGATGGTTCTTGACTGTTCCTTATCCGCCGAATGCTTGACCAAGGTTACCAGTCAGTTCTGCTCGCGTGCTATTCGTTAAATATCGCCATGGGTGTTACCACCATCGGTGCTGCTTCTGTTGATATCCACAGCATCGGTATTGCCGCCATCGGTACAGTGCAGTAACGTGAGGCTGGGCTTGCTGCTATTGGTGGTGTAGGCATCGAGGCTGCCGTGCAGTCCGCTGGCTACGGATTCCTAAAACTGGCAGCACGTCCGATGAGAGTAGGCTCGAGGTAGAATGTTGCAGAGTGGTTTCAATCTGACTCATCTCTCAGTGCGTTTCAGTGGGATACCTCGTAGTACACAACGGTTCTAGCGTGTACCTCTTTTCAAAGTAGCGAACCAAACAAAAAATTTGCTGCATGATTTGAAAACGAACTCGCGCACTTTTTTCACGCCAAGGGAAATGAAAACAGTTTGTAACGGGGCTGGACAGCCCAGCGAACCAAGCACTAGAACCACGCTCCATCGCATCAACTTGCTCTAAACCACCTCTGACTTCCATGTGTCAAAAGACTGTCAGAGGAAGTTGTGTCTGTTCTGAACTGAACAGCGCGGCCCTAGCAATATGCGGTGACGCCTGTTGCTGCTGACTGTGATCCAGGGAGCTGCTGGTATCATATGAAATCATGGCCGCGACTCCAGAATCCTGGAGGTTCTCAGTTTGTCTCGCTCAATGTAGCTTTCAACAGCGAATCTAAGCCGTAGGTTCCTTATCCGCATCAGCATCAGCTGCATTCGCGATTCCGAGCCGTAGGATTCTGTATTCCTCATCGGACGGTTGAACTATGCCACAAGTAGTCGCCCGTACGACGGCATTAATAGGGTAACCCGGAGATGTGGTAACACGGGGTCCGAATGTTTCGCAGTCGAAACCTCATTGGGGACGACAACGGGCGAGAGGAAGGAGAGGAAGCGAGAGATGGGCAATGCCCATCCAACCGTCAGAGGGTTTCGGAATTGCGACGAAAAAACCATCGGTACAATAGATGTTGAGATTACAACGAGAAATGGGTGTTGGCCGTGTACGCGTAAGAGACAGGGCATGAGCGGAAGACAACGTACCAGACCATTGAGACAGCTCCGAGGTCGCAGGCGACAACTCCAAGGTCGCAGGGGCCTGCTCACCTGTAGCATCTTGCTCCTCTTCCTAGCAGTGAGTCCCATTGAGTTCTGCATGCACAAACGAACCCCCGAGATAGCATATACCGCGGCATTTTCTCCCTTCCCTTCTCTCCTCCCTTTTCCAGTATGCACAGAACGTCCTCAGTGGGTCCCCTTGACAGCTGCATGTGGGGTACGCATACAACACGGCTTCCTCTCCCCTCCCTTCCCCTCTCCCCCCTCCCTTCCCCCATCTCCACTCCCTTCCACTCTCTCCCCTCCCTTCTCCCCTCTCCCCTCCCTTCCCCTCCCCTCCCTTCCCCTCTCTCCCTTCCCCGCTCTCCCCTTACCTCGATATTTGCTCCTCCATATCTGTGCTCCCCCCCCTTGGATTTGAAATACCTTATCTTTCCCCTCCATCTTCCTCCTCCGTCTTTCCGCTACCCGCTCGCCCCCCTTCCTTGACTTCTCTCCTACTCCATACAGAAAGGCCTTCTTTCTTTCCCCTCCCTCCTCCCCCCCCCCCCCCCCCCAGCTTCCTTCAGTCCCCCTCGTGTTCTCCTCTGCGCTCGCCCCATTCATCGACGTTTCCTTATCTGACTCCCTGACTCCCTGAGAGGAGACCTGACTCCCTGAGAGGAGACCTGACTCCCTGAGAGGAGACCTGACTCCCTGAGAGGAGACCTGACTCCCTGAGAGGAGACCTGACTCCCTGAGAGGAGACCTGACTCCCTGAGAGGAGACCTGACTCCCTGAGAGGAGACCTGACTCCCTGAGAGGAGACCTGACTCCCTGAGAGGAGACCTGACTCCCTGAGAGGAGACCTGACTCCCTGAGAGGAGACCTGACTCCCTGAGAGGAGACCTGACTCCCTGAGAGGAGACCTGACTCCCTGAGAGGAGACCTGACTCCCTGAGAGGAGACCTGACTCCCTCTGTGCCGCCTGGCCTTCCTCCTAGTCTGCTTCCGAAGCCCCTCTAAACCCTCGACTCTTTCCCCCCCGTTCTGCTCAACCATACCCCACTCTCCCGCTCCTCCCCCTTCCCCCAGCTCCCTTGGCCTCCTCTCGTGTCCCCCTCGCAATCGCCCCCTTCCTCGATGTCTCTTTTACCAACTCCCTCTGTGTTGCCTGGGCCCCCTCCCACTCCGCTTTTAAGACACTCAATCAAGCCTCCCCTCTTTCCCGTCTTCTCAACCCAACCCTATTCCCCTGCCACCTCCCGTCCCCACTTCCCCCCTCCCCCCCCCCCTTCAACCCGCAGTCTTCTTGGCCTTCACTCACGTCCTCCTCCCTCCTCGCCTCCTTCCTGGATGTTTCCTTCTCCGACTCCCTCTGTGGCTCCTGGGCTCCCGCCTACTCCCCGTCTGAAGCACTCAAAGCCTTCTCTCGTCCCCTCCCTCCCCCAATTTCTTGCCGCCCCATCCCGCAGTCCTCTTGGGCCCCCCTCGCGTCCTCCTCCCCGCTCGCCCCCTTCCTGGATGTTTCCTTCTCCGACTCCCTCTGTGGCGATTGGGCTCCCGCCTACTCCGCCTTGCACGCCCAAATTCGCCAGGCTGCTCGCACCAATGCCCCTGCGCTCGCACAAACCGCTGCTGCTGCTCACGCTGCTGCTGAAGCAGCACGTGAAGCAGTACGGCAATCAGCAGCACCAGCACCGGCACCTGTAGCAACAGCAGCAGCCGCCGGTGCAGCAGCAGCAGCAGCAGCAGCAGCAGCAGAAGCACCCTCTCCAACCACTCCACACCTCTCACCCCCCCCTCCGCCTCCCCCTCCGCCTCCCCCTTCCCCTCCTCCCCCAACCCCATACCCCAACCCACCTCTCGACCCATCCATCCGTTTCCTCACATACGAGTGGCCAGACGAGGCAGGGGGGCTAGGGGATTTCCTCACAGGCCTCGCCACCGCCTTTGCCTGCGCGCTGCTCTCCCACCGAGCCTTCCTGGTCCGGCACCCGTACCTCCCGCTGGCCTTTGCGCCGAACCTGGTGGACTGGTCGTGGACCCCGGACGTACCTGTGGAGCCGGCTCGGAAGCTAGCTCTGGAAGATGGGAAGCTGGGCGGGAGCAGGGCAGAGAGAGATGGAGGAAGAGGGGGAGACGGAGGGGGAGAAGGAGGGAGTGTGGGGGGAGAGGGGAGGGGAGGAGGGGAGGTGGAGGTGCAGGAGGGGGAGGTGGTGGTGGTGGATTTCAGGAACCGATTTGTTGAGCCGGAGGAGGTGTTTGGGATCATGGATAAGGCGATGAACGTGCGGGTGACGTGGAATAGAGGCCTGCTCACCTACCTCCTCGTGCAGGTCTGTGCGGGTCAGTGCGGTGCGGGTGTTTGGGATCATGGATAAGGCACTGAATGTGCGGGTGACTTGGAATAGAGGCCTGCTCATGTACCTCCTCGTGCAGGTCTGTGCCACTGGTGCAGGTCTGTGTCACTGGTGCAGGTCTGTGTCACTGGTGCAGGTCTGTGTCACTGGTGCAGGTCTGTGTCACTGGTGCAGGTCTGTGTCACTGGTGCAGGTCTGTGCCACTGGTGCAGGTCTGTGTCACTGGTGCAGGTCTGTGTCACTGGTGCAGGTCTGTGTCACTGGTGCAGGTCTGTGTCACTGGTGCAGGTCTGTGTCACTGGTGCAGGTCTGTGTCACTGGTGCAGGTCTGTGTCACTGGTGCAGGTCTGTGCCACTGGTGCAGGTCTGTGTCACTGGTGCAGGTCTGTGTCACTGGTGCAGGTCTGTGCCACTGGTGCAGGTCTGTGTCACTGGTGCAGGTCTGTGTCACTGGTGCAGGTCTGTGCCACTGGTGCAGGTCTGTGTCACTGGTGCAGGTCTGTGTCACTGGTGCAGGTCTGTGTCACTGGTGCAGGTCTGTGTCACTGGTGCAGGTCTGTGTCACTGGTGAAGGTCTGTGTCACTGGTGCAGGTCTGTGTCACTGGTGCAGGTCTGTGCCACTGGTGCAGGTCTGTGTCACTGGTGCAGGTCTGTGTCACTGGTGCAGGTCTGTGCCACTGGTGCAGGTCTGTGTCACTGGTGCAGGTCAGTGTCACTGGTTTCTTCCACTTCTCACCGCTTTCTTCTCCCTGCCTCTGCTGCCTCTACCTCTGCTGCTGCAGGCATTTGAGAAGAAGTGGGCGGACAGTCTAAAGGACATGGGCATGCGGCCTCCCTTTGAGTGGCCTAGACGTGATCTGCCCTCCTCACTCCCTTTCCGCTGTCTTCTGCTGCTGCTTCCTCTGCCTCTGCCCTTCCTCTGCTGCTACCTCTCCCTCTACCTCTGTCACAGGCATTTGAGAAGAAGTGGGCGGACAGACTAAAGGACATGGGCATGCGGCCTCCCTTTGCCTTTGGCTGCATCCTGCGATTCCTCCTCAAGTGAGTCGGCCAGTTACAGGGTTCAATATTCGAGTCAGCTCAAAAGTTCGCCAGTTACATGGTTCATTTCTTTCACGCGGATATGGTGTGTAGTGAATATATATATATATATATATATATATATATATATATCCATAAACAACAACATTGTTTTCAGAGTACAGTGCGTTCAGCCAGTCCCCCTGTTCCTTTCCCTTTCTCCTTCCCCTTCCCCTTTCATTTATGGCTTCCCCTCCCACATCCCCTCCCTCATCCCCTCCCGTTGCACACCTCTTCCTCTCTAACTCAGGCCCCAGCCAGAGGTCAGGTCTCGAGTGCAAGCCATCTACCACCACCTCCTCTCCCCTTCAAATGAGGTGCTTTCTTGCGCCTAAAAAAAACGCTGCCTTTCCCGTCTGTCTCCCCGGTCTCTTTCCCTCCCCCTTCCCCAACCCCTCCCCACCACCCCAGGCCCCAGCCAGAGGTCAGGTCTCGAGTGCAAGCCATCTACCACCACCTCCTCTCCCCTTCATTTGAGTTTTTACACGCGCTTCCCTCAACATCTGACATTCCCATTCACCCTCTCTTGTCTCTTCTTCCCCCCCGCAACACCCCCCTTCCCCATCCCAGGCCGCAACCAGCGGTCATCTCTCGAGTGCAAGCCATCTACCACCACCTCCTCTCCCCGCCCCCCTCCTCCTTCCGCCCATCGCACCCGCACCCCTCCTATGGCCCTTCGAATCGAGGGGTGGTGGTGGTGGGGATGCATATAAGAGCGGGGGACACAATGGTTTGGGAGGGAGAATGGGGATTCGGCGATCCCAAGGCGTTGAATGCCACACAGATGGATGCGCTGCTGTCGTGGGCTGACCAGTACATATCGTGTGCCAAGGTGGGTTTCTCTTTCCAAATCCGCCCTTCAAACCGAGGGGTGGTGGTGGTGGGGGTGCACATAAGAGCGGGAGACACGATGGTATGGGAGGGCGAGTGGGGGTTTGGCGATCCCAAGGCTCTCAATGCCACTCAGATGGATGTGCGCTGGCTCGTTGTCACCAAGGTGTCGTGTCGTGTCGTGTCGTGTCGTGTCGTGTCGTGTTGTGTCGTGTCGTGTCGTGTCGTGTCGTGTCGTGCCGTGCCGTGCCGTGTCGTGTCGTGCCGTGGCGTGTCGTGTCGTGCCGTGTCGTGCCGTGTCGTGTCGTGCCGTGGCGTGTCGTGGCGTGCCGTGTCGTGTCGTGCCGTGCCGTGTCGTGTCGTGCCGTGCCGTGCCGTGCCGTGCCGTGTCGTGTCGTGCCGTGCCGTGCCGTGCCATGCCGTGCCGTGCCGTGCCGTGCCGTGCCGTGCCGTGCCGTGCCGTGCCGTGCCGTGCCGTGTCGTGTTAGCCCTTCTTCCTGGATGCGCCTGAAGAAGTTTTTTTTTTTTTTAGTCGACTCAAATGAAGAAGGGCAGCAGCAGTAGGATGGATCGTGTTAGCAAAGAGACGATAGCCACTTCAGAAGAAAATGTAATTCTGGAAAGAAAAACCAAGTCCGCCCTTTCCCTGTCATCCACCCGTGCAGGCATTGGGGGAGTGGTGGGTGCCCTCCCCGCCCTATGAGGTGCGCTGGCTCGTGGTCACCAACTCTCTGCCGCTCAAGACCGCCCCTCATGTTCACATGTATCCTCCCTCCTCTCATCCCCCTCTCATTCCCCTCTCATCCCCCTCTCATTCCCCTCTCATCCCCCTCTCATCCCCCTCTCATCCCCCTCTCCGCCCCTATCATCCACCCACGCAGGCACTGGAGGAGTGGTGGGTGCCATCCCCGCCCTATGAGGTGCGCTGGCTCGTGGTCACCAACTCGCTGCCGCTCAAAACCGCCCTCTGGCTCAAATACCCCCACAGGGTACGAAATCCTTTCTCTCTCTCTGTTTCTCAAGACCGTCCTCTGGCTCAAGTACCCCCACAGGGTACGTGCTCACCCCTCTCATCCCTCTCCTCCCCCTCATCTCTGTCTCTTTCACACTCACACTTCACACTCGCTCCATGCTCTCAATTCCCATGCTCCCATGTTCTCACCCCGCATTCACTCCAATTCAAACCGTCACTCTCCACTTTCTCCACACTCACTCCACACCCTCCCTCCCCACTCTCACTCCTCATTCTCAGCCTTCTCTTCCCTGCCTGACCTCTCTCTCATCTCACCACCACCCATCTGCCCCTCGTTTGTGGCATAGGTGGTGGTATCGGACTTTGCTCCTCGCCATATTATCAACACTCTAACATCGCCCTAAGACGCCACACTTACTGACTTCCTGCCTCTGCTTGCCTCTCCTTCCTCTCTTTCTCTTGTGTGCCACAGGTGGTGGTATCAGACATTGTCCCCACTCTCACTCCCCACTCTCACCCTTGACCTCTCTCTCATTTTACCAATACCCATCTGCCCCATCATTGCCATCCTTGTTTGAGCCACAGGTGGTGGTATCAGACATTGTCCCTCGCCACGTCAACACCCTGACATCGCCCCAAGACCCAACACCCACTGACACACACACCCCTTCATCGCAAGATGTTTTGCCAGCTCACTTCACTCCAGAAGAAGGGGCGTCCACATACATTGACATTGTAACGGAATGGCTGCTTCTCGCGTCGAGTGGCGCGCTTATTTTGACAAAGTCGGGGTTTTCGCACACTGCGGCGTTTTACTCGCATCGTCTGGCTGCTGTTTATGTTCCGGAAGAATGTGACCCCGAGGCTTTTGTGCCGACGCGTAGAATAGGAAGAATATGGAGCGGGATATGATCATCTGCAGTGTATCTCATTCACAGCATCCGGTATCTGCTACTATATCCCGAACAACTCATGCATTCTGTTTGGTACCTTCTTTTTAGCGGGTCCCGGGTACAAGGTGATAGTCCCCTCAACCATTTGAAATTCCCTAGAACGCGCCCGCACACATCTCTAGTTGCCGCACCCAGCTTGTCGCGTCGAAGCTACCCACCTAGACTGCTGATTGCATTTCCCTCTCCTCCTGCTCGTAACTGCGCCTCCAGTCGATCGCGCATTATGCGCTTGTGCGCGCGCCTCTTATCGCGTACAGGTATAAGCTACGCGGGCGTTTCGCAGCGTCGAGTTCTGCCGATGATCGGGACTGCCTCGAGCAATCTCCGCCGTCCATTCTCGTCCACCCACGTTACAAGCCGTGTCAACCAACAGGCCAACATTGCCTCGAGAATATCCCCGACAAGAGAGTGCTTCGTTATAAATTCTTCCACGCGACGCATAAAGCATCTACATTCTGCAGCTGGCCACATCATCGGGTCCAAGTCATCCGGGTCAAGCGGCATCAGAAAGATGTCGTTTGCCAGCTCAGCGCAGCCGATGCTCACTCAACAGGCTGGAACCGCTTCAAACGAGACTTCAAGGCCGGATCAGGGTTTAAGAGGGGTTGAAGGGCTGGGGGTATCAACGGCTGTTAACTCAAGGGAGAGGGAGGGTTCAAAAGAGATGGAGGGTCTAGATGCACCGAATGCGCCGGGAGATTCGACTCGGGTGCGAGAGCCAGCGGGGGGTATAAACTCTGGCGCAACCCTCCCAATGGGCCCGCCCCCCTCAGCTGCCGCGTCTCCCGCAGTGGGCGCGCGCAGGCGGCATATGGAGCGGGTGCTGCGCGCCGAGCTGCCGTGGATGGGGGGCGCGCTGGACCCGCTGGTGGTGCGGATCATGCGGGAGGTGGTGGAGATAGAGGAGAAAATGAGAGAGGGGGAGGGCGTGAGTGAGGGAGCGAGGGAGGGAGTGAAGGAGGGAGTGAGGGAGGCGGAAGAAGGGAGAGTGGAAGGGAGCAGAGCGGTGGAGGTGAAGGGGCCTGAAGGACGAGGGGAGGAGGGGGGGAGTGAGGGGGAGAGGTGCGGAGGCGAGCTGGGGGAGAAAGGAGGGCAGGGGGAGAACGAGGAGGCACTGGAGGGGGTCGACCGGGAACATGGGGAGGATGAGGACGATGGTTATCTAGACGAGGTACGGTTGAATGCGGTATGGTATGGTTGAAGGTTGAAGGTCTTTTGAACGTTCTTCCTGCTCGCGTTCTCCCCTTTTTACGGCCCCCTCTGCCCCCTATCCCCCTCCTGCCCCCCCCCTCTATCATCCCCATGCTCCGCACGCCCCCCATTCCCTCCAAATCCCAGCAGCAGACGTTGTTTTTTAGACGTCTCAAAAATCCCCAAGCCCAGGAGCAGAGGCCATAGAGGCATGGGTTCTGTGGCCTGCCTGAACCGCGAGAGGAAGCGTGTGTTTCTCACCCACCCCTCATCAACCGTTTCTCAACTTCCCCGTTCCTCTCTCTCCTTGTCAGAGCCCAGGAGCGGAGGCGATAGAGGCGTGGTTCCGCGTGGCCTACTTGAGCCGAGAGAGGAAGCGGATGGACGGGGAAGGCTGTTTGCGCGCCTTTGCTGCTCGGCAGATGGCAGTGAAATTGATTACAGCGTACAGAGGGGCGTGCAGAGAGGTGCGTGGGTGTGCTGTGCGGTGCAGTGTGGTGTGGTGCGGTGCGGTGTGTATGCTGCATTAAACGCAGCCCATGGCGCGCGGGGAGGGCTGTTTGCCCGGCTTTTACTGCTCGGCAGATGGCTGTGAAGCTGATAACCGTGTATAGAGGGGCGTGCCGACACGTGAGTGTGCTGTGGCGTAGTGCGGTGCAGTGTGGTGTGGTGTATGTTGCAGTAAACGCTGCCCGTGGCGGGCGGGGAGGGTTTTTTGCGCGCCTTTGCTGCTCGTCACTGCTTACCGAGGGGCGTGCAGACAGGTGGGTGGGAGTGGTGTGGTGTGGTGGGGTGTGGTGGGGTGTGGTGTGGTGTGGTGTGGTGTGAAGTGGTGTGGTGTGGTGTGGTGTGAAGTGGTGTGGTGTGGTGTGAAGTGGTGTGGTGGGGTGTGGGTTCACTACGGTCATGCAAGGTGTCACACTCACACCTCCCCAACCAACCCCTCTTCCAGCTAACAACCCACACTCACACCCGTAACCTCTTCCCCCTTCCCTCCCTCCCTGCAGTGCTGGTTACCACGAGCCGACTGCACAAGGGAAGACTGCCGACTGTCACCCAACCCCTCTTTGCTAGTCCCTCCGCTCTTTCACTCACACACTCGTTTCCCAATCGTCCAATCCACCCTCCCTGCCGGCAGTGCTGGTTACCACGAGGGGACTGCACGTGTGATGAGGTCTCGCCCAACCCCTCCCTGCTCCCAGTCAACCCAACCTCTTCCCCCCTGTCCCCCCTGTCCCCCTTCTCCCAATTAACCCTCCCTGTCGGCAGTGCTGGTTACCACGAGCGGACTGCACGTGTGACGAGGTCTCGCCCAACCCCTCCCTGCTTACAAACGTGGTCATCTGGCTTTACATGCACCCCAAGGTGACCTGACCCTCCCTGTACGCGTTATAGCCTGACTTGATTCCCCTTGTTGAGAAACGTGGTCATCTGGATCTACATGCACCCCAAGGTGAATAGGCTATCCCTGTACTCGGTATAGTCAGTCAGATAAATGCAAGGCTTTTCTGACCACTGCTGAGCGACGTGATCATTAGGCTGTACAGACTACATCCACCCCCTGTACGGTGAGTGACCGCCCCTGTACTCATTATAATAATCAGAGTTAAATTAACTTGCTCATTTAACTTGCTGAACAACGTGGTCATCTCTGGCTCTACATACGCCCCAAGGTGTGTCACTCACTCACCGATGCTGTAGATTGCTTTTGAGAACACTAAAAAACACTCTGCGTCATCTCTGGCTCGTGTATGAAGTAATGTTTCGAGACGTCTCCTTGGCACGTTTCGAGATGACCACCACGTCTCAAAACGTTACTTCAAACATAGACCCCAAGGTCATCTCTGGCTCTCCATAGACCCCAAGGTCGTGTTTTGAGTTGACTCAAAGCAACGTGGTCATCTCTGGCTCTCCATAGACCCCAAGGTCGTGTTTTGAGTTGACTCAAAGCAACGTGGTCATCTCTGGCTCTCCATAGACCCCAAGGTGAGGCACATTCTAGGCTTCTGATATCGTGGCCTGAGTAGAGTCCGCAAACTGGTTCATGTGGATGTGCATGCATGATGCACCCCAAGGAGAGGGGAAGTATTGCCTTGCACTGCATGCTCCTTGCTGTGCACTTTCCCTCCCTCTTTCCCCCGCCCTCTTTCCCCCGCCCTTCCTCTCTCCCTCCCTCCCTCCCTCCCTCCCTCCCTCCCTCCCTCCCTCCCTCCCTCCCTCCCTCCCTCCCTCCCTCCCTCCCGCCCTCCCTCCCTCCCTACCTCCCTCCCTCCCTCCCTCCCTCCCTCCCTCCCTCTTTCCCCCGCCCTTCCTCTCTCCCTCCCTCCCTCCTCCCTCCCTCCCTCCCTCCCTCCCTCCCTCCCTCCCTCCCTCCCTCCCTCCCTCCCTCTCTCCCTCCCTCCCTCCCTCCCTCCCTCTTCCTCCCCCACTTCCCTCCCTCCCTCCCTTTTACCCCCTCCCTCCCTCCTCCCTCTTTTCCCCCGCTCCCTCCCTCCGTCCCTCCCACTTTCCCCCTTCTCCCTCCCTCCCTCCCTCCCTCCCTTCCCCCCCCTCTTCCCTCCCTCCCTCCCTCCCTCCCTCCCTCCCTCCCTTTCCCTCTTCTCCCTTCTTCCCCATCTCCTCCTCATTACGCACTGCCTCGGTCCCCCTGGCTGCCCTGCCCTCACCTGCATGAGCTTCTCTGCCGCAACTGCCAAGGCAAGCTGCTGTGGCAGGTGCTGCTGGGGGTGGAAGAGTGTAGTGCCTTGCGCTGCATGCTCGCTCCCATTTCTACAGGCTTGCAGCTACTCCACGATGAACCTTGATCCGAGCTGCTGTGGCAGCTGCTGTGGCAGGTGCTGGGGTGGAAGAGTGTAGTGTGAGTTGCGCTGCATTCTTGCTCCCTCCCTCCCACACCCGCCCCTCTCTCGTCTCTCTCTTACAGTCTCTCTCTCTCTTATGTTTCTCACTCCCTCTGTCTCAACCTTGCAAGATTTTCCTAGTCGCAGCAACACAGGCAAGCTGCTGTGGTAGGTGTTGGGTGTCAGCACCCCGCTATTCCCTCTGTCTTGTCTCCCTTGCTCCACCTGCTTCCTCTCCTCTCCTCTTCAGGTCTTTCTGCGGCGCTGCAACACAGGCAAGCTGCTGTGGCAGGTGCTGGGGGGTCAGCACTCCCTACCTATCCCCTGTCCGTGTCCCCCACCCTTGTCCCCCACTCTGTCTCACTTCCTTGTGCGCCCCCACCCTCACGTCTGCAGGACGTTCTGCGGCGCAACAACACGGGCAAGCTGCTGTGGCAGGTGCTGGGGAAGGGTGTGTGTAATGTCTTTCACTGCATGCTCGCTCCATCTCCTATCATTTTTCACTCCCTCTGTCTCACGCCTGCAGGACTTTCTTCGGCGCAACAACACGGGCAAGCTGCTGTGGCAGGTGCTGGGGGGTGAGAGTGCGCGGCTGTGTGTGTTTGGCATTAACGCTTATGAGGAGCGCATGTGGGATGAGCTGAAGCGAGCAGGTGGGTGTGATGTGCGCTCGTGCGTGTCTGTGTGTGTTGTATGGCTGTGCGCGTGCGTGCGTGTGCGTGTTTGCAGTGAGGTCTTCCGAGTCAGCCTCCTCCCCTCCTCCCTCGCCTCACTAACAACCCATCTCCCCCTCCGCCATCTCCCCCTCCCCCATCTCCCCCTCCCCCATCTCCCCCTCCGCCATCTCCCCCTCCGCCATCTCCCCCTCCGCCATCTCCCCCTCCGCCATCTCCCCCTCCGCCATCTCCCCCTCCCCCATCTCCCCCTCCGCCATCTCCCCCTCCCCCATCTCCCCCTCCGCCATCTCCCCCTCCCCCATCTCCCCCTCCGCCATCTCCCCCTCCGCCATCTCCCCCTCCGCCATCTCCCCTCCCATCTCCCCCTCCGCCATCTCCCCCTCCCCCATCTCCCCCTCCGCCATCTCCCCCTCCCCCATCTCCCCCTCCGCCATCTCCCCCTCCCCCATCTCCCCCTCCCCCATCTCCCCCTCCGCCATCTCCCCCTCCCCCATCTCCCCCTCCCCCATCTCCCCCTCCGCCATCTCCCCCTCCCCCATCTCCCCCTCCCCCATCTCCCCCTCCGCCATCTCCCCCTCCCCCATCTCCCCCTCCCCCATCTCCCCCTCCGCCATCTCCCCCTCCGCCATCTCCTCCTCCCCCATCTCCCCCTCCGCCATCTCCCCCTCCCCCATCTCCCCCTCCCCCATCTCCCCCTCCCCCATCTCCCCCTCCGCCATCTCCCCCTCCGCCATCTCCCCCTCCGCCATCTCCCCTCCGCCATCTCCCCCTCCCCCATCTCCCCCTCCGCCATCTCCCCCTCCCCCATCTCCCCCTCCGCCATCTCCCCCTCCCCCATCTCCCCCTCCCCCATCTCCCCCTCCGCCATCTCCCCCTCCCCCATCTCCCCCTCCGCCATCTCCCCCTCCCCCATCTCCCCCTCCGCCATCTCCCCCTCCGCCATCTCCCCCTCCGCCATCTCCCCCTCCGCCATCTCCCCCTCCGCCATCTCCCCCTCCCCCATCTCCCCCTCCGCCATCTCCCCCTCCCCCATCTCCCCCTCCGCCATCTCCCCCTCCCCCATCTCCCCCTCCCCCATCTCCCCCTCCGCCATCTCCCCCTCCCCCATCTCCCCCTCCCCCATCTCCCCCTCCGCCATCTCCCCCTCCCCCATCTCCCCCTCCCCCATCTCCCCCTCCGCCATCTCCCCCTCCCCCATCTCCCCCTCCCCCATCTCCCCCTCCGCCATCTCCCCCTCCGCCATCTCCTCCTCCCCCATCTCCCCCTCCGCCATCTCCCCCTCCCCCATCTCCCCCTCCGCCATCTCCCCCTCCGCCATCTCCCCCTCCGCCATCTCCCCCTCCGCCATCTCCCCCTCCCCCATCTCCCCCTCCGCCATCTCCCCCTCCCCCATCTCCCCCTCCGCCATCTCCCCCTCCGCCATCTCCTCCTCCCCCATCTCCCCCTCCGCCATCTCCCCCTCCCCCATCTCCCCCTCCCCCATCTCCCCCTCCCCCATCTCCCCCTCCGCCATCTCCCCCTCCGCCATCTCCCCCTCCGCCATCTCCCCCTCCGCCATCTCCCCCTCCGCCATCTCCCCCTCCCCCATCTCCCCCTCCGCCATCTCCCCCTCCGCCATCTCCCCCTCCCCCATCTCCCCCTCCGCCATCTCCCCCTCCGCCATCTCCTCCTCCCCCATCTCCCCCTCCGCCATCTCCCCCTCCCCCATCTCCCCCTCCCCCATCTCCCCCTCCCCCATCTCCCCCTCCCCCATCTCCCCCTCCCCCATCTCCCCCTCCGCCATCTCCCCCTCCGCCATCTCCCCCTCCGCCATCTCCCCCTCCGCCATCTCCCCCTCCCCCATCTCCCCCTCCGCCATCTCCCCCTCCGCCATCTCCCCCTCCCCCATCTCCCCCTCCGCCATCTCCCCCTCCGCCATCTCCTCCTCCCCCATCTCCCCCTCCGCCATCTCCCCCTCCCCCATCTCCCCCTCCCCCATCTCCCCCTCCCCCATCTCCCCCTCCGCCATCTCCCCCTCCCCCATCTCCCCCTCCGCCATCTCCCCCTCCCCCATCTCCCCCTCCGCCATCTCCCCCTCCCCCATCTCCCCCTCCGCCATCTCCCCCTCCGCCATCTCCCCCTCCGCCATCTCCCCCTCCGCCATCTCCCCCTCCCCCATCTCCCCCTCCGCCATCTCCCCCTCCCCCATCTCCCCCTCCGCCATCTCCCCCTCCCCCATCTCCCCCTCCGCCATCTCCCCCTCCGCCATCTCCCCCTCCCCCATCTCCCCCTCCGCCATCTCCCCCTCCCCCATCTCCCCCTCCGCCATCTCCCCCTCCCCATCTCCCCCTCCGCCATCTCCCCCTCCGCCATCTCCCCCTCCGCCATCTCCCCCTCCGCCATCTCCCCCTCCGCCATCTCCCCTCCGCCATCTCCCCTCCCCCATCTCCCCCTCCGCCATCTCCCCCTCCCCCATCTCCCCCTCCGCCATCTCCCCCTCCCCCATCTCCCCCTCCCCCATCTCCCCCTCCGCCATCTCCCCCTCCCCCATCTCCCCCTCCCCCATCTCCCCCTCCGCCATCTCCCCTCCCCCATCTCCCCCTCCCCCATCTCCCCCTCCGCCATCTCCCCCTCCCCCATCTCCCCCTCCCCATCTCCCCCTCCGCCATCTCCCCCTCCGCCATCTCCTCCTCCCCCATCTCCCCCTCCGCCATCTCCCCCTCCCCCATCTCCCCTCCCCCATCTCCCCCTCCCCCATCTCCCCCTCCGCCATCTCCCCCTCCGCCATCTCCCCCTCCGCCATCTCCCCCTCCGCCATCTCCCCCTCCCCCATCTCCCCCTCCGCCATCTCCCCCTCCCCCATCTCCCCCTCCGCCATCTCCCCCTCCACCATCTCCTCCTCCCCCATCTCCCCCTCCGCCATCTCCCCCTCCCCCATCTCCCCCTCCCCCATCTCCCCCTCCCCCATCTCCCCCTCCGCCATCTCCCCCTCCGCCATCTCCCCCTCCGCCATCTCCCCCTCCGCCATCTCCCCCTCCGCCATCTCCCCCTCCCCCATCTCCCCCTCCGCCATCTCCCCCTCCGCCATCTCCCCCTCCCCCATCTCCCCCTCCGCCATCTCCCCCTCCGCCATCTCCTCCTCCCCCATCTCCCCCTCCGCCATCTCCCCCTCCCCCATCTCCCCCTCCCCCATCTCCCCCTCCCCCATCTCCCCCTCCCCCATCTCCCCCTCCCCCATCTCCCCCTCCGCCATCTCCCCCTCCGCCATCTCCCCCTCCGCCATCTCCCCCTCCGCCATCTCCCCCTCCGCCATCTCCCCCTCCCCCATCTCCCCCTCCGCCATCTCCCCCTCCGCCATCTCCCCCTCCCCCATCTCCCCCTCCGCCATCTCCCCCTCCGCCATCTCCTCCTCCCCCATCTCCCCCTCCGCCATCTCCCCCTCCGCCATCTCCTCCTCCCCCATCTCCCCCTCCGCCATCTCCCCCTCCCCCATCTCCCCCTCCCCCATCTCCCCCTCCCCCATCTCCCCCTCCGCCATCTCCCCCTCCGCCATCTCCCCCTCCGCCATCTCCCCCTCCGCCATCTCCCCCTCCGCCATCTCCCCCTCCCCCATCTCCCCCTCCGCCATCTCCCCCTCCGCCATCTCCCCCTCCCCCATCTCCCCCTCCGCCATCTCCCCCTCCGCCATCTCCTCCTCCCCCATCTCCCCCTCCGCCATCTCCCCCTCCCCCATCTCCCCCTCCGCCATCTCCCCCTCCCCCATCTCCCCCTCCGCCATCTCCCCCTCCCCCATCTCCCCCTCCGCCATCTCCCCCTCCGCCATCTCCTCCTCCCCCATCTCCCCCTCCGCCATCTCCCCCTCCCCCATCTCCCCCTCCCCCATCTCCCCCTCCCCCATCTCCCCCTCCGCCATCTCCCCCTCCCCCATCTCCCCCTCCCCCATCTCCCCCTCCGCCATCTCCCCCTCCCCCATCTCCCCCTCCCCCATCTCCCCCTCCGCCATCTCCCCCTCCCCCATCTCCCCCTCCCCCATCTCCCCCTCCGCCATCTCCCCCTCCGCCATCTCCTCCTCCCCCATCTCCCCCTCCGCCATCTCCCCCTCCCCCATCTCCCCCTCCCCCATCTCCCCCTCCCCCATCTCCCCCTCCGCCATCTCCCCCTCCGCCATCTCCCCCTCCGCCATCTCCCCCTCCGCCATCTCCCCCTCCCCCATCTCCCCCTCCGCCATCTCCCCCTCCCCCATCTCCCCCTCCGCCATCTCCCCCTCCGCCATCTCCTCCTCCCCCATCTCCCCCTCCGCCATCTCCCCCTCCCCCATCTCCCCCTCCCCCATCTCCCCCTCCCCCATCTCCCCCTCCGCCATCTCCCCCTCCGCCATCTCCCCCTCCGCCATCTCCCCCTCCGCCATCTCCCCCTCCCCCATCTCCCCCTCCGCCATCTCCCCCTCCCCCATCTCCCCCTCCGCCATCTCCCCCTCCGCCATCTCCCCCTCCCCCATCTCCCCCTCCGCCATCTCCCCCTCCGCCATCTCCTCCTCCCCCATCTCCCCCTCCGCCATCTCCCCCTCCCCCATCTCCCCCTCCGCCATCTCCCCCTCCCCCATCTCCACCTCCGCCATCTCCCCCTCCCCCATCTCCCCCTCCGCCATCTCCCTCTCCGCCATCTCCTCCTCCCCCATCTCCCCCTCCGCCATCTCCCCCTCCCCCATCTCCCCCTCCCCCATCTCCCCCTCCCCCATCTCCCCCTCCGCCATCTCCCCCTCCCCCATCTCCCCCTCCCCCATCTCCCCCTCCGCCATCTCCCCCTCCCCCATCTCCCCCTCCCCCATCTCCCCCTCCGCCATCTCCCCTCTCTCACCAGCCACATACTCTGGCGAGAGAGTGGCTGGAGGCCGCCAGGGTATCCAGCCGCCTCCCCTCCGCCGCTTCACACACACTCTACCCTGTCCATCTCTGGCCCCCACCAGGCCTTGTATCTGTGTGGTGTGGTGTGGTGTGGTGTGGTGTGGTGTGGTGTGGTGTGATGTGGTGTGTACCCTGCCTCCTCTCCTCCCCCAACCCTCCATCCATATTCACCAACACCTGGTATCAATAACACCTGGTCACCACCAGGTGTACTCATCGGCTCACTCACTAGCACACTACTCTGCCCTGTCCGTCTGTCTCTCCGACCAGGCGCTGACTCAGTGTGGTGTGTGCTCCCTGCCTCGTCTCCTACTCTCCTCTGATACCAATAACGTGAAAGAAACTATGAGCTATAGAAAGTTGAGGAAGAATTGTTAACATTAGATCAAGAGAGCACAAGGTTATACAAGGAAGAGAGGGTTGGAGAGGAACACCAAACCTAGCACATAAGACATCAAGACCAAGTAGGCTAGTGGGAGGGAGGACCATCCAACCAACCCTAGTGGGGTGGTGGCCAACCAACCAAAGTTGGTTGCCCCACTTGGCCAACAAGGTTGGAGCCAAGTCTAAGCTAGGATATTTGGGTTCACCCCAATTAGGGTGTCTACCTGCAGTACACCCAAAACTAGAGCCTGAACCAACCCAACTGTACACCACTCTTGGTGTACAGTCACAAGTGTTCGCATGCTATAATATATAGATTCTAACATAACACTCTCTCAACAGGCTTACCCATCAGGCCTCTAACACTCCATTTCTGTCCCCCACACACCACGCCATACCCCACCAGGTCCTGACTCCGTCTGGTGCGTGTGCCCTGTCGCCTCCCCTCCCTCACCCAGCCTCTTAATGACACTCTACCCTGTCCCTCTCTCCTTCTCACCAGGTCCTGACTCCGTCTGGTGCGTGTACCCAGCCTCCTCTCCTCCCCCCGATACCGTGCCATCCATGCACATACCCTCCTCCTTCTCCTCCTCCTCCTCCTCGTCGTCCTCCCCAGCGTGTAAGAAGCAGAGACACATTGAGACTCACCACTGCACCACCACTGCTGCTGATGGCGCTAGTAGAGCTGCTGCTGATTTGGGGGCAGCAACACCAGGGGCAGCAGAGGCAGCAGCACCACCAGAGGCAGCAGGAGAGGTAGCAGGCACCGGGGGTGTGGCATTGGGAGCAGCGGCAGCAGACATTACAGCGCCTCCATCTTCATCTTCATCTTCCCCGCTTCACTTCATTCTCATAGACGGCACGTGGAGCAACTCTAAGGCCATGACAGCCCGGCTCAAGGTGCGTGCATCGTAAGCAGGTGGCACCCGGGCCGGGACACGCACCCGGGCCGGGACACACACCCGGGACATGCACCCGGGACACGCACCCGGGACATGCACTTTTGAGTCGACTCAAAAGGCAATGCCTGCATCGCTGTTGCATTCGTCTTCATTCTTCTCCGCTTCACTTGATTCTCATTGACAGCACTTGGAGCAACTCCAAAGCCATGACGCCGACCTTAGTTGTCGGCGTTTAGGGTTTGCAACTGTTGTTTTGGGAGTATGGGCTGTGACTCAAATTGTGCTTGACGGCACTTGGACCCACTCCAAGGCCATGACAGCAAGACTCAAGGTGCGTGACGTGTGTAGCGACGGGCGCTGCATCGCATGCATCGTGTGTCATCACCTCTTCACTTATTTCTTATTGACGGCACTTGGAGCAACTCCAAAGCCATGACCGCCAGACTCAAGGTGAGTTCGAAGAGTCGTTTTGGGTTGAAGGGCAAATCAGCAAGACCTTCATTGCTGGCGTTTAGAGCCTGAAGTGCTGTTTTGAGAGAGTGGTGCATGGCTCAATGCGGCACTGATGGCATGTGTACATGGCTCAATGCGGCACTGATGGCATGTGTGCATGGCTCAATGCGGCACTGATGGCATGTGTGCATGGCTCAATGCGGCACTGATGGCATGTGAACCAACTCCTTGGCCATGATCGCAAGGTGACTGTTTTCGTCGACTCAAAGGTCACCTCGTTACAGTGGGTCGTCTCAAAGGTGACTCCACAGTGACGCGACGCCATGTGGGAGCAGCTCCAAGGTCATGACTGCAAGACCCTCAAATCTTGCGATTCCCGCTTTGTTTTGCGCCACAGGAAGCAGCACAGAGAGCATGGGACGGGAGGGACCTGCCGTTCCTGTCTCTGCAACCACCACAGCCATCAGTCATGCATGGTCTCAGGTGAGGCCCGCTCGTGTGGATTTTTTTGAATGTGTATCTTCATTCACCTGAAACCGTGTCACACACTTCCCGTTATGCTCCTCTGCCTGTTTCTGTATTCAACACCAGTCTCCATTGCCGTAAACTGAGGCATACATACATCTGAACGTTTGAATTACCTGTTGAATTGTTGGGGTTGAACAATTAATCCGCCCTTTCTTGCTGGCCGCTCCATCCCGTCTCTTTGAATCGCATATCAGGCCTCAACCAGCAGAAGACAAGACGTGCACTGCAGCAGCCGCATCGAGCCTTTTGCGTGAGCTTGGCGAAAGGGAGGAGATGGATACACAGCAGTTATCGAGAGCAGCAGACGCCATCGACAATGCATTGCTGTGTCTGCTTGACGCTCTCACGGACCGAAGGAGGAGGTCCGGGAGGCCTGGTCTGAGGCTCGGCTTGGGCCGAAATGCAAGGCCATTCTAGAGGATGGTTGATGAAAGGAGGAGCTGGGTGGAGTCTGTACAGTGAATCACTTTTTTTTAGTCGATAGCAAGCTCACTTGCCATGCACATCACATCTCAGCTCTGTAAAACTGACAGCCTATGACGCGTACGTATGCCAAGCTGAAATCCGAGACAGGTAACCACAATTGTTCTAACCCCAGTATTGACTGTTACGAAGGGCGAGATTCTCTAGCGGAGATCCGCGAAACGGGTTGCTCTTTTCGGCAAAGCACAACCCACCCCACACGCCGTCGCTGTTCCATCGTACCATTTTGCCAGACAGAATTTCTCTGTGTGCTGTCGAATTTCGTGGTGAAATCAATCTGGAATCAATTTGTTACTAGATTCTAGTTCATTACACTGCATCCGCGACAGACCAGATTCTCCGCAAATGGCGCTTTGCCATCCACTCGCCCGTTGCGCGACGACGCAGTATCTCTTCGTTTCCTCCCCGCGCTCTCCGCATGTCTCCACAAATCTCCGCGGAACCCGCGCCTTCCCATGCCGTCCCAAACAGCAAAGCACCTTCGGGAGTCGTCACTCTCGTGTACATTTCGCTTCGATAAGAGCACACTCGTTACCATCATCCAGCCACTCGGCAACATCGGACTCTTCCTCGCCCCTTTCCGCCGCGCAACCATCCACCTCCCCGCTCACCCCCGCGCCCCTCCCTTGCCCCTGCGCCATCTGCTCCCGCCGCGCGCTCATTTCCGCCTCTCTCCTCCTCTCCGCCTCCGCGCTTCCCGCAGACTCAGCCGATTCCGCCGCGGCGGCTTCCGCGCAGACGGCGGAGGCGGCACAAGCGGCGCTCGCGGCGGTGCGCGGCGGGAAATGGCGGTGGCAGGAGGAGCTATTCGCGTGGATGATGGCGACCGGTATGAAGGAGTATGAGGAGAGTGTAGAGGGGTATAAGCTGGCTTTATTCGAGCCGCTTAGATCGGAAATTGGTAGAGTAACAGGAGGGCAGGGTGGTGAAGCAGTTGGAGGAGAAGGGACGGTGGAATCTGGGAGCGATGCGGTTTTCAGAGTGGTGGAGATCGGTGTAGGAGCAGGCCCCAACTTCCGCTTCTACACCCAGAACTCGTTACAGACACAATCCGCGCCAGGTTTTGAGGTTGTGGGTGTAGATCCGAATCCGTCGATGCAGCCATATGCAGAGGCGTCGGCAGCAGCAGCAGGGTTCCAGTTCCGATTCGTTCAAGGCGTGGGGGAAGCGCTCCCATTGGACGACGGCTGTGCTGACGTGGTAGTGTGCTCCCTGGTGCTGTGTTCGGTTGCTGACGTCAGGCAGTGCGTCAGCGAAATTAAACGCATTCTCAAGCCTGGAGGAAGGTAAGGCGTTGTGCTGTTTGTACCCTCTCCTCTTCTCTCGCCTCCTTTTCTCCCCTCTCCTTTTCTTCTTCGTCTCCTCCTCTTTCTCCTTGTTCTCCCTCTCCCTCCTTTTCTCCCCCCCTTCTCTGTCTTCTTCTCCCTCCTCTCCTCTTCTCTTCCTCCTCCCTTCTCCTTCTCCTCCTCTCTTCCCTCCCTTTTCTCCTCTCCCATCGCCCTCTCTCTTCTCTCTCTCCCTTTTTCTCACCCCGTCCCTCCCAGCTATTACTTCCTGGAGCACGTTTCAGCACCGCATGGCACCACTCTGCACCTCTGGCAAACCATCCTAGACCCCTTACAGCCCCTGTTATACGACGGCTGCCACATCACACGCAACCCCCTCCCTGCAATCAAGCTAGCAGGCTTCGCTGCAGTTAAAGCCCAGGAGGTGGTGCTGCCAGGGCTGTGGCTCATCAGCCCCCACGTGATTGGGCAAGCAGTTAAAGCTTAGACGCTCAGTAGCACACCCTCCCCGTCCGTCTTACCGCCATGAAGCTAACAGGCTTTAGTGCAATTAAGGCAAGGGAGGCGGTGCTGCCAGGGCTTTGGCTCATCAGTCCGCATGTAATTGGCCAAGCGGTTAAAGCCCAGTGACTGCACATTCCGGCCTGGTCATTGGATGTGCTGCACTGAATCAAGATGCGAAACAGCAGGAGGAAAATCGCCAGGACTTGAAGGACCCTTGAATCATCTGTGACAAGTATTAGACCTGCCTCCCTCTTTCGTCCTCCATTCCCGTTTTTTTTCTGCCTCTTTTTTTTCCTTCTCTTTTTGCCGTTCTCGGTCGTTTTTTTGTCACATTGACCTGCCCCAGTTACTATTTCCTGGAGCACGTGGCAGCACCGCAGGGCACCGCTCTGAACACCTGGCAGCGGCTGTTGGACCCACTGCAATCTGCACTGGCAGACGGGTGTCATCTCACACGCAGCCCTTTGACTGCCATCAAGCTCGCGGGGTTTGGTGCGGTGCAAGCAAGGGAGGTCATGGTTCCGGGGCTCTCGTTGCTGGCGCCACATGTTGTCGGCACGGCTGTGAAGGCTTAGCGTTTGCAATGTATTTGCCACACTCTATTACCCTCACATCACACTGTCACATTATATATGTGGGTTGAAAGATGTGGGGCTACATGCACGCAGCAGTAGTAGATGGGAGTGGATGTAATACCGTAAACCCCATTGGCTATATCATATTGACATATACCAATTTTGTAGATTAATGTATTTCGGACTCACTCATAGCTTTATCTTTTTCGTTAAGGGCGGGTCAAAAGAGTACGTTCCAATACGGTTGAAAAAGGTTTAGACTTGATCCAGAGCGGTCTTAATTTACAACAAGATGGTTGGGTTGGGTTCGCTGCGAATACGTGCATTGTTTGACCCGCTCTAAGAAGAATGATTCGGCAGTCAGACGGACAAATTGACGGCCGTCACGCCGAAATGTCTGCTCTTTTCAGTCAGAGATAGAGATGGATGTCAGATGGTTAAGAGCCAGGTGATACGGTAAACCGTGGTGGGTAGCTGACTCCTCTCCTGTGGTCTAGCTGACTCCTCTCCTCTCCTTCTCGAACCTGATTCCATACATATTCAATATTCAATTCATATACCGCGGTTTTGTTTGTTTGGCTACGGTCCAAAGCGGTACATTCTGAAACCGCTGTGTACTGTACGAAACCCTACTGAACTGCACTGAGCGATTAGTGATAGTTGATCGCCAGGCTCCTTTCTGCTGGTCTAGGAATCTGGCTCCAAAAACGGCCTGCACGGCAGCCTGGATGACGACACCACCGATAGCAGGAATGCCGAGCCTGTCGTCGCTGCTTTGTACTGATGGCGGCAATACCGATGTTGCCGATAGCAACGGAAGCAGCATAGATGGTGGTAACACTATATGGCGATATTCAACGAATAGCACGCGAACAGAAATGACTGTCAACCTTGGTCGAGCATTTGGCGGGTGAAGGAATACTCGAGAGTCAGTCACAGACTACAACAGTTCGCAGCCGTGGGAGAGCCAGCAAATAGGCGTTTTGAAGTCGCTGGGTTCGCCACTCTCCTCGTATCACCGCGGCTCGTAGTTAAAATGGTTCGAAGCGAGTGAAGCACCGTCTCAGAACAGCGCGTGGTATAGTATTTCGATTGTGGTCGGCTGAGTTGGGATTAGCGTCGAAAGGTAGGTGGACGAATGGATTTTCCCGGGGGAAGTATGGACGAGGGTTTCCTGCTGGATCAGCGTCGTTTCGGCGGAGATTCGAGCCAGAATTCGGCTGGATACTTTGACCGCGAGTGTGAAAGGACCGAAGGCTTCGATGTTCTCAACACCGATACAGCTTACTACGAACCAGATTCTCGTATTGCAGCCGGAACCGTTAGCGAAGAAGGTCCGCCACGTGGTGACATCAGAAGCGTACAATCTTACGTGGCAAACCCATGTGTGATGGTGATAGGTGACGTGGAAATCCCGTTGGTGATTCCTCCTGGCTCGTCAGCTGACTCTCCGCTTAATGGATGTGACTTAGAAGCCATTCTTGACACATCACCTTTTGACATGGATACCCTGATTGACACGTCACCATCCCCAGCAGCTCCTTGTTTTCCCTCTCCACCCAATCCCCCTTTTCAGTCATTTACCCCAACGGAGATTGAGAGGATTGAGAGGACCACGCAAATTCCGTTGTACGACGCAAATTCTCCTGCTACAGTAGTGCCAGAGAAGCTTCCTTCCAGAATTGAGAAGCTTCCTTTCAGAACTGAGAACCTTCCCCGGGACACGTCACCCCCTGGCAAGATTCGTAGGGGCGATCTGACCACTCGCCTGGCGTCAATAATCCGTGGAATCTCTTCCAAGCCTCGACCGGTGGCTCGGCCCGTGCAAGGCAGCCGAGCCACGCAATTAGGCTCAAGCAAAGGCTCGGAATCAGCCCCCACAAGTGGTAACTCAGGTACGGAATACAGTGAGGTTCGGGCAAACGGCATGGCAGGTATTGGAGTTGCACCTGACCACCAGATGACCACGCTTGGAAGAACAAGTATGGGTTTAGGTGCGAGAGCAGGTCAGGGGGGAGCGAGCAGGGAAGCAGAGGGTGTAGTAGGAGGAGGAGGAACAGCAGCAGCTAGGGGTGCAGTGCAAGGCGGGGTTGGAACAGGGACGGCAATGGAGGTGGTGGGTGTGTTGCAGAGCCTGTCGTCTGGGCTTGAGCGGCTGAGGGAGCTGCAGGGGATGATGGAGGCGCAACAGAGGCAGCAGCAGCTGCTGCAGTCGATTCAACAGCAGCAGCAGCAGCAGCAGCAGCAGCAGCAGCAGCAAACGCATTGGCAACAGCAACAACCGATGCAGCAACAGCACCAGCCGGAGACGGAGTGGAAGCAGCAGGGGCAAGAGCACAGGAATTTGCAGCTGGTGCAATCAACACCACCACTGCAGGGCCGATTGCGGCAGCAGCAGCAGCAGCAGGGTTCTGTCCAATTGCACCTGTGTCAAACCCAGCATGCTCGACTGTCAACTCAAGACACCTCAGCCTCCCAACCCATCCAGCATCGAACTTTCCTCGCTCTCTCCTCACGCCGTCCCACGTTCCCCGCTTTCCCGCCTTCTCCTCATCCCCCCTCCACTCAAAACCCGCCCCTCACCACCCCTCTCCACCTCCGCCCAAACCTCCAATTCGACTTCTCTCTCTTCGCAGACTCGTCCCTCCGTCGCGTGAGCGTCCCCTCACAGCCCAGCAGGGAGGAGGAGAGGGAGCGGCGGCTGAGGCAACACGTGCTGGCGCTAGCAGAGGCGCACGCAGTGGGGGACTGGGCGCTGGTGCGGCGGTGGGGGAAGAAGGTGCGGGGGGAGGCGAGCGCGGAGGGGGATGCGGGGCAGCGAGTGGCGTGGTTCATGGTGGAGGCGCTGGAGGCCCGGGCGGACGGCACAGCTGCTGTTAAATGGAGGGCTCCTATACAGTTCCAAGTCAAGGTGAGATGGGGCTGGGTGGGTTGGGTGGTGCGTGCGGGGCAGCGCGTGGCGTGGTACATGGTGGAGGCTTTGGAGGCGAGGGCGGACGACACCGCTGCTGTCAAGTGGTGAGCGGCCATATAGTTTCAAGTCAAGGTGAGAAGCTGGGGGGTTGTTTCTTTGGTGTGGCTGCGATGGTACATGCTGCAGGCTCTGGAGGCGAGGGCGGCAGTGATTGTATCAGCGATTGTGAGCTTGGAACTGAACAATAGTTATCTTTTTTCGTTTCAACATACTGACGGGGAATGCATGCTATGACATTTCAAGGAGGACGCATCGAAGGCAAAAGTTTACAGCTTGGAGCAATGGGTGAACAGAATACCTGGCACCGATATTCCCATCATCCCATGCCAAATCAGTACAATAAGTTGTCAATGACACGTGATTTTTGACAACTATGGTATGGGAGTATCTGTGCCTGGTATTGTGTTCACAATTGCTCCAAGCTGTGTCCTTTCACCTTCAATGAGTCGTTCTTGGAATGCCATATCATACATTTGCCGTCAGTATGCTGAAACAAAAACAAAACAGCTGCTGTTTGGTTCTGAGGTCACAACACTGATACAATCACTGTCTACAAAAGCAGCTGCAGAGGGGCAAGTAGGGCGGGTGGTTGATTGAGAAGGAGTAAGCAACAGGAGCCTGAGTGAGATGTTGGGGGTTGAGGCTAATGTAAAGGAAACCGAATGGCAGTAGGCGTAACAAGGGTGTGAGTGACCAAGTGAACAGCAAGGGGAGTGGCATGAGAAACGACGAGACCCCGTAATGCCCCCTAAAACACCTGTCTATCTTTCTTCTGCCGTCTCTCTCACACAGTCTGCAGCAGATGTGATGGCAGCAGTGGGGCACTCTCATGAGACCAACATTGTGTGGATCAACTTCGCCTTTGCTGCTCTCCTCCACGAAGTGCCGCGCGCTCTGGTTACCACTGCCACACACACACCACCAGTGGAACTACCAGCTGCTGCAGCAGCAGCAGCAGCACCACCACCACCACCACCACCAGCAACAGCAACAGCAACAGCAACGATGTCATCTCCCCCACGCCGCATTCACCTGGTGATGTTTGGCATCATCGGTGCGCCTCAGTGGGCCTCCCTCCTCTGCCGCATTGCCACTGCTTGCGGCTTCCCTGCTGCTGCTGCAGCTGCCGCCGCTGCTGGTGCTGCTTCTGCTTCTGCTTCTGCTTCTTCTGCATCTGCTCATGCTGCCCCTACCCTTGCTGCTGCCACTGCCACCACGATCACTGCTAGCCCACGTACCAGCACCACAGCGGGTGAGCCTGGCAGCAGCAGCAGAAGTGGCACCTGTAGCACCTGCGGGGAAAGACAGAGAAGCACTGTGAGAAGCACTGTGAGCAGTGGCAGTGGCAGTGGCAGTGCCAGTGCCAGTGGCAGGGGGGAGGTAGGTGCAGGCATATGCAGCAGTTGTGGTCGTTTAGAATCTGCTTCTGCTGCTGTGGCTGCGGGTGCTCATGCAGTCTTGTTTTCAGAATTGGAAAGAGAAGCTACAAAGAAGCTTTGCACAGCTCACCAGCAACAGCAAAAGCAGCATGATCACGAGCAGCAACAGCAGAAGCAGCAGCAGCACCCCCATACGCCCCCGCCTCTCTCCATCCGCGTGACAGGCATCAACGGAGGCACTGTGGAGCTCGACTCATCTCTTAGCGCCTCCACCTTTGGCCACCAGTTCTTCGGGCAGCTCGCAAAAGTTTTAGGGCTGCCCTTGACGTTTGAGATGGTGGATGTGCCTCTGGAGTCGCTGCATCCGGGCATGGTGAAGGTTCAGCCAGGGGAGGAGGTGGTGGTGTGTTCCCTCTGGTCGCTCATGCTCTTTCCAGATGACTCTGTTCTCCGGCACAACCCAAGAGATGCAGTGCTCAAGGTGAGCTGGGTTTTTTTTTTTTTTTTTTTTTTTTTTTCGTAACATGGTGAAAACTCACAGGTGGGTGGCTTGGAAGAGAAAGTGGGGAGGAGGTGGTGGTGTGCTCCCTCTGGACGCTCATGCTCTTCCCAGATGACTCAGTGTTGAGGCACAACCCACGGGACGGAGTGCTCAAGGTGAGCTGCCGTGCTCAAGGTGAGATGCGGTGGGGAGGTTAATGGGTACAGGTGAGATGGAAGTTGGATAGCTAGCTGGGAGAGGAGGGGAGAGGTGGTGGTGTGCTTCCTCTGGACGCTCATGCCCTTACTGGATGACTCTGTTCTCCGCCACAACCCAAGAGATGCGGGGCTCAAGGTGAGCTGGCATGGTCAAGGTGAGCTGGCATGCTCAAGGTGAGCTGGCATGGTCAAGGTGAGCTGGCATGCTCAAGGTGAGCTGGCATGCTCAAGGTGAGCTGGCATGCTCAAGGTGAGCTGGCATGCTCAAGATGAGCTGGCATGCTCAAGGTGAGCTGGCATGCTCAAGGTGAGCTGGCATGCTCAAGGTGAGCTGACATGCTCAAGGTGAGCTGGCATGCTCAAGGTGAGCTGACATGCTCAAGGTGAGCTGACATGCTCAAGGTGAGCTGCCATGCTCAAGGTGAGCTGACATGCTCAAGGTGAGCTGACATGCTCGTCACTTTTCCTCCCTATCTTTCTCCTCCCTTTAATGATGATTCCGTTCTGAGACGTCACAAAACAGATCTCGCACCCCACATGCACTCCTACCCCCTCTTCGTCTCTCACCATCCCTATCCTTCTCTACCCTGCCCTGCCTTCCAATGGATCCAGGCTCTTAAAGCCCCACCTCGTCCTTCTAGCAGAGGTCGACGCGACCTTCAACGGCCCCTTCTTCCTCGCCCTGACTTCTGAGTCGACTCAATACATTCCTCCCCTCTGCTCCACTTTCCTCTTCTCCCTTCATCTCCCCCCTTCCCAGTGGATCCAGGCTCTCAAGCCCCGCCTCTTGCTGCTAGCAGAGGTCGACGCGGCCCTCAACCCCCCTTCTTCCGTGCCCACACTCTTTAGTCCAGTCAACCCCCCTCCCATTCCCTCCCCTCCCGTTCGAACCCCTCCAGTGGATCCAGGCACTCAAGCCCCGCCTGGTGCTCCTAGCAGAGGTCGACGCGGCCCTCAACGGCCCCTTCTTCCTCGCCCGTGTCCGCGAAATATTCCGCACCATGCTAGCTTTCATCTCAGCCGTCCATGCCACCATGCCGGATTCCTCGATCTCGCCCGCCCGTTTCATCTGGGAGGGGCTGATGTTCCGCGAGCTCATCAACTGCGTCGGATGCGAGGGGATCCAACGGCTGATACGCGCCGAGAGGCTGGAGCAGTGGGAGGAGCGGATGGGGAGGTTAGGGTTTGAGGAGGTGGGGCTGGGGAGGGAAGCATTGGCTGCTATGAGGGAGACTACGGAGGGAAGGGATGGGAGATTTGAAGTGGTGTCGGTGGGGGGTGCAGCGAGGCTCATGTGGAAAGGACAGCCGGTGCTGGCTGTGTCTGCTTGGAGGTGATTGGTGCATGTGAGGGAGGGAGGTGATGGTGCAAGCCAGGGCCGTCACTCGTGTCACATGTCGGCTGAGCTAAATGTTGAAGCCTTTTCATTAGCTGATGTGTGTTTTCCATGGTGGGTTCAGGGAGGTTTGCTCGAAATGAATGAATGATGTGAAAACATCCTGCCTTGTGTTTCTTTCTTCATTCTATTTAGAAAGCTTGCTTTCTTGTGTTTGCAATGGCAACGAGCTTCGTTTCAAATGGGCATTACATCATTCTCGTCCGGGATATATATGGTACCTACATTACACATGACAACATGCAATTTTTGCTAGGGTGGGTGGGTGGGAAATAAGACATTTGAAATTTCAAACGAAGACGTGGGTGGAGGCCAAATGGCCTCCACCCCCTGCTGTATAGTTGGCGAAGAGCGTCTAGCACTTCGCCGTTGCCATTGCTGCATTACAAGCAGCTTCGCTTTCAAAATACACATTTTTAGAAAGTGTTACACACTTTCAAAAAAATTCATATTTAGAAAGCTTGCTTTCTTGTGTTTGCAATGGCAACGAGCTTCGTTTCAAATGGGTCTTCTGAGACATGAGACGGGGAGATGCTGCGGAGACGGTAAAGGTTGTTGATGGTTTATGCGACGACATGTCGGTGGAGTTCCAATCATGCGCGAAGAAGAAGGCTGGCACCGATGTTGATCGAGGTGCAGTATTCTCTGCTGTTGCATTGGAGTGTCGCCCTAAGTGAGTGTAGCATAGTAGTGGTTACTTATAAGCGTTGGCTCACACGTGAGCTTCGGACACGAACTCGCAAGCAGTATGGGAGGACACGGGCAGCGGGCGTTAGTATTCTGTGTAATGATGGATGTGATGCTTGTAGGAGCCCAACCCTTGTTGCGGTCACAACCGTGCTCACATTACGAAGCGTGCATGCAACTTGTATCCGGGTACGGTAAATCTGTCAAGGTTTAAGCCCTTGGTATTCTTACTCATCTGCTAAAGTTGTGCACCATTTCAAACTCACCAAAATTCTGTTCAACCAGCCAACTCAAATGTGATCGCTTCCAAACCTTGCACTTTGGGCTTTAGCCCTGGTATTTGACCAATATATAACTAAACTCACGAGCCAGAAAGGGACCCACCGGTCCTCCTCCCCCCTGGGGAGCTCGCTGGCCAGCACCGCACAGGACCCACCGGTCCTCCTCCCCCCTGGGGAGCTCGCTGGCCAGCACCGCACAGGACCCACCGGCCCTCCTCCCCCCTGGGGAGCTCGCTGGCCAGCACCGCACAGGACCCACCGGTCCTCCTCCCCCCTGGGGAGCTCGCTGGCCAGCACCGCACAGGACCCACCGGTCCTCCTCCCCCCTGGGGAGCTCGCTGGCCAGCACCGCACAGGACCCACCGGGCCTCCTCCCCCCTGGTGAGCTCGCTGGCCAGCACCGCACAGGACCCACCGGTCCTCCTCCCCCCTGGGGAGCTCGCTGGCCAGCACCGCACAGGACCCACCGGTCCTCCTCCCCCCTGGGGAGCTCGCTGGCCAGCACCGCACAGGACCCACCGGGCCTCCTCCCCCCTGGTGAGCTCGCTGGCCAGCACCGCACAGGACCCACCGGTCCTCCTCCCCCCTGGGGAGCTCGCTGGCCAGCACCGCACAGGACCCACCGGGCCTCCTCCCCCCTGGTGAGCTCGCTGGCCAGCACCGCACAGGACCCACCGGTCCTCCTCCCCCCTGGGGAGCTCGCTGGCCAGCACCGCACAGGACCCACCGGTCCCCCTGGGGAGCTCGCTGGCCAGCACCGCACAGGACCCACCGGTCCTCCTCCCCCCTGGGGAGCTCGCTGGCCAGCACCGCACAGGACCCACAGGTCCGTTTCCGGCTGGCGCGAGGCCCCCGGTCCCAATCTCCCACGGGAGCGCATGGGTTGTGCCAAATGTTTTGCCGCAGTCTTTCTTCGCCGGTAGTCTCTCATGGCGACCCAAAGGTAGTTGCCTCGCACCGATTTACTGCGATAAAAAATAAGAAATAGCATGAGAGAAAAACGCAGACGAACAAGAATCGAAGATAGGAATGAAGAAGAGGTGGGAACATATGCAAAGTAATAATTTATTCGTTGGCAAATTTCAACATCAGAAGCGCATCTGCCGCCAGTTTGTCTCTGGCGCGCCACTGGAATCTCGCCTTCTGGAGATTTCGCCATCATGCCTGCTGGTACCGACTTCCGCTGGACGCGCCCCTGGGTTCTTGCACGCCACTGGCGATTTCGTAGCCACATGCGGCAGTGGCGATGTTGGCCATTTCGGCGCCATGAGCGCCACTGGCGCCACTTGCGCCGCTGGCGATTTTGACTCCACGTGCGCCACTGGCGATTTCACCACGCGCGCCTGTGGCGATTTCGTCGCCACGCACGCCTGTGGCGGTTTCGTCGCCACGCGCGCCTGTGGCGATTTCGTTGCCACAAGCGCCTGTGGCGATTTCGTCGCCACGCGCGCGTGTGGCGATTTCGTCGCCACGCGCGTCTGTGGCGATTTCGTCGCCACGCGCGCCTGTGGCGATTTCGTCGCCACGCGCGCCTGTGGCGATTTCGTCGCCACGTGCGCCAGTGGCGCTGTCGCCTTATTAGCCTCGACGTGCGCGCCTATCGTGCGGACGTGTGTACCCGCAAGACATTTCTGAAACGTGTGTTGTGCTATGTCAATCTAGTTAATGCCTACTAATTTAAGAGAGAAGTGAGCGACTGAGGAGAACGGGAAGTCGTCGGACGAGAATGAAATAAGACATTTGAAATTTCAAACGAAGACGTGGGTGGAGGCCAAATGGCCTCCACCCCCTGCTGTATAGTTGGCGAAGAGCGTCTAGCACTTCGCCGTTGCCATTGCTGCATTACAAGCAGCTTCGCTTTCAAAATACACATTTTTAGAAAGTGTTACACACTTTCAAAAAATTTCATAATTATTACTTACTGATGAGTCACCAACACACGTTAATCTCCTTCACATGTGCAGAAGTCCATCGAAAATATATCATCTAACATTTGTCAACGTTGACCACTGTATATCTGGTGTTTTGTATCGAGTTCCTCTCGGGGAAGCACTCTTGAGGAGCCAGCAACGGTTCTTTCCTTTCGGCTACCCAATCTCAAGGTCGTGTTATGGTTCCCGTCCGCCATTTTGCGGGAGGATAGACTTCCTCCTCAGCCTCTTGGTAACCTGACGAAGGAAGGTAGTGGAAAGAACTCTCGAGCGCTCGACCGAGGATTACGGCGTGAAGACCTTTTTGCCTGACCGTGACTGTACGCAGTAACGAGTCACGCGATTTTATCAATGCGTGCTTGCCATTGGCCCTGTTCGCGCTCGTCTAGAATCTGTAGCGGTGTAGCAGGCGAGTAGCGGAGTATAGAAGGCATCAGTCTCACGACAAGGAACTGCGAGGAGTGCTTCTTCTTTTCTAACTGAACGATCAATTCGGCTAGCAGCTAGGCATCAAGCAATCGTAACGCGACAGGAACTTTCGACGATGGCCGTGTCGTCTCTGCCGGCCGCAGCGGCGCTTACGGCGTTTCGGAACCGGTGCGTGACGTGTCGCGATGGGATGTACATTCTTGTAATAATGTCGCGGTTACTATGTTTCGTGATATCGAGTATGTAGCCATGCGTGTCGCACTGACCTTACGCACTGAGCTCATTTCTGAGTCGACTCAATTCATACATAGCCATGGCCTTGCGCACTGAGTGTTGAACAAGGCAGTCGTGCGTAGGTGCAGTGCCAAGCCGCTCTTTAACTAACTGCTCAGACCGAGCGAGTCACCGGGAATTTTAGTCCAAGCACTGATAAGTTTTGGAGACAACCCCAAAAGTATTCTCCGGGTTTCTGATTCCAGCCCTCGTGTTTCTCCGTCTCGTCACCCGTTACTTGGCAAGCCACCTGGTGATAGAGAGTTATCAGACTATCAGAGCCGATTACGGAAATCCCGCATCCCGCATCAGAGCCCTTGCACTTTTCATCGGTCCATTCACTGGCAGATCGCCTGGCGACAAAGGGAGCGGAGGGAGAATTCTATCGGCTATCCGATAGCGGAGCTGACTGCGTGAAGACTTCTCAGACACCACATCCCTTCTCGGCTGTCCACTTCCCAGTTCTCCCGTTCTCCCATTCTCCGTCCCTTTCGTTACCTGCAGGTCGCCAGGCGAGAGGGAGCTGTCCCCCGAGCTCAAGGCAATTCTGGAGGTCACTGCCGTCACAGGCACCGTCTGGTGGGTGGCAGGTTCTGTCTTCTAATTGATGGATTTTGCTAGCTGTGACACATATTCTGTTTGCTGGGTGATTGCCCGGGAGTCGGGTTCCGTTTGGTGGTTATAGAAGCCTGAAGGGTGAGTTGCTGGAAAGAAGAAGGTGTTATATGAGTTCAAGGCAATATTTGGAGTCACTTTGCTCTGGCACCATTTGCTAGATAATTCCGTTTATTGTCTGACGGAATCTGTTACTTTGGTGACAGGTCCATGTTGCTCCTATCGAAACCTGACCAGTCAATTGGTACTGAGATGTGTGTGGGCGGAGTGATTGATGCTGTTAGGTGAATGACGGAGTCTGTCTGGTGAGCGACGGAATCTGATTGGTGGAGGATGGATTCCGTCTGCTAAATGACTGGATTACGAGATGGATGGCGGAATCTGCTGGTTGATAACAATGCGTTACTTTCAGCTCCAGCAAATTCTCCCTCCATGAACTCCGTCCCCTGGCCACCTTCACTTACCCCTCCTCCCCTCCTCCTCTCAAAGTTCCTCCTCCTTCATCTGGTCTGGTTCTTCCCCACACCCCCCCTCCCACATCCCCCCCCCTCGCCGGTTGATGTGTAGGCATGACTGGGAGTCCGTGAGAGAGCTGCTGGGGTTCACAATCTCTCAGGTATGGCTGCAGGGACCCTACTTGCAATCTCTCAGGTATGGCTGCAGGGACCCTACTTGCAATCTCTCAGGTATGGCTGCAGGGACCCTACTTGCAATCTCTCAGGTATGGCTGCAGGGACCCTACTTGCAATCTCTCAGGTATGGCTGCAGGGACCCTACTTGCAATCTCTCAGGTATGGCTGCAGGGACCCTACTTGCAATCTCTCAGGTATGGCTGCAGGGACCCTACTTGCAATCTCTCAGGTATGGCTGCAGGGACCCTACTTGCAATCTCTCAGGTATGGCTGCAGGGACCCTACTTGCAATCTCTCAGGTATGGCTGCAGGGACCCTACTTGCAATCTCTCAGGTATGGCTGCAGGGACCCTACTTGCAATCTCTCAGGTATGGCTGCAGGGACCCTACTTGCAATCTCTCAGGTATGGCTGCAGGGACCCTACTTGCAATCTCTCAGGTATGGCTGCAGGGACCCTACTTGCAATCTCTCAGGTATGGCTGCAGGGACCCTACTTGCAATCTCTCAGGTATGGCTGCAGGGACCCTACTTGCAATCTCTCAGGTATGGCTGCAGGGACCCTACTTGCAATCTCTCAGGTATGGCTGCAGGGACCCTACTTGCAATCTCTCAGGTATGGCTGCAGGGACCCTACTTGCAATCTCTCAGGTATGGCTGCAGGGACCCTACTTGCAATCTCTCAGGTATGGCTGCAGGGACCCTACTTGCAATCTCTCAGGTATGGCTGCAGGGACCCTACTTGCAATCTCTCAGGTATGGCTGCAGGGACCCTACTTGCAATCTCTCAGGTATGGCTGCAGGGACCCTACTTGCAATCTCTCAGGTATGGCTGCAGGGACCCTACTTGCAATCTCTCAGGTATGGCTGCAGGGACCCTACTTGCAATCTCTCAGGTATGGCTGCAGGGACCCTACTTGCAATCTCTCAGGTATGGCTGCAGGGACCCTACTTGCAATCTCTCAGGTATGGCTGCAGGGACCCTACTTGCAATCTCTCAGGTATGGCTGCAGGGACCCTACTTGCAATCTCTCAGGTATGGCTGCAGGGACCCTACTTGCAATCTCTCAGGTATGGCTGCAGGGACCCTACTTGCAATCTCTCAGGTATGGCTGCAGGGACCCTACTTGCAATCTCTCAGGTATGGCTGCAGGGACCCTACTTGCAATCTCTCAGGTATGGCTGCAGGGACCCTACTTGCAATCTCTCAGGTATGGCTGCAGGGACCCTACTTGCAATCTCTCAGGTATGGCTGCAGGGACCCTACTTGCAATCTCTCAGGTATGGCTGCAGGGACCCTACTTGCAATCTCTCAGGTATGGCTGCAGGGACCCTACTTGCAATCTCTCAGGTATGGCTGCAGGGACCCTACTTGCAATCTCTCAGGTATGGCTGCAGGGACCCTACTTGCAATCTCTCAGGTATGGCTGCAGGGACCCTACTTGCAATCTCTCAGGTATGGCTGCAGGGACCCTACTTGCAATCTCTCAGGTATGGCTGCAGGGACCCTACTTGCAATCTCTCAGGTATGGCTGCAGGGACCCTACTTGCAATCTCTCAGGTATGGCTGCAGGGACCCTACTTGCAATCTCTCAGGTATGGCTGCAGGGACCCTACTTGCAATCTCTCAGGTATGGCTGCAGGGACCCTACTTGCAATCTCTCAGGTATGGCTGCAGGGACCCTACTTGCAATCTCTCAGGTATGGCTGCAGGGACCCTACTTGCAATCTCTCAGGTATGGCTGCAGGGACCCTACTTGCAATCTCTCAGGTATGGCTGCAGGGACCCTACTTGCAATCTCTCAGGTATGGCTGCAGGGACCCTACTTGCAATCTCTCAGGTATGGCTGCAGGGACCCTACTTGCAATCTCTCAGGTATGGCTGCAGGGACCCTACTTGCAATCTCTCAGGTATGGCTGCAGGGACCCTACTTGCAATCTCTCAGGTATGGCTGCAGGGACCCTACTTGCAATCTCTCAGGTATGGCTGCAGGGACCCTACTTGCAATCTCTCAGGTATGGCTGCAGGGACCCTACTTGCAATCTCTCAGGTATGGCTGCAGGGACCCTACTTGCAATCTCTCAGGTATGGCTGCAGGGACCCTACTTGCAATCTCTCAGGTATGGCTGCAGGGACCCTACTTGCAATCTCTCAGGTATGGCTGCAGGGACCCTACTTGCAATCTCTCAGGTATGGCTGCAGGGACCCTACTTGCAATCTCTCAGGTATGGCTGCAGGGACCCTACTTGCAATCTCTCAGGTATGGCTGCAGGGACCCTACTTGCAATCTCTCAGGTATGGCTGCAGGGACCCTACTTGCAATCTCTCAGGTATGGCTGCAGGGACCCTACTTGCAATCTCTCAGGTATGGCTGCAGGGACCCTACTTGCAATCTCTCAGGTATGGCTGCAGGGACCCTACTTGCAATCTCTCAGGTATGGCTGCAGGGACCCTACTTGCAATCTCTCAGGTATGGCTGCAGGGACGAAATCTGCAGCACGTGACTGTCACATCACACTGCATTACATCGTGCTATTACATCATTTTACACGTTGTGGTTTCAAGTACATCGTTCACCAGAAACAGATTGCAGTGCACACGTTTAAATGCGTCATCTGCAAATTCTGTTTGTTCTTCGAACCAGGTACTGCAGGGGTGTGGTGTGGAGGACGGTGTGAAACGGAGGGGGAAAAGGAGGGCGGAAAGGTGTATATCACGGGAGCTGGTGGCACTGCCTGTGTTAAACAGTGTTGTGCCACTGAAAGCGTCTCACCTCCCCTCACTATCTCTAATGTATCTCCACTCTCTCCCAATCTCCCCTGCCACTTGTCAGGTCCTCAAGTACAGGACAGAGTGCGTGGCAGGGGTTACAGAGCGCGTGGCAGGGGTGGGTGGGTCCCCCTCGCCCACTAGACTCCACAATGTGTGCCCCTCCGCAATGCTAGAAGGACCCTCCTTGCTGGCCTCGCCCCTCCCATGCCCCCCTGCCGCCCCTCAGGTCCTGGAGGAGTACGAGACAGAGCGCGTGGCAGGGGTGGTTCCGCCTCGCTCTGTAAAGCTCGTGGCAGGCATGATTCAGGCTAGAGATCTCCTCCCTGTCGTTGTGTTGCCCCTCCCACCCTCCACCCGCCACCCCTCAGGTGCTGGAGGAGTACGAGACAGAGCGCGTGGCAGGGGTGGGTCCGCCTCGCCCGCTGCCGTCAGGGGAGACGTTTGCGGAGCTGAGTGAACGCATTCTCTCCTGTACGTGTACTCACTCTCCTTGTGTTTGCTTATGCACTTTGACATGGTACCACTATGCATGCATGCATCATGCATGTGCGCTGCTATGATAAAGGCCTTGTCTCACTCTCCCGTCTCCTCCCTCCCTCCCTCCACCAACTCCTTCAGCACGGTCCTGGATGCATTTCCTAAACACAGATGACTTGTCGACTCAAAACTCCCCTCCCTCCACCAACTCAACTCCTTCAGCACGGTCCTGGATGCAGTTCCTAAACACAGAGAGGAGGCGACCCTCGTCTTTGCTTCATCTGTCGTCCCTCTCCGTTTCTCCCTTCTCCCTTCTTTCCCCCCTCTCCCTTGCTCCCCTACCGCCCTTCTCACCCCTACCCCCCTCTTCCCTTTCCCTCTCTCTCACCTCTTCCCCCTCTTCCCCCCTCTTCCGTCTCTCCCCCCTCCCGTCTCCCGTCTGTGCCTTTCGTCCATCCCCACAGACAGACTTTGACACGTTAGCAGATGGGTCTGTGTTCTTGCTCCCTTCACCATTCAGTGCATTTGTGTGTGTAGCGCCCCTCCTCTCTGCTTTGCTCTCCCCTGATCCCCCCCTCTCCGTCCCTCCACTCTTTCACCACAGACCTTGAGGCATTTTTGAGAATTCTCAGAAGCTGTATTGGTGCGACTTTTGAGAATTCTCAAAAGTCGCTCTTACCTGATCCCCCCCTCTCCGTTCCCCCACTGTTTCAACACAGACCTTGAGGCATTCACAGACGGGCCACCTTTCACCATTCAGCGCATCTGTGAGGTTTGTGCTTGTACTGTCCCTGCTGCAAATTCACCTGTTTTTCCTCCTGATGCAGATTCACCTATTTCTTAACTTTCCTACAAATCCACCTCTTTTTTTCTCTTGGCTGTCTCCCAGGTGCTTCTCAATCCCCGAGCCACCTACACCAATCTCAACCGTGTTGCCTTTGCTCTTGAGAAGGTCCGTCTGCCTCGACCCATCCCACTGTTCGCACTCTCTTTTCTTCCTGAGTTGACTTTTGATCGACTCAAAAGTCAACTCGACCCAACCCACTGTTTCCACCCACTGTTCGCACTCTCTTGTCTTCCCCTTCTCATCCCCGACCTGCCTATTGCACTGGGATTTCTGCTCGTGCACCCTTCTCCTCCATTCGTGCTTTTTTGCACCGACAGTGCCTGCTCCTCTTTCGCCCATCCCTCCCCCAACACCCCACATCTCCTCAACTTTCCCTCTCACTGTCCCTTTGTCCCTCCCTCCCTCCCTCTCTCTCCCTCTCCCTCCTTCCCTTTCTTTCCCTCCCCCCTCCCCTCTGCAGCTGCTCCTAGTGACCTCCTCCGCCCCTCCCCCTACAGCCCCGTTCCCCGCCCTCCCCCTCCCCCCCTCCCACCTCCACCGCCTCTACCGCACCTCCCCCTCCTCCTCCTCCCCCTCCTCCCTCCCTCCTCCCTCCCAAACCTCCCCACCGCCCTCAAAGCCCCAGCTTCCGAACCAGGGAGGCAGGGCGAGGCAAGAGGGGGGAGCAGCAGGACAGGCGGGGGGGGGTGGCGAGGGGGGTGGAGGGAAGGGGGATGAGGAGGAGGGAGGGGAGGGGGGAAATGCAGCAATGGAGACGGACGAGAGGGGGGCTGGCAGGCCAGGTTCCCCGGACATCGCCCCACACTCGCCTGAATTTGCGGGGTTCTTTCGAGAGGTGGTGGTGGAAGAAGCTGCGATGGAACTGGGTGGGGCTGGTGGGGGCAGTGGGGGTGGTGGGGCGGGTGTTGTGACGGTGGAGGGTGGGGCTAGGAGCAGGGGAGGAGCCCGGGATGAGGGGGTGGGTAGTGGCACTGCTGGTGGTAGTGGTGGGAGCAGCGGTGGGAGTGGCGGTGGCGAGGGAAGTGGTGGGGGCGATGCGGGCAGCAGGGGGAGAGGAGCGAGTGTTGGTAGGGAGGGTGGGGTGGAAGTGGGGATGATGGATGAGGGAAAGGAGGATGGGGAGAAGGAGGAGAGGGGTGGGTCTGGAAGGGGTGCTGGGGAGAAGGGCGAAGGTGGGAATGAGAGAGTGAGGGAGGGAGGGGAGGAGGAGATGGAGGAGGAGGAGGAGGCGAGCAAGTGGTTGGTGGATAACCCCCCTCCTGTTGCCTTTGGACCCGTGTCACCCACGAGGGAGGAAAGCAGGGAGGGGAGGAGGGAGGAGGGGAGGGAGGAAGAGAAGGGGGAGGAGGAGATGAAGGGGGAAGGAGGGGGTGACATGAAGGTGGAAAGGGGGGGTGATATTCGAGTGGAGTGTGAGGAGAAGGCAGTAGAGGGGGAGGAGGATGGGGATGGTGGGAGTGGGGAGGGAGAGGACTTGGCGGGACAAGGGCAGGGGAAGGAGGGAGGGGAGGGTGAGCAGATGAGTGTAGATGGATGAGTGTAGATGGGGAGGGCGATGTGGAGAGGGATGGTACAGTCTGAATCTAGCCGATAAACATGGAATAGCTCATTCATTCAAACATATGAACAAATCATCCATTCAATGTGTTTCCACTTTGTTGATATTGCAGACAAGAAATGTTGTGGCTGGCAATGGGGGATCTTATCTAATGACCAAAGGTGTTAGCTACTTGATCAAATTATGGTTGTGGTGCAAAAGTTGTTACCTTATTGTCAATAGCATCAATCATATGAGACCCATCTTTGTCCGCAAATTACTACACTGCATATTTTACCCACGCTTCAGCACGGGTAAAGTGTTTACAAAAGTTTCACATCACTCACACCGCCTAGTCAGCACGAGTGACGTGCCAGCTACCGGATCCACTTTCTGGCGTGTCTCACCACCCTTATGACGCGGAGATTGTACTTCGGGTTCCGAGCCTCGCATGCTGCCCAGCAAAGCAAACAACGCAGCAAAAGTAACTTCAGCTATTCGTTAATCTCCAACATTGTAGGAATACGAACCAAAAACTTCTGCCTCGGTGAGGAGACCCGAGCCAAACAGAATATCCACTTTTCGCTTTTCACTCTCGACGAACCTGTCTTGTGCTCACATGCAATCATGAATGCACCCAGCCTTCGAACCTAGCCTGTAGTTTGGCGTTTGGGCTGGCTGTTGCTGAACTTTCATATCTGCCCGGAATTTCATTACATCAGGCTCATTGCTTCAAGCATTGCGTGTAATTAATAGTTCTTCTGCGCACATAAATCATCATTGAAGGTTCAGCCGTTTTGTTTTGCCTTTTTACAATGGCAGCTCTACAGTTTCGGCTTTGACACCTCCCCTAGCTTTGACACAACCAGACCTGCTCCAACCTCTCTCTTCTTCTGGGTCTCTATTTCCACCAACTCTTCTACATTTTATTTTTAGCTTGAGTCCTGACATAAAGACCCCCTCGTTGTTAGCTGCTCTCCTTACCACCGCTTTTCAGTTACACCTGACGCTCAGACACTCGGTGTTGTTTTTCTGTTCGTTTTTCCTGGCAGCCACACGACCTCGTCCCCGTTAGCGAACTTGCTGTCTGGTTGATTAGCGCTTACCACATTTTTTTAGTTCCCGTTCTAGACTATTGTGGGTGATTGCTTGTCATTCCTGAATCTGCTCATGGGGAGCCAAGCCCTACCGTTGTGCGGTTTCACGCGATCGCTTGTTCCTGCGAGATTAGACTCGGCCAATATCGATTCCAATGCATCAAGAACGACTCAACAACAGGGTAGAGTAGTTTGTATGCTTTCGAGTGACGGCACTTTCCCTCCAAGGAACAAACCCAAGTCGCTCGAGCTCCCCCGAGCCGTCGCACATGGCTTCCATCCTTCCTCCCACGTAAGCAGCAACTTTCTCATCATTATATAACTGGTAAAAAACTCTCGGATGCGTGACCCTAGTAAATATGTATCGTCGTTATCAATTCGCCTGACATTGTTGCCCTGTTCAACCTTTGTTTTTCCGGAACAAACTCTCGTTTATATGTTGCTAATATTCTCCCTAACTTCTCATCATCGTAATCATTCCGCAGGATCTGAATGAGGAGGAGAAGCAGCGGCTGATTGCGGAGGAGATTGTGAAGATCGAGCAGCAGACGAGAGCGAGGGAGGAGCAATTGAAGCGGGCTGCTCTTAAAGCCCACTTGGACCACGAGCTTCGGTTCGGCAAGATAATGTTCTCTCAGGTGCGTTCTAACTTGCGTTTTGTGTTAACCTGCTCTGTCACTGCGCATATGTTGATGACATTTCACGCGTTTCTACTTGATCCGGTCTGATTTACGACGTACTCACGATGCTGCTATGCTTACTTGCTTTGTTTTGTTCCCTCCGTGTTAATTTCGACGCAACAGGAGAAATACACTACGGCCATTGCGCATTTCGACAAAGTACTCGACCAATCAGAGGACGACACGTATCACCACGGCGAGGCCTCCCTCCAGAAAGCCGCGTGCCTCGATAAGCTCGGCTCGCACGACGAAGCGCGTCGTCTGTACAAATCCCTCTGCCATTTCCGCGGCGCGGACCACCACATCAAGAGACGCGCCGCGCAAGCTTTATTCGAAGGCGATTCGCACAATCCTTCGAAGCAGCGGCAGAAGGAGCAGGCTCAGAACGATAGGCCGTCGCTACTAGATGACTACATGTACAAAATGTTTCTCACGGGCTTTGGAAATTACACGTTGAGTGGGAGAAAGCAGGAGGAGTCGCGACAGGAGCGGATGCTGATGCAGGCGCTGCCCTGGATGCTGGTGCTCATGGCGCCTGCTATGGTCGTAGGGCTGATGCTGGCCAAGGGAGGAGAGTGATTATGGTGAAGGGGGAGGGTGACTTTGGCTAAGGGTCCCGCCTCCTGAGTATGTGTGCCTAAGGTGGAAAGGGATGGTAATTACGGGGTTGAGTGGCTGTGGCTACGAGCGGATGCTGTTGCGAGAGCAATGCTGCTGGAGCAATGCTGCTGCTGGCTCTCCCATGGATGCTGGTGCTTATGGCGCCTGCAATGTTGTTGGCCTGGTGCTGGCGAAGGGGGGTGGTGAAGAAGCCATGTGGAAACGGGGAAGGAGGGGGGGTGTGACTTATGGAAACAAGGATACGGTGTGAGTGATTTAGGTCGTTTCTTTTTTGCTCTGTGTGCAGTCATGTTGGTGCTGGTTCCGGCAGTGTTGCTGCTGACTGGTTTACCTGCTCACCTTTCATTAGCATTCGAAGTTTGCTGCTTTGTGTATAATGTGTGTCGGCGTGCTGGTTTGCCACAATTGTAGATAATTGGTTGCGATTTTAAAGAAGGAAATGGTGAAATGCTTATCCTTTCATGCTGTTAGTCCCTGTTCACCTGGGTTTGCCACGTGCGGTAGATTGTTTGCTTTGATCTGCTTTTGATTATCACCGTAGTGAAAATATTTCAATGTTTCTTCATGGGAAATAGTTAGGCACAAGGAAAATAGTCATGCAAATTAAATCCAACACCGTCAATACAGTAAGACCAAGAATTTGCCCTCCCTGGAACTAACCAGATTCTGTAATTTGGATGACAGATACCCCACCCTCTGCTCCCCCCTTGTCTCAATCTCCCTCAGACACACTAGAAGCCTTAGCCATCAGGCGTACAAGTTAGGCACAACACATTCTCATACTAAGCATCTACTCTCCCTGAAACTAACCAAATCCTGGAGTTTGGAAGACAGATACCCAACACTGTGCTCCCCCCTTATCTCAATCTCCTTCAATACACTAGGAGCCTTAGCCACCTCCTCTGGTAACCCAGTCAGGTTGCTCCAGTCTATAAAGCGTATGAGGGAGAGAGAGGGGGCAAGGGAGAGTGAGGGAGGGATGGTGGTGAGCCAAGAGAGAGGAGGGAGGACGAGAGTGTGGAGGGTGGGGATGAGGTGAAGGGAAGCGAGCAGGCTGCTGTTGGCATGGATGTTGCACAGGCGAAGGGTGAGCGGAGGAGCAGCAGCAGTAGCACCTCCTGTAGTCACACTCTCCATAGTCACGTCGGCTGCAGTCACTGCATCAGCAATTGCGGCACTGTCCAAAGTCACGCTGTCTACAGTCACGCTCTCTTCAGCGTTTTCAATTATCAGGTCTGTGAGGCTTGGGAGGGGTGCGAGGCGAAGGAAGAGAGGGAGAGGCATGGAGGGGAGGGAGTTCAGCTGCAGCACTTGCAGATGAGGGAAAGGGGGGAGGGGTGCGAGGGGCGTGGAGAGGGAAGGGGGAGCAGCAAGTTGAGCGGAGGACTGGGTGCAGGGGGGGTGAGAGGAGCGTGAGGAATGTGGGGAGTGTGGGGAGTGTGAGTGAGGAGGGAGGGGTGGGGAGAGGGAGAGGTACTTCAGGTTGGGAGCTTCTGGGGCCAACAGAGTGAGCAGCTGTGCTGCCTGCTGCTCCACTGTGATCCGGTCACCGCTGCTGCTGCTGCTGCTGCCAACGCCGATGCTGCCGCCGCCATCACCCCTGGCGCTGTTTCTTCTGCTACTGCGCCTGCCGGCTTCCTCACACACGCTGATGGTGAGCGAACGCAGCTGCTCCAATGCACGCTGCTGCTGCTGCTGCTGCTCCCCCTCAACTGCTGACTTCCCCTGGCCTAAAGAGCACAGGTGACGATGGCGCACGTGCCTGTGCGTGTGCAGCAGTTGGCAGAGGCAGAGGGGCGCGGGAGACTCGGTTGCTGCACCGCTAGCACCGGTTAGTGAGGACGAAGCATGCGGGCAGATTGGGGGCGGGGCTGGGTTGGGGTGGAGAGCGGTGGAGAGGGAGAGGGAGAGGTGGCGCAGGGAGGGAAAGGCGGAGAGCGAGGCGAGGAGCGCGGAGGGGCAGGCGCGTGTGTGACAGAAGCGGATGGAGTGGAGGGAGAGGCGCGTGACTGAAGGGAGGTGTGCGCCAAACGAAGGGAGGAGGAGATAGGCTACATCTAGCTGGAGCGTGCTGAGGGCCGCGAGCGGAGAGCGCGGGAGGAGGGAGGATGGAGAGAAGTGGGAGAGAAGAGATGAGGGCGGGGAGTGTGCACAGTGTGCAGGGATGGAGGCGGCGAGAGGTGAGTGAGGCGACTCAAAGGCCACCTCTGCTGGCGTTACCACGGGGGTGGGAGGTGAGTGAGGGAGCTGGGGGTGGAAGGCGGGTAGAGTGGCGGAGGAGGAGGAGGCGTGGGAGAAGGGGCAGTGAGTGGCGCCGGCTGCACTTGCATGGTGCGAAGAGACGCCCGCAACGGCTGACGCTCCGCCAGCTGTAGTAGCAGCAGGAGGAGGAAGAAGAGGAGGAGCAGCACCATCAGCACCGTCAGCAGCAGCACCAGCACGTGGCAGTGTTGCAGAAGCGTCTCCTCCCTTCACTTTCACCTCCTCAGACTCCATCTCGCCGTTCGACTCCGAGTCCTGAATCGGAGGGGCTGCGAGCGGCGCGAGGACTTCAAGGGTCGTGAGACGGCTCATCCGTGCCACGTGGCAGTACACGATACAGTCACACTCGCTACAGCACGACCCGGTATCCAGCCGAAGCGACTCCAGGCCAGTCAGCGACCACAGCGACTCGGGAATGACTGCTGACGTGGCGTGACGGCGGCTCCCTGCGTGGCGACTCGGCTCGTCCTCGTTATAGGGAGACCCGGTAGGCGCGTGGTGCTTGAAGAAAAGAGAGGTCAGCGACGGCGCAAGGCCGGCAAAAAGGGCCGGCGAGAGGACGGCAGGGGAGTGCGGCAGTGCAGCGTCGAGCCGCGTCGGCAGCTGTAGGCCGGCCATAACGTGTAGCTCGTGCGGACTGAGCGATACGCTATCAGACGATAGGCGATCGTGCGGCGGCGGGTGATAAGTGATAGTCAGGGAGAGCGACTCGAGGCAGGTGAGATGCGAGAAGGGCGATCCGGATTGAAGGATGGGCTCTGCGGGGAGAGAGAGCGAGAGCGAGAGGCGCTTGAGACGCTTAGTGAAGAAAAACGCTTTGGGAAGAAACACGAGCGGGAGAGCTAGGCTGGAGAGGTGGGAGAAGCAGCGCGCGACGATTCTCGGAAGAGAAACATTGCTGTTGCCTCCGCAGTCGCCGCCGTCACTGCCGCCGCCGCCACCGCCGCTACCGATACTGTCGAGTTCGTTCAGAACGACGAGCCTTCCTTGCAGGTGCAGCGCCGTGAGTCGCGGACAGCCTCTCGCTATTGCCTCCAGGCCTTCGGCTAACCTGCCCGTGCCTCTCACATCGGGTCGCGATACCACCTCTAAGGCGCACGACTCGAGCGACTTCAATCCACCACCGTCCGACTTTAGTCCTCCCTCGTCAATGCTGCTACCAGCGGCGCGGCTCTTCCCATCACCTCCTAGAATCTTTAGGATCGGGCCCAGATGTTCCGCACGGCATGCCAAGCCGACGGACAGCAGGTTGGGGACCTGCCGAACCAGCTCCCGAACCTGGCTTGGCGACCATTCCTTCGGGGAGCTCCACAGGCCGTGGGAGAGCCGCGATTCTTCGCCACGTGGCAGAATGCTATTGGATCTTCCCGGCGCTGTGATCACCGTCCAGTTTTCGATTATGGAAGGATCGCGACGCGCGACGAACCCACGGTTGCTGACGTCAGCCAAGAAGAGAGTGGAGTGCGCTTGAACGGGATCAAAGACCGTGGACACGTGGCGCACGGCCATTCGAGAGACGCGGCGCCATGCCTTGCAGACGCAGAGAGCGGAAACGACGTCATTGCGATCGCGAAGCTTCTGCAGGATCTTCGCGACAATTGCGTCGTCCATTCGCGAAATCGGGGAATCCAGCGACGCCGAATCGTCGCCTTCGGTTACGTGCTTCCGTAAAATCGTGCTTTCGCAGCCCATCTCGAGTTTCCCGTCGTGCGCTATTGGTGTATCTCGTAACGCTAACTTGCCACGCTATGTATTGTAGCCCAAGTTCAATGACCAAGTGCTAGCGGGTTCCACCTTCTCTGCTGCACTCGGGAACTGCTAATTAAATTTGTATTGTATGTACTCGCTGGCGCATTAAGAGGAACTAAGAAGCTGGGGCCTGAGTTGGTGGAGGAACGGGAACGTGTAGCAATTAGGAAGTTAGTTGTGGTTACTCCAGGGTGATCGCGGGAGAGAGGGCAGAAGAAACTGGTGGCAAGGAAAGCCGGTTTGTTCGAGGTCAAATAGGCAGACTGACGACGAAAATGCTCAGCTCAGTCACTTCTGTTTGCCATGGCGCGGCGTCGCGAGTCGCGACGACGGGGCTAGGTTGTGCGGTGCGTGAACACCGCGCGGAGACTTGGCGCCAGTTGTTCCGCTGACCAGCAACAACCACGTGGCGGAATTGACTCGTCAGCAACTGTCAAGGTGAGGGGACGAATGGGCAGCTCCAATTCGCTAAAGTTGGTGTACGCATGTCGGTTCACACGTGTAACACAGAAGGCAGCACTTTGTGGTTGTGGAGAACGAGGCGCATCGCGGTGCTTTCCACGTTACACTGCGCACCATCCTGTCGGTGAGCCAACTCAGCATCGAGAAGACGTAGAATTCGTGCGACCAGCACAGCAAAGGCAAGGTTGTCTGGTCTCGCTCTGCGCGTCATTTCATTGGACCTTTGGATGTCACGCCGACCACAAATGCTCGCCGCTTGAACACGCTCGTTAGAGTGTATTGACTTTCCACCATTATTGTTCCCAAGTCCCGATAGGACTATAACAAGTAAACTACATGCTATGGTAGACAAACCCTTGTAAACACTAAATATCTTGGTACTTCTTTGCTCACTCTTAAAACCAGGGTCTCACGTAAGAGAAATCGTGATCAACTGCAAAACAAATGAAGTCGAGTCACCATGTTTGAGGTTGCGAGTCTAGGGGTTGGTTTGGCATTTGACTGTGCGACACCTCCCGTTTTTGCCTGTGATGCAATTGCAAAACATTTTGATGGTACATGAGACTGACAGGATGCTCGAACATATTGCAGGTGTTTTAGCTTTGGCACCGAACCAATTTCCGTGCCTAGATGGTTCGGACACAAACTGCGATTTGTGTTTCCTTCGCTCCCCTCGTCACACCGCTCGTCATTCTTTACACCTCGCCAACCAATCCTAACCAAGGTGAAGTCCTCAACTGCAAAACATATGATCTACGTGAGACCCTGGTTTTAAGAGCAAGAGTGCACTTTGGGGGGGGGGGTCCACCCAAAGGTCCACATGTAGCTTTGAGGGGCACATGGAGAACGTTTAGAGCTCCGTACACAATCCCCTTACAAGGTCCGTCAAATACTAGATGGTAACTTGAATATATGCAAGCAAGCAAGCAACCTTACAAACAACAACCCATGGATGTTTCCCTTGGAACGGCAATGTCAGTCAGACTTTGAGCTTGCATATGCAAGCAAAACGGCAGAGAGTACAACAGGGGTTATGATAATCGTGAGGGCAGCAGCCAGGCTAGGTGACTCTGTAAGCTGCGGTACAATGAAGAGGCTTCCGTATTTAATCGCCACTGCTCCCACCACACACCCCCCTATAGCTTTGGCGAAGTATGGGCCATCGTCCTGATATGAGGGATGGATGTAAGTGGGTTAGGTTGAGCAGGGAGGGAGGGAGTGCTGGCAGAATGTGAAGTGGATACATCGTCTTGCATAACCTGATGGAAGGATAGATAGTGGGCACATGATGATAGATAGTTAGACAGGCTGGCAGGGTACGAAGGTAAATCTAGGACAGCAGACAAGGCAAACCATCCCCACGACCCTTCAAACTAACTTCTATTCTGCCTCTTTCCCCCTTTCGACCCCCCTCCCCTTGCTCCCCACTTCCCCTCCCTCCCCCCACTCCCACCTCAGTCCATCCCCCCTACACCCCAAGCGCACCCCACCTCCCCTCTACACCCACTCTTCCACTCCTCACCCCTCTTCACCCACACTCCCACCTGCAAATGCCCACCACCCGCCCTCCCCCCCCTCTTCCCCCACTTCCCCCCATCCCCCCTCCCCCGCCCAATTCCCCCCCCCCCCCCCTCCAACCCGCCCCCCTCCGGCCCCCCTGCCACCCTCGAACCTCCACCAACCCACTAGACTTTCCCCTAGCGCGGAGTACCTTGGTAAATAGCGGGCGTTTCGCGTCCACGTGCCCGCGTCCCTGACCGCTTTCACCCTGGCCCGATGCCCTCACCGCCACTCCTGCACTTCTGCGCGGAACCGCCGGACTCTGCAGCTTCCGCTGCTGCGGGTCCGCGCGCCGCACAGGGAAAGAGAGTGAATGCGACGATAAGGGTTGATGGGGAGCCGTGCGCACAGCAAAGGCTGACGTCGTTGGTAGGGACGTCATTGTTGCTGCTGGCGTCATTGCTGCTGCTGACGTCATCGTCGGTGGTCTTGATGCGTCTGAAGGAGGCACGCGAGATTCTTGTCCGCGGCGGAGCCGAGTGGACGAGGCGCTTGATGTGGCGGAAGGAGGAAGATGCGGCGGGGATGGATAGTGGTAGCAATACAGGGTAAATGTTGGCGGGAGATGTGGCAGGAGTGCTGTAAGTAGTAGTACCGCACTTTCTGGAAATAATTTTCCTGCGTCGTGGAAGTCGAAAAAGAGTGGAGAAAAAAAATCCGACAACCAAACAAAGCGGACACGATTACAATGTCAGCAAGCTCCTGCTGGCCCTGCTCTGATAGGTGCTGCTCGACAGGTCGCCCGATGCGCGGACACGATTACAATGTCGGTCTAGACTCCTGCAAGGACGAAAGTTCATTGCCACTCCCCTTTTCCCCGCACATGGGCTGGGCGCGGAGGACCTCGCGGAAGATTTGGCGGAGGAAAGTTGTGGTTTCCGTCAGTGGATCTACGGTTGACGAAAGCATCACAACCTAACGAAACTGTACGGAGCGTTACGAAACTATAAAATGTCGCGAATTCGAGGTTTGGGAGGTTTTCAAATCTGATACTTTCGGGAGTCCCGAGAACGTATCAGTGACACATATAATGTCAGTTCTCCAGAATATCGCGTTGATGTCAAGGCCCAGATAGCCAATCAGGAGAAGATACAATATCCTAAAGGATCTCGCGACTTCTAAATAGCACAGTTTGAACACGCCTTCAAAAACACTCGCACAGCCAACGATCCATCCCTTTCACCCATCGCACTCATACAGACACAGAATGAGACTGAGATTGATATGACGTCGCGTTTTCCCATTTTCTCAGGCTCTTTGACAGTCAGTCTTTGACTGACATCTTTCATGCTCAGCCATTCTCGTCCCACAACGTTGCAAGATCGTTTCCCTTCTCGCACCAGTTCCTTGTTTTCTCAGGCTCCTGCTTTCCATTTTTTGGAGGCGCCTCGAGAATAGTTTCCAGTCTTTTCAGGCTCCTGCTGCCTGATGGTATCACCTTCGTCCAGTCTCACCGCGATCGCCGGCTCACCGTGCGATTCCTGTACGGTTCCTGTCCAGCGCTCATCAAGTAGCTTCGACACGACGGGTTGATAGCATCCTCGTTATCTGACTCATTCTCAGCTCCGTTTCAGATTCACTAGTAGATCCTGCAGGACGCAATGCGAAGCAGGGCTTCAGGGGAATTTCACACAGGGAATCCGCACGTTTACTCTCAGCAAGTCGGCTGCCAGTGCGACACAACGCACAGTAGCCACCCAGAACTGCCACGTCCATAATTCCCCCACATCCAGTGATCCCACCGATCCTTCAGTTCAGTTCGTTCAAGGCTCGTTCATGACAAGCAGTCCACCTCTCGGTCTCCGTAGCTGCAACATGTCTCAGTTCTGAGGAGTGTGTCTCAGTATCGCCCCCAGAAGCGAACATCGTCACCATGTCGCGGCTCACCAGTGCTACTACTATCTCTCGCCGGTGCTTCTCGCGGCTCACATTCCCCTCCCGGCGCATCTCCCCCACCGCCTCGTCCCCTCTGCTGGCAACCGCCAGATCAGCAGTCTCACGTCTCACATCCCTCGTTACAATCATCTCCGTTTTATCATCCTCGGCCCCTCTACAATCCAACTTTTGGGCCTCACAAACCGCCTCTGAATCTGCTTCGTACACTCAAACGAGTCCCCCCTCGTTACTATCACAATCCAATGGCGTTCGAGTGTTGGCGGAGGCGTGGAGGTTCAAGGAGAATCCACTTAAAAGCGCGAAGCATCCGCGCATGGTTACCCTGTTCTCCGTGGAGTGCGGGCCTTACTTTGACTGGCAAACCGTGGGGCTCATGCACAGCTACAGGTGGGGGGGTGTGTGTGGGTATGTGTGAGCATCTGTGAGTGTGCGTCAGGCACAGTGCTTCCGCGCATGGTTACCCTGTTCTCCGTGGAGTGCGGTCCCTACTTTGATTGGCAAACCGTGGGGCTCATGCACAGCTACAGGTAGGGGGAGTGCGCGCGTGTGTTTGCGCATGCATGCGGGGGGGAGAGGGCAAGGAGAAAGGAATGGGGCTCATGCACAGCAACAGCAAGAAGGGGGGAGGGGAGCGGAAGGGGGGAAGGGGAGGGGAAAGGGGGAGGGGAGGGGAAGGGGGTAAGGGGAGGGGAAGGGGGAGGGGAAGGGAAGGGGGCGTGGGGATCTGCGTGTGTGTTCTGTTTCCCTTCTCCAGGCGCTGCAGGAGGCCGGGTCTCACACTTGGCTGGCATCACGTGCACCATCATCCCTCCCACGTGTTGCCTTTAATACGCCTTCTTGTGCAAATGCGTTTGCCTGCCTGCCTGCCTGCCTGCCTGCCTGCTGCTCCCCCTTCTCCAGCCGCAGCAAAAGGCAAAGAATCTCATGACCTCACTCAGCTCTCGAGCTGCACAGAGCAGCATTCGAGGGAATAACATAACTGAACATGGACCTCGCTTCCCACGCACTCACCCCTCCACATGCTTCCACTCGCATGCCCCATGTCTGCCCATCCCTCCCCCGCTGGCCCCCCTACTCCAGACGCAGCAAGCAGCCAGGCCCTATCACTTGCCTCCTGAGCTCCACAGAGGAGCAGTTGAAGGACTACTCTTACATGGACTTCGCTCCCACTCACACACCATCATCTCACCCACGTGTTGCTGCTCAAAACGACCAGTCTTGTTTCCTCCTGTCCGCTCTTTCCCCTACTCCAGGCGCAGCAAGCAGCCGGGGCCCATCACTCGTCTCCTGAGCTGCACGGAGGAGCAGCTGAAGGACTACCCCAACATGGACCTCGCTCCCACGCACACCGTGCCATCCATGTCCCTCGATCCCAAGACCGGCGAGTGGTAGGTCTCTATTTGTGTGGGGAGGTCGAGTGATTCTTACCTGTATGGCGGGACTGCTTGTGTTCTGCTTGCATCGCAACACAGCAGCTGAAGGACTACCCCAACATGGACCTCGCTCCCACGCACACCCTGCCATCCATGTCCCTCGATCCCAAGACCGGCGAGTGGTAGGCCCCTGTGTGTGGCGCTGCAGAGTGTAGCTGGGTTGATTGCGGTTCTGCTATGTGTGGTTTGTCTGTTCACGTTATGTGCTGAACATGACAGTACAGCACAACATCTGAGGAGCAGCTGAGGGACTACCCCAACATGGACCTCGCTCCCACACACACCGTGCCCTCAATGTCCCTCGACCCCAAGACTGGCGAGTGGTAGGCCCCTTGTGCTGTGTGGGGTTCTTGTGTGGGGCTTGGCTGTTCGTGTTCTGTGCTTCGGCTAGTATCATGGCACAGCAGCTGAGGCAGTACCCCAACACGCACCGAGCTGACTACTGACTCGACTCAAAAGCCAACATGCACCTCGCTCCCACACACTCCGTGCCATCCATGTCTCTCGACCCCAAGACCGGCGAGTGGTAGGCCTCTCTATGTGTGGGGAGGTCGAGTGATTCTTGCCTGTATGCCGGGACTGCTTGTGTTCTGCTTGTTTCGCTCAGCACAGAAGCTGAGGGAATACCCGAACATGCACCTCGCTCCCACACACTCCGTGCCCTCCATGACCGTCACCCCCATGCCCATGGCCTGCCAGAGTCTTAACCCCAACATTGGCGAATGGTAGGCTGCTGCTGCTGTGTGTGCCCCTGTGGCTAGGGATAAATTTACTGTCTCTCTTTTCTTGCTAAAAGCATTCTCTAGCACCGCAGCCCTTCCTAACCAGGGTGACGGATGCTGTGTGTGCCCCTGTGGCTATGTGGCAGTACTGTGTGTGGCTAGGTTGAGTGCGGTCCTCCCTCCCTTCCCTCCTCTCCCTGCCCTTCCTCTCCCCTCCCTCACCCCACTACAGGTGCCCAGCAATCAACAAGCCCTACGGGGTGTGGCACTGGCTGCCGCACAACCCGCAAGCAAAGCAGGCGGAGTGGGTGTTGATTCCAGATTCTGATCGGTTGTTTGCTGTCTCTCTCTTCTTTCACCCCCACTCCCATCGCCCGTTCCCTCCCTCCCTCACCCCACTACAGGTATCCAGCAATCAACAAGCCCTACGGCGTGTGGCACTGGGTGCAGCACAGCCCGCAGCCACAGCAGGCGGAGTGGGTCGTGATTCATCTCCGGATGTGTTGCTTGCTGTCTCCCTCTTCTCCCTCTTCTTCCTCCCTGGCCCTCCTTCCCCCTGCAGGTACCCAGCGATCAACAAGCCATACGGGGTGTGGCACTGGGTGCAGCACAGCCCACAGGCGCAGCAGGCGGAGTGGGTCGTGATTCTCGACGCTGACATGGTCATCAGGGCACCCGTCACTCCGTGGGGCGTCAAGGCGGAGAAGGGCAAACCAGTAGCAGCCTACTACGGGTAGGTGGGGTGTGGTGTGGTGTGGTGTGGTGTAGGGAAGAGATGGGGCAGGGCAGGTACGGTGACACAACTTTATGTTTGTGGTTGTTGGAAGAACAGCAGGTGGATTGGAGTGGGTGGTGGTTCTAGACGCTGATATGGTCATCAGAGCACCAGTCACTCCGTGGGGCGTGAAAGCAGAGAAGGGCAGGCCAGTCGCTGCTTATTACGGGTACGTTCGAGCATGAAAGCCCCAGTGGTATTGTGTTGGGAAAGTGCAAGCACAGCAGGCGGAGTGGGCGGTGATTCTAGATGCTGACATGGTCATCAGAGCACCAGTCACTCCGTGGGGCGTCAAGGCAGAGAAGGGCAAACCCGTTGCCGCCTACTATGGGTACATGTGGTGGGGTGTGGTTGAGATGGAGCAGTGCAGCAGGTACCTTGACACGCCTGTGCGTGCGTTTGGAGCTTTCAAGAGCAGCAGGCGGAGTGGGTGGTGATCCTGGACGCTGACATGGTCATCAGGGCACCAGTCACTCCGTGGGGCGTCAAGGCGGAGACGGGCAAACCAGTTGCCGCGTATTATGGGTAGGTGGGGTGTGGTGTGGTGTAGGGAAGAGATGGGGCAGGGCAGGTATGGTGATACGGCTTTATGTTTGTGGTTGTTGGAAGAACTGCAGGTGGATTGGAGTGGGTGGTGATCCTGGACGCTGACATGGTCATCAGGGCACCAGTCACTCCGTGGGGCGTGAAAGCAGAGAAGGGCAAACCGGTTGCAGCCTACTACGGGTACGTTCGAGCATGAAAACCCCAGTGGTATTGTTGGAGGCGAGGAAAATCAAGTTGTGTGTTGGGAAAGTGCAAGCACAGCAGGCGGAGTGGGTGGTGATTCTAGACGCTGATATGGTCATCAGAGCACCAGTCACCCTGTGGCGCGTCAAGGCAGAGAAGGAAACGCATTGGTTGTTTCGCACTCATGGCCGCTGCCTGTCCGTCTCTGTTCTCTCGGCTCCTCACCTCCTCCTGCCCCCTTGTTCCTCCCCCCACTCCCTCCTTTCTTCCCCCCAGCTACCTCATCGGCTGTGACAACATACTGGCCGAGCTGCACACGAAGCACCCCGAGCCGTGCCCCAAAGTGAATCCGAGCTTCATTAGCCTCCTTCTATGTGTTCTCCCTCACATCCCGTCTCTCCATGTTCCCCTCCTCCCAGCTGTCTGATCGGTTGTGACAACATACTGGCCGAGCAACACACCAAGCACCCCGAGCTGTGTCCCGAAGTGGGCGGCTTTATAGTCATGCACATTGATGGTCTGATTTCATATTCTCCTCCTCCTCTCCTCTCTATTCTTCCCTCTCCGTGTCACCTTCCTCGCCCCTCCTCTCTGTTTCCCCTTCCCCCAGCTACCTCATCGGCTGTGACAACATACTGGCCCAGCTGCACACCAAGCACCCCGAGCTCTGCCCCAAAGTGGGCGGCTTTATAGTCATGCACATTGACGATCTGCGCCGCTTCGCCCCGCTCTGGCTCAGCAAGACACAGGAGGTGCGTTGGTGCTGCTGATGCGATGGCAAGGCAAGGTGAGATCTGATGGCATGACACCGGTGGCTGTGTCCCAAAGTGGGGGGTTTCATCATCATGCACTCGAAGGCTTGCGCCGCTTCGTGCCGCTCTGGCTCAGCAAGACACAGGAGGTGCACTTTGGGGGGGGGCTATTGGTGTGACGTGATGGCACGGCAAGTCAAGGTCAACTCTCACCGCTTTGTCAGCCCTGAGTGACTGGGTGGGTGGGTGAGTCTCGAAGTGGGCGGATTCATGGTCAGGCACATTGAAGATCTGCGCCGCTTCGCCCCGCTCTGGCTCAGCAAGACACAGGAGGTGCGTTCTGGGGGGAGGGAGGGGGCTTGTGTGATGGCAAGGCAAAGCAAGGTGAGATGTGATGGCATGGCATTGTCAATGAAGACTGACTGGGTGCGCCCCAAAGTGGGTGGATTGTGGATTCATGGTCAGGCACATTGAAGATCTGCGCCGCTTCACCCCACCCTGGCTCAGCAAGACGCAGGAGGTGCGGTCTAGTGGGGGGGCGCTGGTGTGATTACACGGCAAAGCAAGGTGCGGTCTGGTGTGATGTGATTGCATGGCATTGTCAACCCTGACTGACCGGGTGACCCCCAAAGTGGGTGGCTTCATTGTCAGTCAGGCACATGGATGATTTGCGCCGCTTCGCCCCGCTCTGGCTCAGCAAGACACAGGAGGTGCGTTCTGCCTGATTTCTGTTTTGAGGCGTCTCAAAAACCAACTTCTATCACAAGACACAGGAGGTGCGTTCTGCCTGATTTCTGTTTTGAGGCGTCTCAAAAACCAACTTCTATCACAAGACACAGGAGGTGCGTTCTGCCTGATTTCTGTTTTGAGGCGTCTCAAAAACCAACTTCTATCACAAGACACAGGAGGTGCGTTCTGCCTGATTTCTGTTTTGAGGCGTCTCAAAAACCAACTTCTATCACAAGACACAGGAGGTGCGTTCTGCCTGATTTCTGTTTTGAGGCGTCTCAAAAACCAACTTCTATCACAAGACACAGGAGGTGCGTTCTGCCTGATTTCTGTTTTGAGGCGTCTCAAAACCAACTTCTATCACAAGACACAGGAGGTGCGTTCTGCCTGATTTCTGTTTTGAGGCGTCTCAAAAACCAACTTCTATCACAAGACACAGGAGGTGCGTTCTGCCTGATTTCTGTTTTGAGGCGTCTCAAAACCAACTTCTATCACAAGACACAGGAGGTGCGTTCTGCCTGAGTTCTGTTTTGAGGCGTCTCAAAAACCAACTTCTATCACAAGACACAGGAGGTGCGTTCTGCCTGATTTCTGTTTTGAGGCGTCTCAAAAACCAACTTCTATCACAAGACACAGGAGGTGCTTTCTGTCTGATTTCTGTTTTGAGGCGTCTCAAAAAACAACTTCTATCACAAGACACAGGAGGTGCGTTCTGCCTGATTTCTGTTTTGAGGCGTCTCAAAAACCAACTTCTATCACAAGACACAGGAGGTGCGTTCTGCCTGATTTCTGTTTGAGGCGTCTCAAAAACCAACTTCTATCACACGACACAGGAGGTGCTTTCTGTCTGATTTCTGTTTTGAGGCGTCTCAAAAACCAACTTCTATCACAAGACACAGGAGGTGCGTTCTGCCTGATTTCTGTTTGAGGCGTCTCAAAAACCAACTTCTATCACAAGACACAGGAGGTGCGTTCTGCCTCATAGGTCTCTCTGTGTCTTGTTTGCTTCTCCGGTTTCATCCCTCACCTCCCCCATAGGTGCGAGCGACCAGACAAGGCACACTATGCACGGAACATCACAGGAGATGTGTACTCATCAATGTGGCTTTTGAGTCAACTCAAGCGTCTCCCTACGTCTTGTTTGCTTCTCCTTTGCTTTTATCTCTCTTCTTCCTCCTCAGGTGCGAGCTGACAAGGCACACTACGCGCGGAACATCACAGGAGACGTGTACTCGTCGGGGTGGATCAGCGAGATGTATGGCTACTCGTTTGGCGCTGCGGATGTGAGTGTGGCGTTGGTGTGCTGATGCTGATGCTATGATACCATGTGGTGCCAGCAGATAAGAAGTCATGTACTCGTTGGAGTGGATCAGTGAGATGTATGGCGACTCGTTCGGTGCTGCTGATGGGAGTGCGTTTCATGGCATGGCATGGCTAGGGATGGCACCCCATGGTGCTAAGTGAAAGATGCAGAGGGGATCAGTGAGATGTGTGCCTACTTGTTTGTGCTGCTGACGTGACATGAGTACACACAAACGAGTAGCCCCATGCGCTGCTCCGCTCCCCTCACCCCCCACCCCCCACCCGCCCCCCTCCTTCCCTCATGCCTACCCCCTCCTGCCAGGCGTGAACCCCGTCTGCTACACTACGGGAGCTTTGGCAAGTCGAGATTCCATCCCTTTGCCTTGGATCTCCACCCTCCCGACCGGTCTCAACCCTTTTCCCACCCCTCCCCACCCCTTCCCACAGGCCGAGTTACACCATCAAGTGGACCAGATGACCATGCTGTACCCAGGATACACCCCCACGCCAGGCGTGGACCCCCGTCTGCTGCACTACAGGCTTTCCTTCTCCGTCGGCAACTGGAGCTTCCAACTCTTCCGCCTGCGATTTCCAGTGTTTCAACCGGTCCCCACCGGTCTCAACCCCTTCCCCTACTCCACTTCCCCCTCTTCACCCCCAACCCATCCCCACACCTCCCCACCCCTCCCAACAGGCCGAGCTACACCATCAAGTAGACCAGACGACCATGCTCTATCCAGGCTACACCCCAACGCCAGGCGTGGACCCGCGCTTGCTGCACTACGGGCTCGCCTTCTCCGTCGGCAACTGGAGCTTCGGCAAGTCGCAGCACCGGACGGATAAGATCGTCAATGAGTGCAACAGACTGTTTGATCCTCCGCCGTTCCTCTCTGAGGTGAGACATTCAGTGGGGTCAGGCATTGAAGGTGCATCAGCAGAGAATTCCAAGTGCGCTATCGGAGCTTTGGCAAGTCGCAGCATAGGGCGGACAGGATTGTGAACGAGTGCAACAGGCTGTTCGATCCTCCTCCGTTCCCTTGTGAGGTGAGATTTCTTGAGGAGTTGAGCTTCGGCAAGTCGCAGCATCGGGCGGATAGGATTGTGAACGAGTGCAACCGGCTGTTTGATCCTCCGCCGTTCCCTTCTGACGTGCGACATTGAGTGCAAGAGTTGGTTCTGATGTCAGATTGGTTCTTAAAAAGTGTGCTTTGGCAAGTTGGAGCATCACATGGATAGAATTGTGAATGGGTTCAACAGACTGTTGGAATCCCCACTGTCCTCCCCGACAGGACAGTGAGGGAGTGCAACTATCCTAACTCCTTCTCTATCTCCTCCCCCCACCCCACCCGCCTCCCTACTCCTTGCTTCTGGTGTTATATAAAACTTGTTGTGCAGATCATAGAGCTCGACAAAGAGAAGAAGCGGGGCCTTCTATTGAGTATAGAGTGTGTCAACACATTAAACGAGGGTCTTATCATCCACCATGCCACTCACGGCTGCCCCAACCCAGCCCCCTCCCCCTACCGCTCCATGCTGCTGTGAGTGAGCTTCTCTCCCCTTATTCTGAGACCCCTGACCCTCTCAACTCTTCCCCTCATCACTCCTCCTCTTCCCTTTCCTCTCCTCTCTTCCTTCTCTCTCCCTCTCCTCTCTCTCATCACGCCCCCCTCTCCCCTTCCTCTCTCCCTCCTCTCCCTCTCCTCTCTCCCCTTTATCACTCTCCCATATCCCATTCCTCTCTCCGTCCTCTCTCGCTCCTCTCCCTCTCCTCTCCTCTCCTCTCCTCTCCTCTCTCTTCTCATCACTCCCCCCTCTCCCCTTCCTCTTTCCCTCCTCTCTCTCCCTCATCGCTCCCCTCTCAGGCCAAGGAAGCCGTCACACCTGAACCCTTCCATCTCTTTCTTACGCCTCTCTCCGCATCATCTCCCCTTCGTCGCTCCTCCCTCTCCGCACACGCTCACGCGCGCGCACGATTCTCCTCCCTCTCTTCTTCCTCTCCCCCTCATGTCTCCTCCCCCTCCCGTTCCTCTCCCCTCATCGTCCCCCCTCCTTCCTAATTTTCCCACCCACCAGTGCAAGCATCCAGTCATCCCTGAAAGGGACCTGCCTCATATTTCTGACGCCCCTTCCCCACTCCCTTTACCCTTCGTTTCTCTCTCCCAACCCGCCAGTGCAAGCATCCAGTCATCCCTGGGCCCTGCTGCCTGTGGTCCCACTGTCTCTTCACAACCTGAAGGGGGCATGCTCCGAGGGGAGGTGAGGGGAGCGGCTGGCTGTGGATGCAGCCAATTCATTCCCCGCACCTGCCACCTGTTTCTGACTCCCTTTTCCCCTGTCCTCTCCCATTCCTCTCTTCCTCGTCTCTGCCCTTCCTTGATCTCTCTCCGCCCACCAGTGCAAGCATCCAGTCGTCCCTAGGCCCTGCTGCTTTTGGCCCCACTGTCTCTTCGAACCCTGAAGGGGGCATGCTCCGAGGGGAGGCAAGGGGAGCGGCTGAGAAAGGAGGATTAAGAGGGGGATTAGGAGAATCTGCTGTTACCAGCACCAGCGTAGGGGGTGAGAGCAATAGCAGCGGCAGCAGCAGTAGTATCAGCAGCAGCAGCAGCAGCAGCGGCGGCAGCAGCGAGAACAACAGCAACGGTGATGAGAGTGATAGTAAGGGAATGTCAGGTGGTGGGAGGTTGGAAAGGAGAAGCATAGGAACAGAGAAGTGGGGTTCTGTTAAAGGGAATGGAAAGGAAGAGAGTGGGGAGAAAGGGAGTGGGACGAAAGGGATTGGGGTGGGTGAGAGTGGGATGGAAGGGGTAGGGAGTGCAGGAGAGGGGGCAGGAGAGAGCGAGGAGGAGAGGATAGTGGAGGAGGTTGAGAAGGAGACTGGTGTGGGATTCTGGGGTGATGATGGTGTTGATAGTAGTGATGATGGTGGTGGTGTTGATGCTGATGGCGATGAGATCAACAAGCAAGGACAAGGGAAGGCTGGGGGTCAAGCAGAGGGCCAAGCGCAAGGGGAGAGCACAGAGAAGCAGAAAGATAGCACCAAAGGTAGTCGCAGAAACAGAGGCAGAAGCAGAAACAAAGACGACAAGTCCCCTGCTCTAGCAGACACTACTGAGAAACTCCATAGGTGGATGGACAAGTGGAGGAAAACCACTCTCTCCCTCCTCCCCTCCTCTTTCCAAGACGCTTCCCTCCTCCCGATCCTCGAGCTCGACACCCCTCCTCCCGTTCCTCTCCCATTGCCGAACCTGGGCCCGGACGTGCCTGTCGATCCGGCTCGGGATCCGAACCTGTGGCAGCCGTTTCATGTGAAGGGCACGCCGAGGCTGGTCACGCTTTTTTCGGGCGAGTGCACGGCGTATTTCGATTGGCAGACGCTCGGGCTGATGTACAGCTTCCGGCGGAGCGGGCAGCCCGGAAAGCTTGTGCGGCTGCTGGCTTGTAACGAGGACATGCTTAAGGAGTACAAGGGACTGGACCTGGCTCCGACTATGGTGGTGCCGAATTGGGACCATGACCCGCACAACGGAGACTGGTAGGTTTTTTGTGTGCTTGCAGTGCAGGGTGGGAGGGGGAGGAGGGAGGATGGGAGGGGGTGAGTGGAGGGAGGGGGCGTCACCTTGAGTACAAGGGGTTGGACCTTGCACCGTCTATGTTGATGCCGAATTGGGACCACGACTCCCACAACGGAGACTGGTGGGTGTGCATAATTGGTGGCTTGACAAGAACCCTGCACCCCCTTGTGCTGACTAATCTTTTCCCCACTCCCTCCCCCCTTCTGCCCCTCTCCTTCCCTTCCTCAGGTACTCAGCTAGCTACAAGCCAGTGGGAGTGAAGTACCACAACAGCCCTGCACCGCCTCCCCTGACCTATGCTTTCCCCACCCCCTCCCTCCATTCTCCTCTTCTCCTCCTCAGCTATTCCGCCTTCAACAAGCCAGCGGGCGTCAAGTCAAGTACTGGCTCCACAACAGATCCGCACCCACTTCTTGTGGATTTGTTTAGTCCCCTTCCCCCTCCCGCTCTCCCTCCCCCTCCCCCTTGCAGGTATTCCGCCATTAACAAGCCAGTGGGAGTGAAGTAATGGCTCCACAACAGCCCTGCACCACCTTCCCCTGACTTGTGTCCTCTCCCCCTACCCTCTCCCATGCACCTCTTTCCCACCGTCCTCCCCCTCCCCCTCTTTCCAGGTATTCCGCCATTAACAAGCCAGTGGGAGTCAAGTACTGGCTGGACAATAGCCCGGCAACCCTTTCCCCTGACCTACCTCTCATTTCCCCACTCCCTTCCCCCATTCCCTCTCTCCCCCATTCACCCCACTCCCTTTCCAGGTACTCGGCCATTAACAAGCCAGTGGGAGTCAAGTACTGGCTCGACAACAGCCCGGACGCACAACTTGTCGATTTTGTCCTCATCCTGGACGCAGATCAGATCCTCCGCCGCCCGATCCTGCCCTGGGAGCTAGGCGCCGAGCGAGGCCGCCCGGTTTCCGCCGACTATGGGTGAGTGAAGTGAGTGAGTGAGGGTAATGGGTGGGTGGGAGAGGCCTCCTGATGAGAGTGAGTGAGCTATGGGAGAGGCGATGAGAGTGAGTGAGGGAGCGACAAGGCTGCGCATGAAGCACCGCACCCCAAGCACTGCGACAGGATGGGAGGGATGGAGGGAACATTCCCATTCACCTCAAAACAGTCTCGCTGTTCCTCCCTTCTCTCCTCTGTTGGGTCCCTTTTCAACCCTCCCCAGATATTTAATAGGCTGCGACAACATCCTTGGCTCGCTGCACATGAAGCACCCCAAGCACTGCGACAAGGTCGGGGGGTACATCGCCATCCATGTGGACGACCTGCGCCTGCTGGCCCCCCGCTGGATCGCCAAGACAGAGGAGGTACGGTGGGTGGTTGATTGATGGGTTAAGTCCCTCAAAGGATTTCCACTCTTTTCATCACCATCCACGTCGATGACTCGAGGCCCGAGGTGACTCGATGTGACTCACTCGACTTTGACCTGACCCGGCCCGACCCGGCCCGACACGACCTGGCTTGACCCGGCCTGACCCGACCAAGCCCATCTCGAACCGACTTGACTTAACCCGACCCGGCCTGACCCGATCCGACCTGGCCTGACTCGAACCGAACCGTCCTGATCTGAGAAGACCTGACCCGCCAAGATCCGACCCCAACCGTTCCGACCCAGGTCTGACCTGACCGGACTCGACCTGACCCGAACTGTCCCGACATTGCCTGACCCAACCCAACCCAACTTGACCTGACCCGACCCAACCCGACCCAGCCCGACCCGACCCTGGTCCAACCCGACCCGGCCCAACCCGACCCGGCCCAACCCGACCCGGCCCAACCCGACCCGGCCCGGCCAGACTCGACTCGACTCGTGCCCATGTCTATCTTTTAGTACAAACCACTCATGTCTCTCTCTATCCTCCGTGATTTTTTCTCTCCCCCCCACAGGTGCACGCAGACAAGGCACAACACACCACAAAACAACCATGAGTTCTCCTTTCCTTCTCCTCCGTCCCTCTCTCTCATCAGTACTGTCTATACCCTCACTCCCCCTACACAAGTGCTAGCAGACAAGGAGCGCTACTCCACCAACAACATCACTGCACCTTCCTCCCCTCCTCCGTCCCTCTCTCATCAGTGATGTCTCCTCTCCATCCCCCACCCCACCCCCCTCCCAGGTGCGAGCGGACAAGGAGCACTACGCCACCAACATCACTGGAGACGTGTACGGGCAGGGGTGGATCAGCGAGATGTACGGCTACTCTTTCGGCGCCTCCGATGTGAGTTCCCCACTAAGTGGAATGCTATGCTCCTCTTGAGGGCTCTAACTGTGTGAACAGACATGAAGGGACAGGGGAAGGAGCACTGATGTACGGCTCGGGCTGGATCAGCGACATGTACGGTGGGTTCCTCGTTGGGGTGACTTTTGAGTCGACTCAAAAGGCAGTCACTCGTCAAGGAACAACATCAACTCCGACATCAACTCGTCAGGGAGTCGACATCCTCATACGACTCAAAGGCTGGATCAGCGACATGTACGGTCGGTTCCTCGTTCTGCGCCTCCGATGTGAGCCCATGGCATGGCATGTCGTAGCGTGGGATGGCTTGGTTCAGTGAGACGTATGGCTACTTCGTCTGGTCCTCTCCTGTGGATCAAAACACGTTATGGCTAGGAATGGATAGAAAGTTGGTTCTGTGTGGTGCTGACAGATACAGTGGGATTGGGCTTCTTTACTATGGATTCGGGGTCAAAGGGTGCTTACTCTTGGTATAAGTCCCGCCCCACTAGCCCTCACCTTCGGCCTCCATTTTTCCCACTTTTCCACTTATCTCCTACCTCTCTCGCTCCAGTTATCCTACTCCCTTTACTCCCCTCCCCCCCAACCCTCAGGCCAATCTACACAACGTGGTGATAAATAACATAATGCTCTACCCAGGCCATTCCCCCTCTCCTCTCTCCCTGTCCTCCCCATCCTCCCTTCCCCGCTCCATCAGGCCAATCTACACCACGTGGTAATCGACAGCATAATGCTCTATCCAGGCTACCCCCCTCTCCTCTCCTCCTCTACTAACTCCACCTCTTCCCCTCTGCTCTCCTCCCACTCCCTCACAGGCCAAACTACACCACGTGGTGATAGACAACATAATGCTCTACCCGGGCTATCCCCCTCCTCTCTCCTCCTCTACTCCTGCGCTCTAACTCCCCCTTTCTTCCCCTCCTCCCCAACCCTCAGGCCAATCTGCACCACGTGGTAATAGACAACATAATGCTCTACCCGGGCTATCCCCCCGTACCCAACGTGGACCCGCGTCTCTTCCACTACGGCCTCGAGGTTAAAGTTCTAAATTACTCCTGGGATAAGTCCCGCTTCCGAGACACCCCGCTAGCCCTCACCTGCGGTTACCATTTCCCCGATCCTCCTGACGTTACGGATTTGCCCCCGTTACCCGCTGTCGATCCTGGTGCTGCTGCTGCTGCTGCCGCTGGTGGTAAGGGTGGTATGGGCGGTTTTTTTGCGGGGCTTAGGGGTGGAGGAGGAGGGGAAGAGGAGAGGGAGAAGAAGCTGAGGGAGTTGCAGGAAGAGCGGCGGAAAGATTTCATTGTCATTGAGTGTGTTGCGGTGCTGAATCGGGCTTTAAGGGAGTATCATCGGTTGAGGCTTGGGTGCCCTGTGACTAGCGAGAAAGATGTGGGCGTTATGGATCTTACTGGAGCGTCTTATATCGAGTTGGGGAGTGGGGGAGGCGGTGTGAGGGAGCTTCGAGCTGATGTGTGGGCGAGAGTGAGGGATGGGGGAGGAGGGATGGAGGTGGAGGGGGAGCGGAGGATGGGGAGGAGTGAGGAGGGGAATGAGGATGTGGAGCAAGTGGGGAGGTTTGTGGTAGAGAGTGTGGAAGTGAGGGAGAGGGGAGGGTTGGAGCGAGGGCTTGTGGTTGGGGTAGAGATGGCAGAAGGGGAGAGAGAGAGGATGGAGGAGAGGATGAGGGAGGAGGGTGGGCAGGAAGGAGAGACAGTAGGGGTTGAAGAGGTGGGGGTAGAGGAGCAGCAGGGGCAGAACAGGCAAGGGAAAGAAGAAAGCCATGTTGAACAGCAGCTGAATCAGGAAGGAGAAGTGCAATTGGAAGGGGCAGGAAACGGGAAAGGCGGACTGGCTAAAGAGCAGCAAGGAGGTTCAGGGGTAGAGGAGGCGAATACATTCAAGAGCAGCGTAGGTGGTATCAGAGCACAAAGCGGCAGGATCCAACAAATCCGAGGGCGCTTACGTGGCAGGCGATCATTGGTTGGAGGGGATCTGAGCTCCGCAGGTGATAGGGCGGCTGGTGGGGGGGATGGGAGGGGGGAGGGAGCAGAAGGTGGGGTGGATTGGGTGATGTGGCTGAAGCGGTATAAGAAATGGCTTGCTGCCCCGTGGGTGCTGGCTGCTGTGATGCTGCTGCTGGTGGTTACCAGGAGGCGGCAGCGGAAGCGCAGGGAGGGGCGGGAGATGAGAGAAGCGCGGCGGGAGAGGAGGGCGAGGAAGAAGAGAGTGGAGAAGATCCCTAAGGATGCGACGGACTAACATTCGGGAAAAATATATAGCAGAACATTCATGATAGCTTTTCTTGTGTTCTAGTACTACCAGTATGTTGTATGATGGTATTTGTGTGAAAAGGATGATGTGTTCAGAAGAGAATGTTCTTGTTGACATGCGTTTATGCTAAAATCGGAAGTGAAGCACTATGTGTGTTGGATGGTGTATGAAATGTTGCGTTTTCTACCAAAGAGAACAGGATTCTAGGACTAACATTCAATTCTAATAAGGGTTTTGCAATGTCAATTGAGATAATATTTGGTGGACACATGTTATCTTCTGAGCATTTTGCTTCGAATTGGTGCACTTCCTAAGGAGGTCGCTTTCAAGGCAGGTTTCCAGGGCGTGTTTACAGTCGGTATCCATATAACCTAGGAGTCAACAACGATGTCAATTGACAATCTTCCTGAAAGTAGAAGCCATTTTGTGGATTTTCCTGAGCGCGGTTCAGTTTCAGTACTATGCTTCTCCATCCGAATTCCGTCAGAAACGCGGCTTACTTGACCCGAGAGGCTCTCTGACACCCACGCGATGCCCCGCCTGGCGGCTATTGGTGGTTTGGTCTCAGTCCACGTCTCCTCCATGTACAGAGCCCTAGATGACTCCATTTTCCAGTCCACGTCCCTGTCGTCACCCTAGACCACAGTAACTCACCCAACCGTTCTATTTGTTTATTGAAATACGGTGAATCGTAAGGAATCTCACTGAGCCGCATTCACACATAGCCACACTGGTAGAAGAAGGTTCTGGTTCTGCTGGGCCTCGACTAGTCATTTCCAAGCACTTCAGAAAGCTAGCAGCAGCTGAGCAATCAAGGGGCATACATCTTGGAGTTTAGGTTGTGACTGCTGGGTTCCTTTCTTTGATCTGATTTAACGCAAAATTGCGTTCCTCGTTGCGAGTTTCTGCTACGGTAAAACCTGATTGCCTGTGTTTCGCCAACGGCATAAGTTTTCCACTGCCAGCAGGATCGCGTGGTTCTCTTATTCATCACCGTCCATACATCAGGTAGCCATTGTTTTCTATTTTGTCAGTTTTGTTCAACAATTTTCCTTTTTCTGTCTAGAACAATCGTGGCTGACGGGATGTTTTTCCTGTGCTTTCTTGTTCCCCTTTGTGAGACCCTTTCTTCACAAACACTATACCAACATGCCGGACATTAATAGCCTCGCTGTTCTGAGGTCGCCGGACATCGTCGTCCTAGGCTTCTACCGTGCAGCTGTCTCCGCGCATCGCGACGAGCAGCAGATCGTTCCAGATTTTACCAATCCGCGTTTCAAGGCGTCTCGAAACACGAGAATTGGTTCTAACTACACCGCTCCCCATGGACAAGAAGAAATTTCTCGAGATGGTTAAGAAGAAGAAGGAGCGCGCGGAGATGCGGAGCGGCGGGATGAGCAGCGAGTGGGCGAAGAAGCTGGAGCAGGTGGCAATGCAGGCCGCTGACGAGGACGCGAAGAAACGGAAGGAGAAGGAGAGGAAACGGCGAAAGAAGAGGAAGGAGAAGAAGAGTCGGAAAAGCCGCTCGCGAAGAGACGATTCTTCGGATTCGTCGGATTCGTCGGATTCGTCTTCGCATGATGAAGATTTGCGTTCGTCCGAATTGGAATCTAGTTATGATAGTTCGTCGGAGTCGGAGCGAGAGGAGAGGAGACGGAGGAGAAAGAAGCGGCGCGGGAAGAAGCAGAGGAGAGAGCGGAGGAGTGAGTCGGAGAGCGAGGAGGAGGAGGAACGGGAAGGGAGGGAGAAGGAGCGGAGGAGGAGGAAGCGACGGAAGAGAAGAGCGTCAGACTCTGATATTGACGCTGATGCTGGCAGGTACGTGTTTGGTTTTGATGCTTTTGCTTTTGTTTTTGTTTTTGTTTCCAATTTGAAGCTGATGGGTATGTCGGGGAGGTATATTTAACGACACTTCCTTGTTAGCAGGTACGTTCTAGTTGACTTTCTGTTGGTTCCTTGCTGCAAAGGTGTCGAGAAACAAAAGCAGTTGTTTTGCATCTACACATTGTTCTATGAACCATTCATCTGTGACAGCACTGAATAGCTCTAGGGTTCACTAACCTGTTGCCATCAATCATGTGCTTTTCTCACACGGCACTGATGTGTATCTGGGTTTCTTGGCAGTGATGGTGATGGTGGCAAGAGGAAACGCAAAGCTCGCTCGACCTCCCGAGATGGCCACAGCTCAGGTGATGATGACGATAAACGGGAGAGGAGCAGAAGCAGGGGCAGAAAGAAGGAGAAAGGACGGAGCAGGAGCAGGGATCGCAGCCGCAGCAGATCGAGCGACGACGACCACAAGAAGAAACGTAAGCACAAGAGCAAGAGCAAGAGCCGGAGCCGCACTCCGGATGTGCTTGCTCACAGGCGCAAAGGTGCCAAGAGCAGGAGTCGAACCCCTGACCTGAAGGGAATACAGGAGGAACGTGAGCGTAGCATGCGCAGAGCCAAGAGCAAGAGCCGCACCCCAGAGATCGAAAGGGTTGGTTCTGAGGCTCATGAGAAAATCGGTTCTGGGGGTGAGGGTGTGATGGGAGAGGTTGAAGGAGCGGGGTGTGTTGGTGGTGGGGTTGGAGATGGAACAAAGGCAGGAATGGGGGAGGAGGAAAAGGGAAAAGCCGGAGGAATGGGTGGAGAGGAGGACAAGGGAGAAAAGGGAAGGGAAAATGGTGGTGAGCGTGGGGTAGTAGCAGAGGGTGGGAATGGACAGGAGAAGGAGGGAGGGAGTGCGAAAATGGAGCTGGAGGGTGGAGGTTGCCAGCAGGGAGACGCTGGGGTTGAGGGGGAAGTGGGAAACGGAGAGGTGAAAGGGGAGGATAAAGGGGGAAAGAAGGGTGAGAAAGAGGAGAATGGGGGTGAGGAAGAGGGGAATGGGGGTGAGGGAGAGAGGGATGGGGGTGAGGAAGAAGGGCAGGCAGGTGAGGAAGAGGGAAGAGGGGACGAAGGAAAAGGGGAAGGGGGAGAGGGAGGGGATGGTGCTGATAAGCTGCAGGCTTGAGGCAGGGTGGGTGTGATACAGCGAGGGGGTAGATGCAGAGAAAAGTGTGCTGTGTGCAAGTTAGTTCTGAGGTGCTTGGGTTCAGAGTGTGAGTGGAGAGGTAGGTGGATGAACTTGAGTTTGGAGAAGGGACACTGCGCACGATGTGAAGTGAGTCATTAAAAATTCTGGAGGGGGAACGCAGATGTGGGTCACCAGCACAGCTGGCGGACAACTTAATCGGCGTGGGTGGAGGGTTTTGCTAGTACCCTTACTCGATTTTGATGTGCGACAATATTTTTCTTTTGTTATTCTTAATATACTACTGGCAGTACACATTGAATGAGCGGGTGGGACAGCCTTTGTTTCAGCATTTTACAATCATGCATTGTACCGTATTTGTGCTTACCGCGTGCAATGTATGTATTTGAAACAAAACATCTGACGGTGACATGTATTCTACGGGCTTGTACTTTCTAGCGGAATACTGTGAACGGGGGTCATACGCCAAACCTTCTACAGGCCGGGTTGATTTTCTGCTTGCTCCACTTTGAAGGAGGAGCTTAGTACGTTGCTCATCTCCCGTTTCGTGTCGGGAGTATAAGTTTCCTGTGACTAGATTTGATCGAACGAGCCGCCTTTTGTAGCGAATTAACCGCTACCATGGCCACGTTGCTTCTAGAAAGCCGCGACGCGCAGGAGCGGCGCGAGTGGCGGCGGTCGGCGGCGGCGGAGGCCGAGGCGCAGGTGGACGCGCTGCCGTACTTAGACAAGGAGTACGAGGACCCCGCGGTGCGCGCGGAGGTTAACCGCCTCGTGCAGGAGGAGATGCGCCGCAGCCCGCGCACCCCCGCGGATATACTTTCGGAGCTCCCGCCCGTGCCCGAATTGCGGAGCGAGGTAAGTTCCAACTCTAGCGGGGTCTGGCTTTCTCAGGTTACCTTGGTCAGGGGGGAACGTCTAAAGAGGGCGAGGAAGGGGGAAGCCAGTCGTGCAGGAGGAGAGGCGCAGGTGGACGCGCTGCCGTACCTAGACAAGGAGTCGAACCCCTGACCTGAAGGGACAAGGAGTACGAGGACCCCGCGGTGCGCGCGGAGGTTAACCGCCTCGTGCAGGAGGAGATGCGCCGCAGCCCGCGCACCCCCGCGGATATCCTCGCGGAGCTTCCGCCGGTGCCGGAATTGCAGAGCGAGGTAAGGTACAACACAAATAGAATCTCCGCCGATGTTGGTGCTGAGAAGTGTGGTAGTTGTAACCGCACGGATTGTACTTGTAACTGTTTTTATCTGTGCTGGTAACCCGAAGGGGAGGGAGGGCCAGTTGCGCAGTGAAAGATGCGCTACTGCAGCCCGCGCAAGCGCGCGCGCCCGCGCACTCCTCCGGATATATCTAGGAGCTTTAACAGTATCGGAGTTGAATAGTGAGGTGCGGTAACCCTAACCCTGGCGTAATCTGGTTTTTGCGTGTTAAGGTCAGGTCAGGGGGTTCCGTCTAGAGGGGGGAAGGAGAAGGGGAGCTAGTCGTTTAGGCTGTCAAGAACGACATTCTCGCTTCCCCCTCCCTCATGCTTCCCTCCCATTCTCGCCCTCCTGCCCCACCCTAGTCGCCAGCTCTCCCCCTTGCTCCCCCCCATTCTCTTTTTCCTTCTCTCTCCCACCCCTCCCTCCACCCCAGCTGCTCCCCATGTTCGCCCAGGAGTGCGAAAGAGTGAGGGCGGGTCGTCCCCCAACCCTAGCAGTGGACGCGGGGCGCTATGAGGGCGCGGGGAAGGGACCAGGCGGGTCAGATGCTGAAGTTGTGCCTCTCAGTCTCTCGCTCATGTTTCCCCGTCCCATCTTCGGCCTCCCTCCTCCCCACCCCAGCTGCTCCCCATGTTCGCCCGGGAGTGCGAAAGAGTGAGGGCCGGTCGGCCCCCAACCCTAGCAGTGGACACGGGGCGGTATGAGGGCGCAGGGCTTGGGCCAGGAGGGCGAGGGGCTGAGGACATGCGTCTCATGCTCTCCCTCGTGTTTCCCTCCCCTCTTTCTTCCCCGCTGCTCCCCATGTTCGCCCGGGAGTGTGAAAGAGTGAGAGCGGGTCGTCCCCTAACCCTAGCAGTGGACACGGGGCGCTATGAGGGCGCAGGGAAGGGGCCGGGAGGGCGAGGGGCGGAGAACATGCCTCTTATTTTCCCCCTCGTGTTTCCCTCCCATTCCCCCCTTCCTCGTCCTCCCTTACCCCTCCTCCCTCCTCCCCAGCTGCTCCCCATGTTCGCCCGGGAGTGTGAGAGAGTTAGAGCTGGTCGCCCCCCAACCCTAGCAGTGGACACGGGGCGATATGAGGGCGCAGGGAAGGGCACTTGTCTGACAATGCCTCCTTCCTTCCAACGTCCCTCCCTCCCTCCCATTCCCCCCCATTCCTCCCTCCTCCCCAGCTGCTCCCCATGTTTGCTCGGGAGTGTGAGAGGGTGAGGGCGGGTCGGCCCCCAACCCTAGCAGTGGACACGGGGCGCTATGAGGCCGCGGGGAAGGGCATGTGCCTGTCCTTGCCTCCTTCCAACGTGCCTCCCTCCCTCCCATTCCCCCCCATTCTTCCCACCTCACCACCAGCTGCTTCCGATGTTCGCCCGGGAGTGTGAGAGGGTGAGGGCGGGTCGCCCCCCAACCCTAGCAGTGGACACGGGGCGGTATGAGGGCGCGGGGAAGGGGCCGAGAGGGATGGAGGGGAAGGGGGGGGTTGAGGTCATGTTTCTCATTCTCTCCCTCGTGTTTCCCTCCCATTCTCGGCCTCCCTCCCATTCTCGGCCTCCCTCCCACCCCCCCCACCCGCTTCATCCCCAGCTGCTCCCCATGTTTGCTCGGGAGTGCGAAAGAGTGAGAGCGGGTCGCCCCCCAACCCCAGCAGTGGACACGGGGCGCTATGAGGGCGCTGGGCTTCGGCCAGGAGGGCGAGGGGCTGAGGACATGCGTCTCATGCTCTCCCTCGTGTTTCCCTCCCCTCTTTCTTCCCCAGCTCCTCCCCATGTTCGCCCGGGAGTGTGAGAGGGTGAGGGCCGGTCGGCCCCCAACCCTAGCAGTGGACACGGGGCGCTATGAGGGCGCGGGGAAGGGGCCGGCAGGGCGGGGAGCTGATGACCCAAACGCGTGGAAGGGCGCGGTTAAGGCGGCGATGGTTCAGCTGCAGCACCAGGATACCCGGTGAGAGGAGGGGGGGATAAGGAGAGGTAAGGCGAAGGGACTGGGGGGGGGGGGAGGGGGCGGAGGACCCGAACGCATGGAAGGGGGCGGTGAAGGCGGCGATGGTTCAGCTGCAACACCAGGACACACGGTGAGAGGGGAGGGAGAAGAGGGCAGGGGGAAAAGAATGAAAGTTTTGGAGGTGGTGGTATGAGGGCACGGGAACAGGCCGGCAGGGCGGGGGGCGGAGGACCCGAATGCGTGGAAAGGAGTGGTTAAGGCGGCGATGGTTCAGCTGCAACACCAGGATACCCGGTGAGAGGAGAGGATGGGAAGAGGAGGGAGTGGTGGTTCAAGTGAGTGGTAACAGATTGAGAGGGCAACGGCGGTTAAGGCGGCGATGGTTCAACTGCAACACCAGGATACACGGTGAGAGGAGGGGAGGGGAGGGGTGAGGAGGGGAGGGGAGGGGTGAGGAGGGGAGGGGAAAGGGAATAGTGGAGGTGGTGGTGGTATGAAGGCGCGGGGAAGGGGCGGGGAGGGCGGGAGGGGGGAGGGGCGGAGGACCCGAACGCATGGAAGGGGGCGGTTAAGGCAGCAATGGTTCAGCTGCAACACCAGGATACACGGAGAGAGGAGAGGAGGGGGGGAGGGGAGGGGAGGTGAGGTGAGGAGAGGGGACTGGAGGGGAGGAAGTGAAGCAGAGGAGGAGAGAGGGGAGAAGAGGGTAATGGGACGCTTGTGTGCTGCTGTGATCTCATGGGTACGGGTGCAAATTTTTGTTTTTGAAACTGCCTGCCTGTTATCATTTATGTGTGTGGCGGCCATGGTCTAGGGTTTCCTTTTATGTGCCCTGTTATCATTTATGTGCGTGCGCCCATGCTCCCTTCCATGCATGCAGGCATGAGAATCTCGATCTGATGCTTCGCTTTGGCCCCAATGCATGGAAAGTGCACAACCAGCACCTCGAGGCGTTTCTAGCCAAGTGAGTGCGAGTGAACAGCAGTTAGGTGCCATGACTTTACATGGCAGCGTATAATTTCTCGAGATGCAAGCAACGCATGGAAAGTGCACAACCAGCATCTCGAGGCGTTCCTAGCCAAGTAAGCTGTTTTGTGTGTGTGTGTGTGTGTGTGTGTGTGTGTGTGTGTGTGTGTGTGTGTGTGTGTGTGCGCGCGCGTGTATGTATGTGTGTGTGTTTGTGTTTGTGTGTGTCTTGTGTGTGTGTGTCTTGTGTGTGTGTCCTTGTCTTGTTGTTCCTTTTTCTCATGCAAAGCAGCAATCGATTTTGGTTTACGCTTTGCTGCTTTCTCGTTTGTGATTTTTTTGTCAGGAAAATAGTAATTGAGCTGTTCAACAGCAGGTGATTTTAACCCTACCTCACTTATTCTTCAAAATTTCTGTGATGCCTCCCAAGCAGAGCACAGAGGGAGGTGGCAGAGAGGAAGCGAGAGATTGAGCTGCTCAATAGAGACAGGCGGCTGAACCAGGTGCGGTGCAATGAGGGTTGATTTGACAGTATAGGGATGGAAGAGTAAGGGTGCTGGGGTTCACTGTGGGGCAGAGAGGAAGAGCGAGAGATCGAGCTGCTCAATAGAGACAGGCGGCTGAACCAGGTGCGGTGCAATGAGGGTTGATTTGACAGTATAGGGATGGAAGAGTAAGGGTGCTGGGGTTCACTGTGGGGCAGAGAGGAAGAGCGAGAGATCGAGCTGCTCAATAGAGACAGGCGGCTGAACCAGGTGCGGTGCAATGAGGGTTGATGTGACAGTATAGGGATGGAAGAGTAAGGGTGCTGGGGTTCACTGTGGGGCAGAGAGGAAGAGCGAGAGATCGAGCTGCTCAATAGAGACAGGCGGCTGAACCAGGTGCGGTGCAATGAGGGTTGATTTGACAGTATAGGGATGGAAGAGTAAGGGTGCTGGGGTTCACTGTGGGGCAGAGAGGAAGAGCGAGAGATCGAGCTGCTCAATAGAGACAGGCGGCTGAACCAGGTGCGGTGCAATGAGGGTTGATTTGACAGTATAGGGATGGAAGAGCAAGGGTGCTGGGGTTCACTGTGGGGCAGAGAGGAAGAGCGAGAGATCGAGCTGCTCAATAGAGACAGGCGGCTGAACCAGGTGCGGTGCAATGAGGGTTGATTTGACAGTATAGGGATGGAAGAGTAAGGGTGCTGGGGTTCACTGTGGGGCAGAGAGGAAGAGCGAGAGATCGAGCTGCTCAATAGAGACAGGCGGCTGAACCAGGTGCGGTGCAATGAGGGTTGATTTGACAGTATAGTAATGGAAGAGTAAGGGTGCTGGGGTTCACTGTGGGGCAGAGAGGAAGAGCGAGAGATCGAGCTGCTCAATAGAGACAGGCGGCTGAACCAGGTGCGGTGCAATGAGGGTTGATTTGACAGTATAGGGATGGAAGAGTAAGGGTGCTGGGGTTCACTGTGGGGCAGAGAGGAAGAGCAAGAGATCGAGCTGCTCAATAGAGACAGGCGGCTGAACCAGGTGCGGTGCAATGATGGTTGATTTGACAGTATAGGGATGGAAGAGTAAGGGTGCTGGGGTTCACTGTGGGGCAGAGAGGAAGAGCGAGAGATCGAGCTGCTCAATAGAGACAGGCGGCTGAACCAGGTGCGGTGCAATGAGGGTTGATTTGACAGTATAGTAATGGAAGAGTAAGGGTGCTGGGGTTCACTGTGGGGCAGAGAGGAAGAGCGAGAGATCGAGCTGCTCAACAGAGACAGGCGGCTGAACCAGGTGCGGTGCAATGAGGGTTGATTTGACAGTATAGTAATGGAAGAGTAAGGGTGCTGGGGTTCACTGTGGGGCAGAGAGGAAGAGCGAGAGATCGAGCTGCTCAATAGAGACAGGCGGCTGAACCAGGTGCGGTGGGATGAAGGTCAAGTGGAAGGAGAAGGGATGGCAGTAGGGTGTTGGGGTTATAAGCAGTGCAGAGAGGAAGCGAGAGATTGAGCTGCTCAATAGAGACAGGCGGCTGAACCAGGTGCGGTGGGATGAAGGTTCATTTGACGGTATAGGGACGGAGGAGTGAGGGGGCAGAGAGGAAGAGCAGAGATTGAGGTGTTTAACAGAGACAGACAGGCGGCTGAACCAGGTGCGGTCGATGCGCAGAGGAGTGATGAAATTTTGGGAGTCACTTTTAAGAATTCTCAAAAAGGAGCGATGGTCCCTTTCCGTCACGTGCAGCAAGCAGCAGCAGTGGAGCTGGGGCGGCTGGAGCAGGCGTGGAGGGAGGGCGTGCAGAAGAACGCTTCTCGGTTTCCCTTACCCCTTTCTTCCCGCTCCCCTCCAATGATTCACTATCGCAGCAAGCAGCAGCGGTGGAGCTGGGGCGGCTGGAGCAGACGTGGAGGGAGGGTGTGCGGAAAGACGCTTCTCGGTTACCCTTACCCCTTTCTTCCTGCTCGCCTCCAATGTTTCACTATCGCAGCAAGCAGCAGCGGTGGAGCTGGGGCGGCTGGAGCAGACGTGGAGGGAGGGTGTGCGGAAAGACGCTTCTCGGTTACCCTTACCCCTTTCTTCCTGCTCCCCTCCAATGTTTCACTATCGCAGCAAGCAGCAGCGGTGGAGCTGGGGCGGCTGGAGCAGACGTGGAGGGAGGGCGAGCAGAAGAACGCAGACATCCAGGCGGCGTGTGCTCAGCTGGAGGCGCAGATTGGGGGATTGAAGGCGGAGGCGCAAGCACTGTGAGTTCAGGGTGGGGTTCAGGGTTTATGATGGGTGGGTGGGAGTATGCTGAGGAACTGGGCGAGCAGAAGAACACGGATATCCAGGCGGCGTGTGCTCAGCTGGAGGCGCAGATTGAGGGATTGAAGGCAGAGGCACAGGCACTGTGAGTGCTTCGGGTGGGTGGGTGGGTAAACTGGGCGTGCAGAAGAATGCGGATATTCAGGCGGCATGTGCGCAGCTGGAGGCGCAGATTGAAGGATTGAAGGCAGAGGCACAGGCACTGTGAGTTTGGGCTGCAGACTGTATGGTTCAAATCTCAGAATCCAGGGTCTGGTTTTAGGGTGGGAACATACTGGTAGTTGAATGGGATGGACATCCAGGCGGCGTGTGCTCAGCTGGAGGCGCAGATCGAGGGGCTGAAGGGAGAGGCACAAGCACTGTGAGTTCAGGGCTTATGGTTAGGTTGCAAGGTCCAGGGTTTCTGGGTTTAGGGCTCAGAGCTACGAGTGGAACACGCCTACTGAAGTGGACGGATAGTCAGGCGGCATGTGCTCAGCTAAAGGCGCAGATTGACGGGCTCAAGGCAGAGGCACAAGCGCTGTGAGTTCGGGGTCAGGGATTAGCATTTAAGGTCTAGATGTGAACATACCTAGTCAAGTTGGAGGGGCATTCAGGTTGCGTGTGCTCAGCTGGAGGCGCAGATTGAGGGGCTCAAGGCAGAGGCACAAGCACTGTGAGTTCAGGTCTCAGGGTTCAGGTTTAGGGTTTGGGGTTTGGGGTTTGGATTTTGGACTTTCGGGTTTAGGGTGGAACATACCTGGCTAAGTGGGACGGATATCCAGGCGGCATGTGCGTAGCTGGAGGCGCAGCTTGAGGGGCTCAAGGTAGAGGTGCGAGCACTGTGAGTTCGGGTGGTGGGTTCGGGATTTAGGGTGGGAACATCACGGTATCTGAATAGGACAGATTTCCAGGCGGCATGTGCTCAGCTGGAGGCGCAGATTGAGGGGCTCAAGGCAGAGGCGCGGGCACTGTGAGAGTCTTGGGGGTAGGATGGCAAGGCAACATCCTTGGTTTAGTGGGACGGGTAGGTAGTAGTAGAGTACCCCCCCCAGGTGGTACCAGTGCATGTGTGCAGCTGGACATACCGATGGGGTGTTGAATTCAAAGGCCCAAGCACTGTGAGTGTCTATGGTTGGTGCAAACATCACGGTATCTGAATAGGACAGATTTCCAGGCGGCATGTGCTCAGCTGGAGGCGCAGATTGAGGGGCTCAAGGCAGAGGCGCGGGCACTGTGAGAGTCTTGGGGGTAGGATGGCAAGGCAACATCCTTGGTTTAGTGGGACGGGTAGGTAGTAGTAGAGTACCCCCCCCAGGTGGTACCAGTGCATGTGTGCAGCTGGACATACCGATGGGGTGTTGAATTCAAAGGCCCAAGCACTGTGAGTGTCTATGGTTGGTGCAAATATGCTCGGCTGAGTGGTCATGCGGAAAATCACAGGCATTTGGTTGGCGTGTGCTCGGATAGAGGTGGTGCTGATGTTGACAAGCGGTCATTGAGGCTGCTTCTAACTCCATACTCGGCTGAAAGAGCATTGGTTAGCATGATGTTTTGGAAGTGTCTCTTCATGTGTTGAATGTTGTTCCATTTGTTTTTTGTGCAGGGGTGTCGTCACGGACAATTCGATGCAAGAAGATTGAGTCTGGTTAATAAGCAAGCATGCATGGCTTCGCTTACCTTGGCTGCAATGCGGTATGTCTAACCAGATGTATAATTTTATCCAATCTGTAGACGTATCATCGTACAAGTCGTCCGCACCTAACGCGCGATGCTCAAACGAGGTGCATTTCAATTGCCGAAAACACTGTGCTGCCATGCTGGCGCTATCGTCCTTTTCTTCAGCTTGGGCAGTGCCCGGGCAATCCGAAACTGGGCTGAGGAAAGTTTGTTGGAGACCAAGAGCAGTCGCGAAACCTGATGAAAACACCTTCCATTCCCACTTGCAGTGTTTTCTTCGGCTTTCCATTTCTGCCGGCGGTCAGCACCTGGTTTGATGTTTCGTGGATCTACTATATTTCTTGGCTCGGCTCATCTGCACACTGTGGGCTTTTGCCGAACCAAGCCCACACGTGATTCCCGACCAAAGCAATCTCGAAGTTGACGAGCCGAGGCTAGAATCACACCAAGGACCACCTGACAAAATCCACGACTCGGTGACAACAGCAATTGACAATATGCTCAGATGCCCTCTGCCCGCATGCTCGACTAGTTTTCCCACCAGGGCCTCAGAAACTTAACTACGAGGTTGGGAAAGAATGGCTTGTCCTTTGCCAAACCCGTTAGGAAGTAGGGAGCTGAAGAAATTTTGTGACGTGACTTTGATTAAACCGGGCACACGATGTTCGTTCCCGAAACATGATGGGTGGTTTGCCAATCTAGAGTGGCGGATCTTCTGTCTCCAAGCTCCAACCTTCACCTCCATCCCCCCCGAAGATTACGTTTGTAAAGTGAGCGTCAATGTTTAGAAAGTTTTTAAACGTTTCAAAGCGGTGGTGAGGCTGTCGGACTGCTCTGAAATTCACAGCAGCACATTCTGTTTTTCACCAGGCAGAGTAAACTCCCTCCAGTAACACGTCCTTATTATGGCCGTTCAGTAGTGCATACTATTACTAGGGTGTGGTGTGGTGAGTGGCATATCGTATTGCTTATTATGCACGATAACGAATTTCTACCCTTCCTGTACAGAGTGCAATAGGTATATTAGTTATGGCGACAACATTCGGGAGTAATGGCGCCAGCGGCGGCGGGAGCCCGAATCACGGCAACGGCCAAACCAGCGAAGGTGTTGGCGGCATCAAAGGCGACGCGAAGAGTCACAGCGGTATTGGCCTGCGTCGTTTCTTGTCGTCTAGCAAGCATGCGCTACACTCAGTATTCGACCATCATCATGACCGGCGAACCCGCTCCGATAAAGAACGACCCGATAAAGGAGGCCAGCCCGAAGGCCGGGCGAGCCAGACCCGAGCCTCTTTCACGGCGTCATTTTCGGGCTCGGCGAATATGTCGATAGAGGATATTGCGCTGCCAGCGAGCGCGCTTCGCGGCTCGGAAGAGCAGGCGAACGCGATGCGGCGACAGCTGGAGCGACAGGCTAACGCGTATCGGCTCAGTTCGGCGAGTAACAGTTTGTCCTCGATAGAAGGCGCAGGCCGGCCTGATAACGGGGCGGCAGGGAGTTCAGCAGAGGTGGTTAGCAGCGCACCCCCGGGTTCACTGGCGACCGTTGATTCTAACGACGCAAGTACACCATCAACGGCGGAGAGGGGCGGAGCGGCGGAACAAGCGGAACCATCGGCGGAGCCGGCGCAGCCATTGGCGGAACCGGCGCAGCCATCAGCGGAATCGGCGGAGCAGTCCGCGGACGGCCGAGTGCCCTCCTGCGCCAAGGAAAGCGGGGGAAGAGAGGGTAACGAAGGTTCTTGTAACGAATCTACGCCGTCAGGCTCCGCGGAATTGGCCCCCCCGGAGTTGGGCTCTGCGCCGTCGGACTCAGCGGAGCTTGCTTCCGCCGCTTCCGCGGACACCGCGGAGGGCGACCCCAGCGCCCCCAGCGCCTCTAGCGCGGAGGCCGTTGCTAGCGCCGAGGAAGGACATAAAGCGGAAAACGTTCCTTCTAACGAGGATGCTTCTAGCGCGGATGACGTGTCATCCGTGAGTAGCGACCAGCCCGAGCCGCCGGAGGAGTTCATTTGCCCGCTGTCCCTCGATATAATGTTCGACCCCGTTATAGTGGAATCGGGACAGACGTACGAGCGTGCTTTTATCGAGCGCTGGGTCGCGGACGGCCACAAGACGTGCCCTAAAACGCGCCAGCCGCTCCCGTCGGGCGCGATTATACCGAATCAGATCCTCCGCGCGCTGATCAGCGATTGGTGCAAGCGAAACCGCGTCGCGCCGCCGAATCCGATTTCCGCGGATGATGTTGCGCTCGCGTTCTCCGCTGGCGGCGCGAAGGGCGCGGAAGCGGGCGCGGGGGGGCTGGCGGCGCAGCGCAGGCGGGAGTATGCGGCGGCGGCGGTGCGCGCGGCGGCGGTGGCGGTGGAGTCGGAACGCAGGCAGCGCGCGCTGATGGAACAGGTGATGGCGGACCGCGCGGCGGCGGCGGCGAGGGCGGATGGGCGGGCGGGGGACCGCGCGGGGGCGGACGAGCTCGCAACGCGTCAGGCGCGCATTCAGCAAATGCGCGCGGCGGCCGCGGGGCAGGGGCAGGGGCGCGGAGTGGGGAACGCGGGCGCGGACGCCCGCGGAACTGCACCAGGGGCGGCTGCGGGGACGGGAAGGGGAGGCGGAGAGGAGAGGGGGGGGCAAGCAGGCGCGGGGGGAGACATGAGGGGAATGGCGGAGAGAACTGCTAGGGTTTCCGCTGGTGCTTCTGCTGGTGCCCCTGCTCCTGCCGAGCCTCCCTCCAGAACTGCCGCAGCTCGCGTGGCGGCTCGGACGGCGGCTCGCGACGAAGCTGAGGATAGGTACGGGAACGGGATCCCGGACCACCTGCTAGCAGGCTTGGGAGGAGGCTCGGGAGGAGGTTTGGGAGGGGCCGGGGGAGGGTTGGCCCTGGCCGGCTGGCCTGGGAAACTAGCTATGAAAGCTGCTATATTTAAGACTCAGGCTTGGCCAAACCCGAAAGAGAACGAGGATGGGGTAGGGGGAGGCGGAGGGGGAGCAGGGGGGAGTGGGGGAGGAGCAAGAGCGGATGTGACTATGTCGGGGCCGATTGGGGTGGGGGCAGGGGGAGCGGGGGGGAGCGGAGGGGGCGGGGGAAGCGGGCAAGGTGGGGGTGGGAGGGCAGGTCTGAAGTTTGGTGGTCTCAGGCATTCCAGGTTCGCTGCTGGTAGCGCTGCTGCTGCTGCTGATGATGGTGCTGCGTCCACTGGTGGTGCTGAAGCATCTTCTGCTGCTACAGCTGCCGCTACAGCTGCTGCTACTGCTGCGGCTACTCCTTCTGCCGCCACAGCTTCTGCTGCTACAGCCGCAGCTGCTGCGTCTGCTGCACCCGCGCCTGTCCGTCCCAGGCCAGGCGCCCTCACTGCCACCGGACCTACTTCCGGACCTGTTTCCGGACCTATGAGCCCCGGACCTACCGCAACTGCCATGCCTCTGAGCCCCAAGCCTCGGTTCCCGGGCCAGTCAGAGGGTCGGGTTTCCAAGGGTCGGAAGAAGATGGAACGGGAAATCGCGAGGCTGTTGGCTCGGGAAGACAATGCATCGAGAGAGCATAGTATGGAGCACGGGGGAGGAGGTTGGGGGCATGAGCGCGGGTTAAGTACTAGTAGCAGCGTGGACGGTGGGCAGTGGGAGTCGATTCCGTACCAGTTCCCGTCCTCGCGCTCCCTTGATCCGAACCAGGGCACCCACCAAAGCTTCCCCTCCTCTGCCTCGGTTGACGGCGGCTACAGTGGCGCATTCTCCTTCGCCTCTGCCTCTGTCTCTGGCCCTGCCTCTCCCCCTCCTGCTGCTGCTGCTGGTGCTGCTGCTGGTAGTGCTGCTGCTGCTGCTTCTCTCCCCCCCCGCGCGTCTCTCCCCCTCCCCTCCTCCCACCACTCCATCCTCTCGCAAGCCTCCTTCGCCCCCTCCCCCCCTTCCCCTCTCCCTCCCCACCCCCGCGGCTCCCACTCCAAAGCCCCCTCCTACGCCTCCTCCTCCCACGCCCCCGCCTCCTCCTCCTCCCTTACCCCCTCCGAACCCCCAGAGGAATTCCAAATGCTAGATGTGGACAATCTAGTCAACCACATGCGCACCGGGCCGCCCGAGGAAAAAGCCGCGGCCGCCGCCCTGCTCCGGGTCATGACCCGGCACGGGTTCGCGTGCGGGCGGCGGGTTTTGGAAGCGGGCGGCGTGGCTCCCCTCGTCGACCTCCTCTGGTCCGACGACGAGCCCACCGCCGAGCACGCGACCACCTCTCTCTTCAACCTTGCTCTAGAAGCCTCGGCTAGGATGCGTATCGTGGTAACCACCGGGAGTAGAGTGGTAGAGGGGCTAGTTCACGTGCTTTCCGCCGGTGCTCCCGCCGCGAGAGCCAACGCAGCAGCGGCTCTCTTTCTCCTGTCCCGCGACACCGGCGCCAACAGCAGCATCAACAGCGGGGCGCGAGCAGCAGCTGAGGCGAACTCGTTCCGGGAAGCAGTGGTAACCGCAGGCGCGTTACAGCCGTTACTAGACCTGCTCCTGGACGGCCCCACCCGGGCCAAAAAAGACGCCGCGAACCTCCTGGTTTCCCTCTGCATGGCCCGGCCGAACCGGTCGAGCGTGGCTAAAGCCGGTGCAGTGCGGTGCTTGTGCCAGTTGCTGAGCGAAGGGGTGGAGGTGGTAGAGGAGCAAGCAGCAGCGGTGTTTGCGGCTCTTGTGAGGGATCCCGAGGGGAGAGAGGTGTTGGTGGAAGAAGGGGCGGTGCCGGCTTTGGCTGAGTTGGTGGAGGGGGGTACGCAGGGACGGGCGAGGGAATATGCGGTGGGGACGCTGCTGGGACTGGGCGCAAGCAGCAAGGAGTGGCTGGTGGCAATTGATGAGGAGGGGATTTCGGCATCAGTGGACGTTCTCACACGTGTGGGAACCGGCAAAACCCAAGCCAAGGTGAGACTCGAGTCTTGTCTGTGGTGTGTGAGTGAGTGAGTGATGGACCCCGAGGGGAGGGAGGTGTTGGTGGAGGGGGGCACGCAGGGCCGGGCGAGGGAGTATGCGGTGGGGACGCTGCTGGGGCTGGGGGCGAGCAGCAGGGAGTGGCTTGTTGTAATCGATGAGGAGGGGATATCTGCCTCAGTGGACGTTCTGATACGCGTGGGGACAGGGAAAACGCAAGCCAAGGTGAGTCTTGAGCCTTGAGTGGGAGGGTGAGGCGCAAGCTAAGGTGAGTCTAGACTGAGAGGGTGAGGGATCCGGAGGGGAGAGAGGTGTTGGTGGAGGAAGGGGCGGTGCCGGCTTTGGCTGAGTTGGTGGACGGGGGTACGCAGGGCAGGGCGAGGGAGTATGCGGTGGGCACGCTGCTGGGACTGGGCGCAAGCAGCAAGGAGTGGCTGGTTGCAATTGATGAGGAGGGGATATCTGCTTCGGTCGATGTGCTGACACGAGTTGGCACAGGGAAAACGCAAGCCAAGGTGAGTCGTGTCAAGGCGAGGGAATGGGAGACGCAGGTAGCAAGGCTTGCATCGCATGGAGCGAGGGAGTATGCGGTGGGCACGCTGCTGGGGCTGGGAGCGAGCAACAGAGAGTGGCTTGTCGCTATCGATGAGGAGGGGAATTCGGCCTCTGTGGATGTGCTGACACGCGTGCGAACCGACAAAACGCAAGCCAAGGTGAGACTATTCTGGGGGGGCTAAGCTGGGGATGCTGCTGGGGCTGGGCACGAGCAGCAAGGAGTGGCTCGTTGCGATTGATGAGGAGGGGGTTCCGGCATCGGTTGACATGCTCACACTCGTGAAAACCGGCAAAATGCAAGCCAAGGTGAGGAGGGAGTGCTGAGGGGCTGGTGTTGCTATGGCACTGGCTGGGGTTGCTGAGGGGCTCGCAAATCCGGGACGGCAGCAGTCTCAATCTGGCTGCAGGAGCTTTTTTGAGTCGACTCAAAATCCGGGACGGCAGCAGTCTCAATCTGGCTGCAGGAGCTTTTTTGAGTCGACTCAAAATCCGGGACGGCAGCAGTCTCAATCTGGCTGCAGGAGCTCCCGTGAACAAGGCCTAGGCCGTGCTCGTGTCACTTGAGAGAAATCTAAGAATTAACACAAGCTCACCGATACGTGATGCAAAATCGGTTAAACTGACCACTTTCGTACTCACAGCAGCGATGGACTCGAGCTGTAGTCATTGGCGTGGTTCTTGTAGTAGCAGTTGAGCTTGTAGTCACGGCAGCAAAGGCTGTTGCTTGTAGGGCCGCTATTCTTGCGATGTTTAATATCCTCTCCTTTCCTTCTCTTCGCTCATAGCAGGAGCACCGCTGCAGTTTGTTTTGTAGCACTGCAGCCCTTGCATCATGAATTAACAACGCTCGTTCTGCTCTACTGCACCGCCTCACTTTTACCTTTACCCCTCTCAATCTCTCCCAAGACCCTGTCCCTCCTGCTCGCTCCATCCCCACCCCCCTCCCACGTGAACCCCCCTCGCTCCCCCCACGTGACCCACCATCCCCGCCTTCCCGCTGCTGCTCCTTCCCCTTCCTGTGTCTCCCCTTCAGGCGGCAGCTCTGCTTGGGCTTCTGCGACCGTGCCAGGCACAGGGGGGTTAGAGAGGGAGAGTGATGACATGTGATTTACCCCACCCGTCCCGGGTATGTGTCCCCCCTCCCCTTCCCCCTACTCCACCTGCACTCCCACAGGCCGCAGCGCTGCTTGGGCTTCTGCGACCGTGCCAGGCACAGGGGGGTTAGAGAGGGAGAGTGATGACGTGTGATTTACCCCACCCGTCCCGGCTATGTGTCCCCCCTCCCCTTCCCCCTACTCCACCTGCACTCCCCCAGGCCGCAGCACTGCTGGAGCTACTGCGGTCATGCCAGGCCCAGGAGGGTTAGAGGGAAGCGGGGGGGTGGCAAGTGGGGGTGGTGGTGCTGGCTTGATAGATATGGGATGGTGGTCAGAGGGAGGGGCGATAGCAAGTGCTGGAGCTACTCAGGTCGTGCCAGGCACAGGAGGGTTAGTGGGGGGCTGAATCGGTACATGGTGTGATGGTGGTGGATATGTGTGGTGGCGATTAGGAGGGGCGATAGCAAGTGCTTGAGCTGCTAATGTCGTGCCGGGCACAGGGGGATAGATAGAGGGAGTTGGGAGGGGGGTGGCATGTGTGATGGTGATGGTGCTGGCTTGATGGATATGTGTGATGAAGGTGGAATGTGATGGTAGTGTGGGAGGGAGAGCAAGTGGTGGTTGTGTTGGTTGATGGATGGGGAGGGTAAGTGAGGGTGGTGGGGTAATGAGGGTGGTGGGGTAATGAGGGTGGTGGGGCAAGTGAGGCTTTGAGTGTGAGTGTGTGTGTGTGGTAAGAGAGTGGTATCAGTGGACTTTGGAGGAGTGAAGGTTTTGCTTCCATATGAATTGTAAGGTGGTACAGACAGAGTTTACTGTGCCTTCCATGAGTGAGTGAGTGGTAGGGCACAGAGCGGACAGAGCGGGCAGAGCAGAGTGGTGTGGTGGTTCTGACCCCTGTGCTGGTTGCGTTGTTTTAGATACGGTACAACGACGACTTGTTGACTGCAAAGTTGGACACTTACCTTATTTCCGTTGATGCGTGCATGCATGCAATTGATTCTCTTTACCGGTACCACTGTAGCTGTATTTGGATACTATAATACCTACCGTATCTATGCTCAACATTCTGGGCCCTGGCCCCAGTCCCGATGCCACTGCAAGCAGTGATGGTGGGGTTGAGGATGTGCCGGCCGTGTAAGTGCCACGAGACGAGTGGCAGCTGAGGAGCTGTGTCATACCATAATTGTTTCAGGCTGGTCGGTTTGTCAAGTTGGGGCTTTTTGGCAGCAGCTGCAAAAAGGCTCTTGCTGGAATATCTACGTACGTTGGTACAAGGGTGCAAATGCGCAGCAAATGACCATGACATGACACGACCAAGCATTGGGAGACTCGCCACCACTACAAGGGTGTTTAAACGTGACAAATCCGGTCGCCGTCACAACCAGTCTGCTACCCCTTGGTCTCTTTCTCATTGGCCTCACACTAGGAGGATTCACTTTAAGAATTCATGTGGCTGATCAGGTCATGACTCGCCACCACCACACTACACTACCCTTTGAGCTCTTTCTCCTTCGCCTCACAGATTGCATCAAGCTGCTTCTTTGCTGCTGCTACAGCATCTTCTACCTGCCACACACACAGATGCACAGCAGACACAACGGGCATGAAGGTATTGTGAGGTGATTAATTTACGAGTCAGAGTCTGATTCCCCAGAGCTGCTCCTTTGCTGCTGCTACTGCCAGCTCTACTTGCCACGCACACACACGCACATGCACAGCAGAGACAAGGGGTATTGCAGGGTGCGGAATGCAGGGGTGAGAGTCAAGGAATTGCCCCTGTAGCTGCTCCTTTGCTGCTGCGACTGCCTCCTCCACTTGCCACGCACAGCAGGCACAACATCTGCTCGTTTTACTGCAGAGAACAGTGTAGTACGGTACGTTGAGAAACCATGTGGTACAGTGTGGTGAAGGGCGATGGAGAGGGGTAGAGAACTGTACCTTCTTTTCCGCCCGCTTGCGCTCGTCCTCGGGAATCACATCTGCTGCTTTCTTTATAGCGTCCATTCCCTATAAGCACAGGTAAGTGGGTTCGTATTGCAGGAGACGAGGAGGACAATAGAGAAGAGTGGCGCGTTCTGAGACAGGACAGAGATCCTAATTACAAAAGATTTGGGGTTGAAGTTTAGACAAACAGGTGGAGTGAAATTTGTATTGCGAAAGAAAGTGAAATTCTGAACAATGCGAGAACAGGATAAACAGGATATTGCAGGCAAAGAGTGTGTCGCAGTCTCCCATTGCAGGGGGACAATCGAGACGAGTGACGCAAAAACAAGAGATTCTCCATACATATGAGATTTGTAAATGCACGCAAGCCACCCTGACTCACCCTGAGGGAGGAGGTGAGTCAGGGTGGCATCTGCATACATATGAGATTTGTAAATGCACGCAAGCCACCCTGACTCACCCTGAGGGAGGAGGTGAGTCAGGGTGGCATCTGCATACATATGAGATTTGTAAATGCACGCAAGCCACCCTGACTCACCCTGAGGGAGGAGGTGAGTCAGGGTGGCATCTGCATACATATGAGATTTGTAAATGCACGCAAGCCACCCTGTCTCACCCTGAGGGAGGAGGTGAGTCAGGGTGGCATCTGCATACATATGAGATTTGTAAATGCACACGTGGAAAATGCGTGCATCAGCACAGCAAGCCACCCTGACTCACCTCCTTCCTCGCCCGCCGCAAGCTCACTCTTGCAGACTCCGCTGCCTTTTGAGCGAGCTTGAACATGGCCTGGGGAAGGGGAGAGGGGGGGAAGAGTAGAGGGGACATTCAGATAATTCCGCTGCCATTTGAGCGAGCTTGAAAAAGGCCTGGGGAAGGGAGGGGAAGAGGGGAGGCCAATGGGGAGAAGGATACGGAAGGGCAGAGAGGAGGGAAAAGAGCAATCTTGCAGACTCTGCTGCCTTTTAAGCGCTCTTAAACATGGCCAGGGGAAGGGAGGTGGGTGCAGGATGTGGAAGGACAGAGAGCGGAGGGAGATGTAGAGGTCTCAAAGGCAGTCTCGCGGAGACAACAAAGGAAGATGGAAGTTGATGATTGAGAGAAAAGAGGGAAGAGGGGGGGTAGAAGACACAGCTTTCACTCCTCTCCTCTTAACTCCCTCACTTCCTGCTTCTCACCTCCCTCACTTCCCCTCCTCTCACCTTCACTCCCCCTTTCTCACCTCTCTCACTTCCTTGGTCAGTCTTGAAGGTGGGGGAAGTAAAATGCGCATGCGACAAGGGGAGGGAAAACGGGGAAGAAGGGGGAGAAGCAGGAGGGTAAGTTGAAGGTAATTTCATTGATAGTAACTGTGTTTTGAGACCAATGATATGAAGCATAGGAATCTAAATAGTAACTGGAACCAAAAAGGAAAATGAGATACGATAAAGTCAAGGTTCGGTACGAACAAGGGAAGAAGGATTTTGGAACATATATTTAATGAACAATTTGTACATGAGGTGCTTTTTTTTCCAGTCGACTCAAAAAGATCAATGGTTGAACAAGTAGAACACGTTGCAAGCTACTGCCAAAAGATCAAAGGCTCTGCCAATTCCTGTTATTGATGTACAATGATGGCAACGGAAGGACTTTTGAGGCGCCTCAAAATTCCTGCTATTAATGTACAATGATGGCAACGGAAAGAATGATGGGCATGGTATGACAGCCACGGTAAGCCAAGACTCACTCTTGGCTCTCAAATCAAAATACCTGCTCACCTGGGAGGAAATGGGAAGGAGGAAAACGGTGCTTACCTGGGAATGGGCGCAAGGATGGCAGTGTGCGAGGTGTGCGAGGGGTTCAGCCCCATGGGTGATTCTTTAGAGGCGCCTCAACGCTTGTCTCTCTACTCGATAGTCGCGCACAGAAGGAGTGTCTTGCACTCACTTGGGAATGGGCACGAGGATGACTGTGTGCGACGTGTGCGAGGGGTTCAACCCCATGGGTGGCACAAGGGAAACATGTCAACATATGGAGGGAAGTTCAGCACTCACCTGGGAATGGGCACGAGGATGACTGTATGGGAAGTGTGCGAGGGGTTCAGTCCCATGGGTGACTCCTGCAGGCCCTTCATCGCCGCTCCTAGCAGCTAGAGAATTGTGGGGAAGGGGGTAGAGGGAGGAAGAGGGGGAGGAGGGTTGACTCTTGATACGAGCGTGGTGGTTTTAAGGCCCTTTCTGCCTGAGTTTTTGTTCATGTCGTGCCGGAGCTGTCAAGAGAGGACAGGTGGGCTGCAAAGGCCTTACTTCCATCAATCTCGTACCCATCAATCTTGTTCATGTCCTGCCCGAACATATGTTACACTTTGTTACGCGCACGCACGTGTAACTTCTACATTACTCGCAACTTTACCATTACGACCCATCTAATGGGACCCCACGTAATGGTAAATTCGCGAGATGGGTCGCATGGGTACTAGAACATGCGACCCATCTACGCACCAGAAACAGTGTCGTGTGCCATTGTAACGAGGTGAAATTTGAGTCGACTCAAAAGTCACATGGGTCGCATGGGTACTAGAACATGCGACCCATCTACGCACCAAAAACATTCATGGGAGCATCAAAGGAGTGTGACTGAGAGAACCTAGGGGCGCTTGACTGGGAGTGTGAGATGGATGAGGAGGAATTGGGGTCCTTGACTGGCCATCTCACACGGATTATGCTATCTAGTCCAGACATTCTCACAGACGCGTCATGGAGTGTGACTGAGAGCACCAAGGGTGTTGGTGCAACCCTACGGTTTGCACTCGGCTTGTTGTCCGTGTGCGTGAATGTGTGTGTGTATGGAATGGTATGAGGGCATGGGATAATGTATATTTCATGCTTATAATTGTGTGTGAATGTTGAGTCATGATGTCGAGTGTGTGTGTCGAGTCAATAGCGAGTTATCGCTAGACGCGTGTTACGCGGTCGTTTGTGTCTCGCGCGCGGTTTTTATTTTGTCGTGCGCGGCTTCTATTTTGTCCTGTGTCGAACGTTCGGCGTGTCGCAGGTGTGTGCAGCAGACCCATCAAGAACTCAAGGATGAGTTTGTGATGAAGAGCCCGAGCCTTGGTGTCAAGCCTCAAGTGATTTCGAAGCTCGCCAAAAGGGTACACCTCAAGATATTGAAGATAGTTACATTACTTTGTGTAGTGTAACATTTCACTTGGTGTAGGCCCTAGTGAAGGGTAGTTTCGAGACCCTTCGTGGTTGGGGACAGTGTGGCACTGTTCCACATCACTGTACCTCGGCTCTTGGGGTTTGTAGGAGCTGGGAGTCATTCCCAACTCGTAACTCTTCCTATCTTGTGTTCTAAGACTATAGTGGCTGCCATAGTACCGTTCGTTCAAACCAACGCTGTGTCGTCAATTCTTTATCAAATCGTGCAATCTAAATTGATAATTGTAGACGACGTGAAGACGCTCCAGATCCAATTTGAATCAAGTCATTTGCAGCTATGAGCAGAACTCTATCAACGTTTGAAGCCGCTGTGCAGAAATCCGTCTGTGCTCTCTATCTTTCGTTTTAGGCACATTCAAGCCTATTGTGACTATAACAAGTGGTATCAGAGCCCCTTGGAGCAGTTTCGACAATGTCTGGACCTGAGGAAAGGGGTGGCAGAAGTGCTGGTGGCAGTGGAGAAGCTCAAGCTCAAGGCCAACCCCGTGATTCAGCCATGGCGCCCATGCAACCAAGTCTTGGCCCACCTAGGGATGAGCCTAGGGTGTTTGGGCTTGACAAGTTCAACGGTGACAACTTTGCTGAATGGTCCTTCAAGATGGAGAACATCTTTGACCACTATGACCTGCTGGAGGTGATGGAAGGAACGGAGAAGCGCCCCGAGAACGACCCGGAGAAGAGCCCGTGGGTGCGGAAGAGCGCACAAGGCTATCTCTTACTTGGGCAAGCGTTGGGGAGCAGTCAGATCCGTCACATCAAGCCATTCCAGCGTGAACCAGAGAAAGGACCAAAGACATGGGCTGCTCTCAAGGGTGTACATGCTCCTGCAACAGCGGCGGTAGCGGTGGTGTTGGAACGGCAAATGGCGACACTACGAATTGAAGAAGACGAAGCGGTTGAAGAAGGGGTGCAGAAATTCTTCGACTTGTTGACGCGGCTTGAGGGAGCTGATTTAAACTACAGTGAGCTCCAAAAGAAGACCAAGTTGCTGGCCTTACTCCCAGAGTCATGGTCCTCGCTCATCATCAACCTTAATCGCGACTTGCCCCGCCTCTCGCTTGAAGACGTGAAGCGAGCTATCCTTCAAGAGGATTTTCGCCGCCGTGAGTTGGCGAGTGCGGATGGCGCTGGGGCAGCGAGCATCGGCCGTGGATATGGTCGAGGAAGAGGCAGAGGACGAGGGGGAGGAAGGTTTGGTGGCAGCAACTTCGGCGGAGGCCGCAGGAGTGGCGGTTGCGGCAGCGACGACAAGAGCTACGGACGCGGTCGCGGCCGATTCGACGGCGAGTGTCACTATTGCCACAAGAGCGGACACATGTGGCGCGACTGCTACAAACTCCCTGATGGTTGGACCCCTGCTCAAGGCCAAGAGGGTAGAGGAGCAGGAGGAGGGAGAGGACGAGGCCGTGGAGGCCGTGGCGGTCGCGGTGGCGGAGCTGCAAACATGAAGAGCGGAGACAACGACAAGGACCCGAGCGACGATCGATACCCGGGTCTATTCTACTTCGTGTCGACGCAAGTACCGGCTGGTCCAGAGAAGGATGAAGGCTTTGAGGAGCCAGCAGCTGTGGGGAAGGTGACCCTACACCCCCTGGACTATTGGGTGATTGATAGTGGCGCTACCTATAGCATGACACCTCGCCCGGACTTGCTCACCGAACTCGAGCCGTCACCGGTGAAGCATGTCACATCGGCTTTGGGGCAGCGAGCAGAGGTGAAAGGCATGGGCAAGGCCATGTTCAAGGGTGCTGATGGGAAGATGGTGGGCCTCAAGAACGTGCTTTGGGTGCCCAGCCTTGCTGCAAACCTGATTTCCGTGCGGCGGTTGGCAAAGGCCGGCATGGACACGAACTCGAAGGGAGCCAAGACCTACACCGCAAGGCTTGGCGATCGAATTCTTTGGGACCTTCATGAGGACAGGGATGTCTACAACGAGATGTGGCAGATCCCAGTGGTCCCTATGCCTAAGGAGAGGCAAGTGGCAGCAAGCATCAGCACCAAGGATGGAGCGGTCGGTAGCGACGATGGCGCGAACGGTCGCGCTAAGGAGAATGAGCTCAAGAAGAACAAACCTGGAGGAACCAGCAAGTTCAGTGAACCTAAGGAGAGTGGTGCAGCAACCAAGGAGCAGCAAAAGGGTGAGGAGAACCCAAAGGCAGCAGCGGAGGAGGACTACGGAGAGAGTATGTGGGGCGCTATTGCGAGCGCGGCATTCTCCAATCCAACTTCGGCTACGGGGGAGTGTGATTGGCTCACCATGCATCGGCGCATGGGGCATGTGGCCCTGCCCATCTTGCAGCAGCTAGTGAAGAATGAGATGGTTGCTGGCATACGTGTGAAGGGGGAGCCCGATGAGGTGCTTGGCTGCCCGACGTGCATTCAAGCCAAGTTCACCCGGTTTCCGTTCCCTAGTTCGGAGGCAACGGCAAAGGCACCGCTTGATGAGGTGGTGATGGACGTGGTGGGCCCCCTGAAGCTTGGAGCTGCTGGAGCTGAGTATTTTCTCACCATTGTCGACGTCTACACCCGCATGACTTGGGTGTACGTGCTGGCCAAGAAGAGCGACGTGGCTGAAACGTTGAAGACGGATTGGTTCCCGATGGTGGAGCGGCAACAAGACCGTCTAGTCAAGTCAATCCGCACCGATCGAGGAGGAGAGTTCCTGAGCAAGGAGTTTGGGTTGTGGCTGAAGAAGAATGGTATTTGGCACTCCCTCACCATGCCATACTCCCCTGCAATGAACGGCATCGCCGAGCGAGCGAACCGCACAATCACGGAGGCGGCACGCGGGTTACTCATTGAAGCCGGGCTACCCGACTATTTCTGGCCTGATGCGGTGCGGAGCGCGTGTGTGGCCAAGAACAGAGCCTTGACTCATGTGGGAGCAGACAAATGGGTGCCCTATGTGGAGTGGCTAGGAAGGAAGCCAAAGGTGGATATGCTTCGGGTGTTCGGGTGCATGTGCATGGCGTTCGTGCCTAAGCATCTTCGGCACAACAAGCTTGGTGCCAAGGCGGTGTGGGCCGTGCACTTGGGCATGGCTCAAAACAGCAAGGGATGGCTTCTTTGGGACCCATTCACCAAGAAGTTCTTGGTGAGCAGGGACTGCAAGTTCATGGAGAACTTCATGTACAAGGATTGGAAGGCGGAGAATGAGGCGAAGATAGGCGTGCGGTTTGGGGAGGTGAAGAGTTCCGGTTTGGAGCATGTGGAGCTGCCTTTGGAGCTGAGCAGCGGCAGCACAACCACAAGGCAATCCTCCCTTGTGAATGGGGGAGAGGAGGCCAATGATGCAGAGGAAGAAGAGGAGGAGGTGCAGCAAGTGAGCGAGCGTGCACCGTCACTCCCTTCCCGTACTACGAGTGCTCCACGGATTCGAGCCACACCGCAGCAACGCCAAGGCCTTCAAGTCCCTGCAGCTGAGGAGGAAGGAAGGGGGAAGAGGAGAGTTCAACCCCCTAATAGGCTGACCTATGATGCGCCGGGAAATCAGGGCAAGACAGCCCTGGCCGGAGCGGCAATGATGGTCGGAGACGACGAGGAGAGTGACTACGAGGAGTGTGCCTTCGCGTTCTTCTCTCCGGTGGAGATGCCGGGAGAACCAGCAACTCTCAAGGAGGCTTTGGAGAGTAGTGATGCTGAGGAGTGGAAGAAGGCCATGGAGAGTGAGCTGAAGAGCATCGAGGAGAATGACACGTTTGAATTGGTGGAGCTACCGGAGGGGCGTACGGCGATAACGTCCAAGTGGCTCTTCAAAATCAAGTCGGATGCCGACGGCAAGATCGAGCGCTACAAGTCTAGGCTTGTAGCCAAGGGGTACCAGCAGAAGGAGAAGGTGGACTTCAAGGAGCTGTTTGCCCCTGTGGTGAAGCCGACGACGCTGCAAACCCTATTCGCGGGAGCCGCCATCAAAGGATGGGTAGTAAAGCAAATGGACATCGTAACGGCATTCCTTAACGGCATCCTTGAGGAGGAGATTTTTATGGCGCAGCCAGAGGGGTTTGATGATGGTAGTGGCAGAGTGTGGAAGCTGAAGAAGGCCCTCTATGGGCTGAAGCAGGCCCCTAGGCAATGGTACATGAAGCTGCGCGAAGTGTTGGAGGGGATCGGCTTCACTCCCTCAACGGCCGATCACTCCTTGTTCATGTTTGGCGAGGGGGAGCAGAGGAGCTTCATGGTGGTTTATGTGGATGACATCCTCATTTTCTCACCCTCTTCTGACCTTGTGAAGGAGGTGATGCTGAAGCTTCAAGACAAGTTCAAGTGCAAGGCCCTTGGTGACGTGAGCTTCTACCTTGGGCTCCACATCGAACGAGATGTGGAGAAGCGGTGCATGCGGGTGCATCAACGAAAGTACCTGGAGGCATTGGCTGCCAACTTTGGGCAGAGTGAAGGCCATGTGGCTACATCCTTTCCCTCTGGGTTCAAGTGTGTGAAGGGACCAGAGGACGAGAGCGTTGGTGAAGAGGAGAGGCGCCGATTTCACTCGTTGGTGGGCAGCCTCATGTATGCGGCGGTAAACACCCGACCGGACGTCGCGTTTGCTACCGGGCAGCTGGCTAGGGTTGTGCAATGCCCTAATGAGGAGCAGGTAGCAGCTGGAATGAGGGTGGCCAAGTATCTTGGCCAAACACCGACCGTTGGGCTGCAATACTCGGCGGCGGTACAAAGGCGCCAAAAGGGCGCGGATGGTGTTGAACCCGGGCGTTTGTTCCTCACCGCCTACTCGGATGCTTCATATGCATCAGAACCAGAGGACATGACAAGTGTGGGAGGCTTCATATGCTGTGTTGGTGGAGGCCCAACTGCTTGGGAGAGCAAGAAGCAGGTTGACCAAGCTTTGAGCTCGGTGGAGTCCGAGTACATGGCACTCTTCCGTGCCGTACGGGAGATTGTGTGGCAGCGGCGTTTGTTGGCTGAATTGGGGGAGGAGCAGCAAGGACCTACCCCACTGTACTGTGACAGCCAGGGTGTCATTGCTCTTGCTAAGAACCCTGTGTTGCATGGACTCACGAAGCACATGAGGGTGAAGTGGCATTGGACGAGGAGCATGGTAACCGCGGGTAAAGTTGAGTTGCGCTACGTGAAGACCACGGGGCAGCCGGCTGACATGATGACCAAGAGGCTGGTGGAGCAGCAGCATTGGAAGTGTTGCAAGCTGGCTGGGATGGCTCTGAACTGAGAGAGCAACATATCCTAAGGCCAACAATCCGAGGGGGAGTTTGTTGGTGCAACCCTACGGTTTGCACTCGGCTTGTTGTCCGTGTGCGTGAATGTGTGTGTGTATGGAATGGTATGAGGGCATGGGATAATATATATTTCATGCTTATAATTGTGTGTGAATGTTGAGTCATGATGTCGAGTGTGTGTGTCGAGTCAATAGCGAGTTATCGCTAGACGCGTGTTACGCGGTCGTTTGTGTCTCGCGCGCGGTTTCTATTTTGTCGTGCGCGGCTTCTATTTTGTCCTGTGTCGAACGTTCGGCGTGTCGCAGGTGTGTGCAGCAGACCCATCAAGAACTCAAGGATGAGTTTGTGATGAAGAGCCCGAGCCTTGGTGTCAAGCCTCAAGTGATTTCGAAGCTCGCCAAAAGGGTACACCTCAAGATATTGAAGATAGTTACATTACTTTGTGTAGTGTAACATTTCACTTGGTGTAGGCCCTAGTGAAGGGTAGTTTCGAGACCCTTCGTGGTTGGGGACAGTGTGGCACTGTTCCACATCACTGTACCTCGGCTCTTGGGGTTTGTAGGAGCTGGGAGTCATTCCCAACTCGTAACTCTTCCTATCTTGTGTTCTAAGACTATAGTGGCTGCCATAGTACCGTTCGTTCAAACCGACGCTGTGTCGTCAATTCTTTATCAAATCGTGCAATCTAAATTGATAATTGTAGACGACGTAAAGACGCTCCAGATCCAATTTGAATCAAGTCATTTGCAGCTGTGAGCAGAACTCTATCAACGTTTGAAGCCGCTGTGCAGAAATCCGTCTGTGCTCTCTATCTTTCGTTTTAGGCACATTCAAGCCTATTGTGACTATAACAAAGGGGCGCTTGACTGGGAGTGTGAGAAGAGATGAGGAGGAAAAGCAGGGGACCGTTGACTTGCGAGCTCACAGGGGGAACAGCAGCAGCATGCATCTGATACTCACAGAAGCATCGTGTAGCGTGACTGTTGACTTGAGAGCTCACAGGGGGAACAGCAGCAGCATGCATCTGATACTCACAGAAGCATCGTGTAGCGTGACTGTTGACTTGAGAGCTCACAGGGGGAACAGCAGCAGCATGCATCTGATACTCACAGAAGCATCGTGTAGCGTGACTGTTGACTTGAGAGCTCACAGGGGGAACAGCAGCAGCATGCATCTGATACTCACAGAAGCATCGTGCAGAGTGACTGTTGACTTGAGAGCTCACAGGGGGAACAGCAGCAGCATGCATCTGATACTCACAGAAGCATCGTGCAGAGTGACTGTTGACTTGAGAGCTCACAGGGGGAACAGCAGCAGCATGCATCTGATACTCACAGAAGCATCGTGCAGAGTGACGGAGAGCAGCTGGGGATCCTTGACTGTGACTGTGGCCACGCGTGACAATGGCGAGGGGCGGCCGTATGCCTCCAAGTGCACGTGGTCAAGCAGGCCTGTGAGTGTGATTGTGACGAGGGTGGGAGCAGTGACGGGTGAGAGTAAAGAGGGGTGAGTGAGCGGAACGTGAGAGTGAACAGGAGGGGCGGCAAGGCAATACACATCCACATGCACGTGATTATGGAGACCTGTGAGTGTGACAGTAACGAGGGTGGGTAACGAAAGACTTGCGGTGCAATCCGGGGAAGGCAAGGCCCGTCCTTATCTTGGCCAACCTCTTATCACAATGATAGAAGCTCTTTTGCCTCCTCCCCCACATGCACCCTCACTGTAGGTTGGTTTGAATTGAAGACGTCAGAACACACCAGCACCAGATCTATCCCCGCCCCCCTGCACCGCCTTCTCGCCTCCCCCACCAGCACCTTCAGTCACCCAACCCGTGGTGGCTTCCCAGTCGATTCACAAGTCACCTCCCTCCTGTGTGTTTCTGTGACGTGTCTAGGGGTGTATCTGAATCTCACCAGGGGCGGCACGGCCTGTCCGTATCTTGGCGAGCTCTTTGATAAGAGCCTCTTTCGCCTCCTCCACATGCACCTGCACCAGATCTACCGCCCCCTGCACCGCCCCCCCCCCCCCCACATACACGTTCACTCACCCAATCCAGGGCAATGAGGTGACTTTTGAGTCGACTCAAAAGTCACCTTGCACCTGCACCGCCCCCTGCACCGCCTCCTCCTCCTCCCCCCCCCACATACACGTTCACTGACCCAATCCAGGGCAATGACTGATCTTAAGGATGTGCCAACCTCCTGTGTGCTTCTGTGACGTGCCTACCCTGCTGATGAATCGAATGCAACTCTTTTTTGAGGCGCCTCAAAAAACAACCTCCTGTGTGCTTTTGTGACGTGCTTCTGTGACGTGCTTCTGTGACGTGCCTACCCTGCTGACGAATCGAGTGCAACTCAGAATTCAGCCCAGTCTCACCAGGGGCGGCACGGCCTGTCCTGATCTTGGCAAGCTCTTTGATAAGAGCCTCCTTCGCCTCCTCCACATGAACCTGCACCAGATCTACCGGCCCCCCAACCGCCCTTTCTCCTGCCCAACATGCACCTTCAACCAACCCAAGGCGATTACTAAGCTCAAGTCACCTCCTGCGTGCTTCTGTGACATGTCTTTGTTTACTCAGCTGATTCATTACATTCAACTCAGAATTCAGCCCCGTCTCACCAGGGGCGGCACGGCCTGTCCTTATCTTGGCAAGCTCTTTGATAAGAGCCTCCTTCGCCTCCTCCACATGCACCTGCACCAGATCTACCGCTCCCTGCACCGCCTCCTCGCCTCCCCCCTCCTCCTCGCCTCCCCCTCCTCCCCCCCCCCGGCCTTTCTTCCCGCCGGCCCCTTTCTTCCCAGAAGCTTCCTTCTTGTCCTTGCCTTTCTTCTTGGCTCCGGATTTTGATCCTCTTCCTGCTTCTTCCTCCTCCTCTTCCTCCTCTTCTTCTTCCTCTTCCTCCTGTTCCCTCTCCTCATTCTTGCCTTGCTTCTTGTGCTGCTTATGTAGCTTGTCTATCAGAAATGGGAGAAGAAAAGGGGTGTGAGAGAGAGGGGACTGTTGAGCCGAGATGAAAGGACGTGTAGATAGGTTATTTTTGAGACGTCTCAAAAATTACCTATCTACACAGAGAGGGGACTGCTGAGCCGAGATGAAAGGAAACTGTTTCTTGCGCAGCTTGCTCTTTTGCTAAAGCCTAGACTACACAACTGCTTCTCTCGGAGGATAGCCATGTGAAAAAGGGGGTGTTTTTGAGGCGTCTCAAAAACTGCTGCTCTCTTGAGGGTGCTTAAAACCGGAGTCCCAAACAGCCCAAAACTGCCTCAACCTTCCTAACTTTGGTTGGGTGTGACCCAGTTGATACCGAGCTCTCCTCGCAAATTGTTGGGACGATTTTCGCCAAGCGAAATTACTGTTCAAGCGAGGACGATAGCGGTGACAACTTCGCAAACAAATTTGCAGCCCGTCCGAAAGAGTCTGCGAACGAAATCTAACGTAGCATTCCAGATCTGGTTCCACTCGCGACTTTTTCTTACTTAGCGACCCGCTACCACCGATTCGACACCACCCTGGCTCGCGAGCCAGTCACCTTTCTCTCCCCTTCCAATTTTCCTAACTTAGAAACTCTTGGACCTCCGGTTTTAACCCTCTTTTCACGTGACTACACACAACTGCTGCTCTTTTGCTTAAGCCTAGACTACACAACTGCTTCTCTCTGAGGATAATGTCTGAAGTAGAAGTGAGCGCGAGTGTGTAGCTGCTCGCTTCTTCCGCAACTTGTGAGTCCGATTTGGGGGAAGCAGAAGTCATCTCGCTTCTTGCGCACCATGTGTGTGAGATTTGCGCAGAAGTGAGCAGGAGTGAGCAGGAGTGAGCAGGAGTGAGCAGAAGTGAGCAGCAGTGAGCAGAAGTGAGCAGGAGTGAGCAGAAGTGAGCAGGAGTGAGCAGAAAGAAGTGAGCAGGAGTGAGCAGGAGTGAGCAGGAGTGAGCAGGAGTGAGCAGGAATGAGCAGAAGTGAGCAGAAGTGGGCAGGAGTGAGCAGGGGTGAGCAGGAGTGAGCAGGAATGAGCAGGAATGAGCAGGAGTGAGCAGGAGTGAGCAGAAGTGAGCAGGAGTGAGCAGAAGTGAGCAGGAGTGAGCAGGAGTGAGCAGGAGTGAGCAGGAGTGGGAGCTCAGCTCACTATCCTACGGGAATATTTCTCCATTCAAGCACATTCCCTACAAGCACCTTCCCTACATGCACATCCGTATCGCACCCGTTCGGCGGTGCGAGTGCGCGAGGCACCGCCTTGGGATCATCGTGGCTGCGGCCGGCGGGAGGGGCGATCCTGAAATCGAACGGGCGCGCGGAACAATGAGCGGAGCGGCGTTGGCGGGGAGAACGGGGAGCGGTTGTACGGGGAACAGGGGAGCGGGGGGAGACGGCGGGGAAGCGGGGAGTCCGGCTAGCGACGCGACGACACGTGGACGGCTCGGCGCGCTAGGTTCGGTGCTAATGTGGCAGATTCGCGACGCGCGAGTGTCGCCATGGGACGGTGGAGAAGATGGAAACTGAGAATCTACGGTTCGATCGAAGCCTGGTAAATCGACGGTTGCTGTGGCAATGGCGCGTGATCGAAGGGCCGATTCCGGATTGGTAATACGCGCGGAAATGGCGGCCCGCACAAGGCGGCGCGAGCTACGGAACGCCATGGATGCGGTCAGCTATGTTGAAAGCCGCCTTGCGGCTGCCGCAGATTCGTGACGAAATCGGACAGAACCATGAGGTGGGGCAAAGATTTTGTGAGAACAATGGCGGATTCGTACGGTGCACTACGGTGGTGTTTGATACGAACAGACTCGTTAGAGCGAGGATGTGGCAGTCACTACAAGTACGACTTGTACCGTTTACTCGTTTGCTGTCACACAGAAACTTACACAACACAGATCCAAATCTAGCTAATAAAGATATGAATAACAAATGCTTCTTATTACGTAAATATACTCAATACAAAGCCATCATTTTAGCCGTGCCATGACCCCGCATCACATAACCAATTTTTTGGCGTCACGTCACCATCTTTTGGGACTACCTCACAATCAGGCCTTCAAATTGGTTTTGGCGGACCTTGGGTGATCAGGGTACGAGGTTAAGTGAAGCCTGATGGCTAGGGTAAAAAAAAAAAATTCCCTGTATTCTGCAGCGTAAAGATTCCAATGCACTGAATCAGTCAGTATGAAAATGTCTCTACACTGAATTTAGCAGCATAAAGTTGCAGATACTATGATTTCAGTCTTCCTAACTAGTACAATTAATCAGCATGGCGCTAAAGCTACCCATGGTCAAATACCAGGCTAACAGAACTACCATTGGGTTTCTTTCCCTAGTCCTCCTCGAGTAACAGGGTCAGAAGATCCCTCCTTGTCATCATCAGCAAAAAGAGCCTCTCCTGGGTTGGTGCCACTGAAGTCCTTTGTTGACCGCCGCAGCTTCTCTCCCCTGAAAATCGACACCACCTCGTACCAGTCCACGTCGTACTGGAGCAGAGAGCATCTCATCAGATGCTCGAGGGTCGTGTCAGAGAGGGCGCCACGCTCCCACGACTTGATCAGATTCTGCTTGCTAAATCCCCTCTCGCACTCCACCGTGCTCAGTGGTAGCACGGCAACAGCCTGCCACATCCGCATCAGGTTGGGGAAGGAGTGCTGCCATGCGTCGTCCCGAAGCATGTTCCCCAGCGCCTGGTGGAAGTCCTCGTCGTTGTGCTGTGAGCATGGTAGACGTGAACATCCACAGCTCGCTCAGTGCCCTGGTGTAGTCAAATCCTGATGATCGGGAGTGGGAATTACGGAGGGTATACTTGTAGCAGGCGGGAGGGAGGGGGAATCTTAAACCAAACAATCAACAAGGCGCAGGCATGAGTGTACGAAGATACTATACATCAACGCGCATGCGTACAGGTACCCAACAACCACGCTCGCACACAAACCGAACACATACATACCTGGCAGTTTGTTGTTGAACAGTTTGTGCAGTTGAGCCAGCCACTTTTTGAAGGTCTCCACACGCTTTGTATTGTCTGTGACGTATGATGCTGAGCGAAACAGCTTCGACCCCTCCAGATGCGCCAGGTCCCTCATGCGCCACTCCAGCTCCTTATCGATTTCACGCACGAACTTCAACGACAGCTCATAGCACGCCTCCACGTCACCGGTCGTCTCGTGCCCTTTGATTTTCCTCTCGTGCAGCTCGTACTCGAAGGTCACGGGGTTGCCATCACTGTCTACGCCCTCAGCCTTCACCTCCCGCTTGTCCATCTTCTGGTGGCGCTGAATGAAGTCGTTGAGGGTCATCTTTTCCCCGCTGCCGAAGTTATGAGATGGGGAATCGTTCAAATATCGGTTCTTCAGGCGCCATCGTGTCTGCTGCACCAGGTGCGCCACCAGAGTGGTGTCAATCTGCAGGTTGATTACAAGTGACAGGGTAAGCGACATGTATAATTGAAACACGTTGGATAAGGAACACAACAGAATGGGTATGTGCCAACCGTACCTGCCTTTGCTAGAACCGCTGATTCAGGAAATTCGGCTCCCAAAGCACATCAGCAAGCAGGCGTAGCATCCAGTGGAATTTGAATGAAGTCGCAACCTCGTACAGATCGGCGTTGTACTCCTTCAGCTCCACAATGACCGCAGGTAGGATTTCGAGGAGGCCTCTAACTGCCTCTCCGCGTGACAGCCATCGAACTTCATGAATGCCTTGAGCCTCGAGGTTGGTCTTGCAGAACACCTGCTGGATGTTGTGAAACTTGTGGTACTTCACGTTGGAACGGCCGATGAGGTCAGCGAAGCCACGGACAACACTGTACACCATAAAGAGTTCGGGAACTGCTTCCGCGGCATTTTTTGCAGCCAAAGCCTCCCTGCAAGTGTAAACAATGAAGCAGCGTGAGAACGATGGTGCATAACAGAAACGAACATTACTAGCTTTACGTCAGGTAAGAACCTACCGATGTGCGACGCAGTGCGTTGAGGCAAGATGAGGAATCCGCATGCGCAGACGGGCGACAACATCAGTGTGCTTCCCCATCATGACATTCGCACCGTCCGTTGATACGGACGAGATCTTCTGAAGATCCAGTCCAATCCCTGTCAGGTACTGCACCACAGCAGAAGTCAAAGACGCGGCATCAGCACGGTCTGTTAAGAACCTAAGGCAAGAAATGAGTGAATTAGGTGAAGGCTAGGGTACAAGACTACGGTATCGAGAAAGTTTGTGTACCCCGTAGTGCTAACCCCCATACAGCCTAGATAACCTAAACAAGCATATATATATAATTTAACACACCCCCATAGGCGAAATGGGGGATAGCCAGAGCAAGCAACGGTCACAAGACTAGTCAAGAGAAGAAACAAAACACAGCTCAGGGTGGATCACAACGTCACCACGCAGTCTGAGCACAAGCAAAAGACCACAAGGCCAGTTCACATGCAGAGATATATATACATATATATATCACTGTACAAACAAAGCCTACAGCAAGTGAGGAAGTGTGGGCACTAGGCCTAACAAGGTGCAGAAACGCTGATGATCACCAGGCGGAAACGCCTTGGTGAATATATCAGCAGTGTTGGCCCGAGTGGCCACGTAAGCAAGGCGAAGCTGGCCACGCTGCTGCAGCTCTCGAGCAAGGAAGTAACGCAGAGCGATGTGCTTCGTTCTGTGCTCCAGTCTGTGCTCCTGACACAAGGCAATGGCGGCCTTGTTGTCGACGTACAGAACTGGAGGAGAACGAGGCCGCTCTCCCAAGTCGGTCAGCAGGTAGGTCACAGAGCCAGCGTAGCTCCTGTGCAGCCATGGCTGTGGCGTAGATCTCGGCCTCACAGCTGGAGCCGAGAACTGACGACAAACGTGTAGAACGCCAGGAAACTGAACCAGAACCAAGGCTGAAGGTGTAACCCTATGACGACCGCTGCGTAGCCTGGTCGTCAACCCAAGAGGCGTCCGAGTGACCAGTGAGGACAACGTCACCCCGTCCTCCAAGCACAAGCCCCATGCCCGATGTACTACACAAGTAGCGTAGTACCCTCTTAGCAGCATCCATGTGCACCTTTCGGTGCCGACCAGGAGCCACGTAGCGAGCCAGAAGGCCAAGAGGGTACGCAAGGTCAGGACGAGTGCAGGTCATCAGGTACATGAGGCAGCCCACTAGCTCTGGGTAAGGACCACTCGGCTCTACGGACTCGTCCGAAGGTGGAGCTGAGAGCAAGTGACCTGTAGCCAGAGGAGTGGCCTGTGCTGAGGACCAGGTGAAGCCGAAGCGCTGAAGGACCTGCTGCACCATGTGTGACTGAGTCAGTGTGATGGTGCGGCGTGCTCTGTCCCGGGTGATCTGCAGGCCAAGGTAGCTGCGCAGCTCACCCAGGTCTGTGCACGTGTGTCTCTTCTGCAGCTCCGACTTCACCAGGGCGAGCGCCTCAGTGTCAGCAGTGGCAAAGACCAAGTCGTCGACGTACACTAGGATGTAGAACGGCGGGAGCGAAGTGTCGGTGCGCAGAAACAGCGACGGGTCAGCAGTCGACGGGGCAAACCCAAGAGCCGCAAGAGTCGTCCTCAGTGTGTCGTGCCACTCACGTGGCGCCTGGCGGAGACCGTAGACTGGCCGTCGGAGGCTCCACTGGGTACCAGGAGGGAACGACCCAGTGAAGCCAGGTGGACGGCGCAGCCAGACCTCCTCGTGCAGGCTGCCCTGCAAGAAAGCTGTGCTGAAGTCAAGAGAGTGAAGCTTGTAGTCACGCTGAGCGGCAACGTGCAGCAACACCCGAACAGTAGTCATCTTCGGGGTGGGGGAGAAGGTCTGGAAGAAGTCAACTCCCTCTCGCTGACTGAAGCCTCGAGCAACGTAACGAGCCTTGAAGACAGGTGGAGAACCTGGCGGCCGCTTCACCCTGAAAATCCACATGCCACTGACGATGTTCGCCCCAGGAGGGGGAACCTCGTCGACGTAGGTGCCTGTGGACTTCCAGGATGCCATCTCTGCATCCATGGCTGTCTGCCACTGAGAGGATTAGGGACCCTCGATCGCCTCAGCGTACGATCGTGGAGTCGGGATGTCTGGTGCATCCGGGTCTCCCGCAGGGGCAAGCAACATGGACACGAGATGAGGCGCAGCGGCTGCAAGACACTCGAGGTCCTCCTGCCTGTCCTCAAGGACGTCCGTGCCAAGAGAATACTCACCCCCGACGGATGGAGGACAGACAGACTCAGACTCAGCAACAAGACTAGCGGCATAGTCTAGACGACAGTGAGCAGCAAAGTCGACAAGCTCAGCGACTAAGGCAGACGCAGCAGCAGACTCAAACGACGGGTCAGCGACAACAGTGGCTAGCAGACGCGTGACAGTAGGGTGCTCAGCACGAAACCGATCAGACTCAGGGTCAGCAACGACAGGTAGAGAGGACGCAGGCGGAGACGGCAGGGGAACACGTGGCGGCGGAGAGGAAGGATGACGGACGACAAGGGAAGGGCCGGGGACAGCCGGCTGACGCTGACGAGGAACACGACGACTGGAACGACCTGAAAGGACAGGTGAGACAGGACGCGACGCAGGCTCACGACGCTCAGCAAGGCCCCCTGTCTGCTCAGTGTAAGGAGAAGGAGCAGGCAGGGGTGAGCCAGGCTGTAACGGAAGACCAGTAGACGACGGGAGGCTAAGAACCTGGCGAAGCACGGAGCCAGGCGGGGGCAGAGACGACGGAGACGGCGGAGCAAAGAACAGGCGCGGCTGTGCAGTGCCACCAGCACCAGCAGCTCCAGCACCCTCAGCAACTCCAGCGCCTCCAGCAGCTCCTGCACCCTCAGCAGCTCCAGCACCTCCAGCACCCTCAGCAGCTCCAGTACCCCCAGTAGCTCCAGCTCCTCCAGCAGCTCCAGTACCCTCAGCAGCTCCAGCACCTCCAGCAGTCCTAGTACCCTCAGCAGCCCCAGCACCTCCAGCAGCTCCAGAACCCTCAGCACCAGCCCAACCTGGTGCAGCACCCCCAGAACCGGCACCTCCAGTCCCAGGGTCTCCAACCGCAGTGCCACCAGCAGCAGCACTCTCAGACACGCCACCGTCAGCCCCAGCAGCTCCAGCACTCCCAGTACGAGCACCTCCGGGACCAGCGACACTAACACCTCCAGCAGGCAAAGGACCAGCACCACTCCCAGCTCCAGTGACGCCAGCAGAAGAACCCCCAGCAGTAGAGCCCTGAGGTGCAGAAGCGCGACGCTGACGGCGACCGTACCAGTCGTGCAGCTGCTGGGAGGTGAGAGGCACACGCGGACGAAGACGGCTACTCCAAGGGGACCGCGTAACAGCAGTCTTAGGACCCTCAGGCGACTCACCCCCAGACTCAGCACCCCCAGGCTCCGCACACGCAGGCTCAGCACCCCCAGACTCAGCACCCCCAGACGCAGCACCCCCAGACGCAGGACCTCCAGGCTCCTCACGCGCAGGCTCAACACCCCCAGGCTCCGTACCCTCAGGCCCCTCACGCCCAGTGCCCCCAGACTCAGCACCCCCACGCTGCAAACCCCCAAGCTCCGCACCCCCAGGGACAGCACCACCACCAGTAGGACCGGAGTCACCAGTGACCTCAACAGGCGCAGGGACGGGAGGGTCTACCTGAGAAACACCTGAAGGAGCAGGACCTGGCGCGGGGAGGGGGTCTACCTGGGGAGGACCTGGGGCAAGAAAGAGCGGCGAGAGAGGGCGAGGAGCAGTGCGGTAGGGGAAGAGGCGGTAAAAGGGGACTGACTCGTCAAAGGTGACGTTCTGGGACGCAAAGACACGGCGCAAGGCGGGGTCGTAAAACTGCCAGCCAGGCGCGTCAGAGACGAAGCCAAGGAAGACGCAAGGAATGGCGCGAGGGGAGAGCTTGTCCGCGGTGGTATCGCGAACAAAGGCACGAGCACCCCAGACCCGGAAACGCGACGCGTCGCCAACCTTCCCCGTCCACAGCACTGTGGGCGAGGTCTCCGACAAGGAGACACGGGGCCAAAGGTTGAGCTGATGCGCGGCGTACCGGACCGAAAACGGCCACAGAAAATGGGGGGCAGCCGCATGGATCATGGAGGTACGAGCGACCTCCATGACTAAGCCAATGCGGCGCTCAGCAACCCCATTCTGCTGCGGAGAGGCCGGAAGCGTGAAAGTCTGGCGGATGCCGTGCTCCGCACAGAAGGCGGCCAAGAGGTCTGAGGAGAACTCACCACCTCTGTCAGAGTGCAAACGCAGGACAGGAAAGTCCGACTAGAACCGCTCACGGAGCTGGAGACGAGAAGTGCGGATCCAGGGGATCAAAACATCAGGGACATCCCCCTTGCGCTGCAAGGGGAAGACCGTGGTGTAGCGCGTGTAGTCGTCGACAACCAGCAGGAAGTACCGCTCGTGGCCCTGTCCACGGACGCGGGCTGGGCCCCACACGTCCAGGTGGAGAGTCTGCAGTGGAGC